TGAAATTTGCATTGAGTCCATTCCAACATGGGCAAATATATTTCATTAGAGATTTCAAGATTTGGAGGATCTGCAATTTTTTGTCTAATATGAAAACAAAATGGTTCTATCACTAGTTTTTATATGCATGTATTTTAGGCCTCTGTCAGGACTACAAAACACATCTGATCAATTCACATTTTTTTTTGCTTTAAGACTATTTCTATTGGGACAAACCACAGCTCTAGTGAATGACTCTTAACGGTGCAATTACTCTGCAGTAATCTTGTATGAAACAGTGAAAACCCCTGAACGCAGGTCTGGGATTTGTATCTTTAATGAGAGTCTGATGCACAGAACAATACTGTACCTTTAGTCAGGCCAGTCTCAGTGAGGAGAATCTGTCTGAGCTGTCAGTGCACACCTGCTGCTCTCATGTCAGACCAGGAAACTGTGGAAAACTCAACCTGAGGGGCAGCTTTGAGTGGAGGGTGGGAGGCTGGAAGGTTGGGAGGGTCTAAAGGGGGCTTACCTCTGGTCAGTATGTGCTTTCTCAGCCCTGTGGGAGAGGCATGCAGACAGAGCACAGCCAGACCAGCCACTAATCCAAGTTGGAGAGAAGTTGGTGACAACATGAACTACGGGTCAAGATACTTTTGGGTTTGATGGTCAGATGTTGTACTATGGAGACTGATGAATGGAATAGAAGGCAGACGGACTGGAGGTAAAGTGGATTTGAGCAGAAGCTGAGAGAGGACCCGCTGGGAAGGGGACAAATGAGGGCTGTGGACAGCATGGACGCATGTGGACTGGATGACATCATAAGTCAAACCTCAGGGCTCGACTTAAACGATGACTACAAAGAGGTACACCGCAATGCAAACCTTTTAACAGCTGCGACATTTTGAAATATACTTCAAAATGAAAGATGACAAGTCAGTACTTTATTAGACATTTGAGTGTTGATTTTGTTTTTATTACCAAAAAGTATGCATGAGCAGAGCAATGGCACCTTCCCTGACATAATGTAATAAAGCTGGGCACCTAACTTTCAAAACAATATATACATCTATGCAATACACTAGCTCCATGCTCTGTGACAGAATTTTTTCCACTAGTTTTCATACACATGTAATTTTGTCCAGCGTTTCAGATAGAAAAATTGGGACAGGACCACCCTCACTCAGCCCAAAACCTCACGGGGCTCCTTCTGGCTAAAAGTGTGCTATAGATCCCATACTTTCTAATAAGATGTAAACAGCATGTTGTGGTCTGATTGTTGACAACATTTGACTATGAGAAAAATAAAGTTTGGTACCCCAGCTTTTAGTGAATTCCAAAACAGCATGTGCTTTGCGATGATAAAGGACATTCCTTCGGTTCTTTCTTTTTTTTCCCTGGAGGAATTTGATCAGGGGCGGCTCTATTGTCTTGTCTGAGCTCTCTCCGTGCTTCCCCCGCTCCCACACAGGTGCAGCAGTCTTTCTGCTTAATGTGAGTGACAGGAGCAGCCCACTCTGACCTGACGATGAACCGCCCAAAGTTCAGACCCTTATCTGGGAAGGAATGCAGCGCTGTACAGCCAGACATGACGCTTCGATATATAGTGAACTGTCTGAATAGTGAATACAGTCATATCATTTCTATCGTGTATATATATGTATAATGGTGTTTGTATTTGTGTTTGGTGGTGTCTGAAAAGGCGAGGCATCTTTTAGATTCTCAGTTTGTGACAGAAAACAGAAAAACAAAGACGATATGACCTTGTTTGCAAAGCTGTGCCCTGAACCTCAGCTTCCTGTCAGCCCTGGGGGGAAAAACACAACACTGTCCTCACACCTGCAAAAACAGCAAAAGCAGAAATTGTCAAAATTATACACAAAAAATGAATAAGAAATCAAGAAATGTTGGGGCTTTTACACTTCCACATCCACAACAAACGAATTAAAAATGTGTATATGTTCAAAGAGATCTCGTACCTGTATGTCTATAATAAGATGGTGTAGGAATGTAAATGTATATATAGGATCTAAATATTCTTAAAACACATGGAAAAAACAAATATATAATAAATAAACACATTTAGAAGAATAAACCTTTTCGAACCTATTGAAAATACACCAAAAAATAGATTACATTTATTGAAATCACATCAGGGACAGAAGTATTTTACCACACATTCATTTCTCATTCAAACCTGAACTATTTCCGTCCCACGCCAAGTCATGGGTGGGATTCGCACACATAATTAAATCCATCTTGGCTGTAATATGCAAAGGAAGATTTGATGGCTCAGAGGCAGCACCTCTCCACACTTGGACCGGCCAAATCGCCCCCGAGAGCCTGAAAACGAGCACTTGTGCAGCAGAGTGGAGGGATAAATGTCTTTGTCAATGAGGCCTTTTCAACATGAGGAAATTGCCTGGTGAAATTGTGGGAAAACACAAATTAGGCCAATTGTGTTGCCCCAATCTAATTTGGAGATCAACAGCCGCTGGTGTGTGAGGCCAGAAAATGAAAAAGCCCTGTCTTCTTCATTGAGGTTTCTCTTTTGAACTTAATCTCGTTACATGCTCAATACAAAGTAATTCACGCTAATAAAAGTAAGTCTCTATCCATCTGGTCAAAGGAGACTGGGACAGTATATTGATCAAGTATAATAATATTAATATCTTAATTGTTTGTTTGAGGCTTTAGGAAACTCTAACAGAAATGCCTGTGGTGATTAAAATAATCTGCATGTTTTGTTAGCTTCACGATTCCAATGTAACTGCACTGGAACATTTGCACATTTACATTGGAATAATGAAAGTGAAATATCAAATTAAGGATGTATTTTTTATTCTAAACCTGCTGTATCCATTCTAATTAGGTCCTGGCTATGGGTGCACTGGGTTCTGACTTTATATTTAATGTTGGAATGTCTGTTTTGACACATTGCTGTCTTCCCTTACCTGAAAAGCCGACACAGGTATAAAATCTTGCCGATCTTTCTCATAGTTGACCCGAGCGGACCCACCATATCAGCATGTAAAAAATACATTTAAAAAAATTGCAGCAATGGCATAAATATTCTTTGCTGGTTCGTTTAACAGACACGTGTGAACCCAGTCAAGCCATTTGCATTGACTTTGTAGGGCCCTCCTTTTTCACGCCTTCATAAATGTTTTAGGGCCCTCCATCCGTCGGCTTTGGCTCGTTCAGCTCACACAGACGCTAACAGTATAACAGATGATGTTTACACACACAGGAAGCTCTGTCGTCAGGCAGGTGTTACATACCTCCGCCATCTTGGATTATGTAAGAGGCCCTGAACTCGTGAGGTTTGTGGGATATATAAATATTAGTGTATGTATGCGGCCTCTACGGAGGGGACGACTGTGTGAGCCTTATCTAACTTATCATTCAGTTCAATGGACACAAAACATCCAAAGAACTAAGCAAAGGCAACGATGGTAATGGGTTATCTGAAGGTGAAGTTTTTGGTTTGTAGAATTGTACCAGTAAAAATAAAAACTAAACCTGCCAATTTGACTTTTCGTTTTATTGTTTACAAAAAATTAAATTACCTCGTCATTTTCGATTTCATCCAGTCTCAATCCAGTCAGTTAATTTTGTGGCATAAGAAAACTCCTCAATCCCAACGACACACCTCTTTATACCTCCACTTTACAACGCTGCAGTCAGCCTTTGTTGTTTTTGAACATTTATTTGATTTTTAACTTGAGGGGATCACACATTCCTCTGATTATAGTCTTCCTGTCAGAAGTTTTTGTAGTTTTTTGTCTGCGTTTTAGAAGTGGTGTTTTAATCACCGCAGAGTCAGTGTCATATAATGTAATGGCTTTGTCTCAGAGGCAGACTTCAAATCCAAGAGGCAACAGACTCAAATTTTATGCTGCTGTAATGGAGGCTTGACACCAGTGCAGTGTGCCTATGTGTGGTGTGTGTGTGTGTGTGTGCGTGTGCCTATGTGTGTGCGTGCGTGTGTGTGCGTATGTGTGGTGTGTGTGTGTGTGTGTGCGGGTGTATATGTGTGTGCGTGTATGTATATTCACTAAGCTATTTGTATATACTGTATGTGTATATTCTCTAACCAAACTAATTACATTGTACATTCTTTGTGGTACTCCGGCTTTAATGTTGTTCTGGTATGATCAAGATTATGGTCTATATAGATGACATTTTACAAACTTACAAAAAATATAAAATGTTGTCCTATTTCTTACCATTATTATTTTTCAGTTACATTAGTAACTTTTTATGCAGGATGGTTGCACATCCTGCTCTTATGTGTTGAGTGGGATTATGTAAATATGTTTGGTGGTATTCTCACAATGGTCCAGTTCAGTGAGAAAATGTGGGAATGACAGTGGAGAGACATTTAGGAAGAATCCAATTATGTCACAAAGCAGCTGTCAATAAAGCTGAAAACACCTAGCTGCTTTGTTTTAGGCATTTAGGCTTGTCACGTAAAGCACAGACAATAGTACATAATTGAAAACAACATTGACATTTCTACTATTGTATAGACATTGTTTGTTTAGGAACCCATAGCTTATTTTGTTAAATGTTCTCAAAAAGTACACGCGGAAACCAAACAAATTCCCACTTCTGCACAAAATGTAGTGTTTTCAGCATGGACTGTAGTTTTCAGCCATCATGTGCTTTTGTGGCGGTGACTGAGACGTTAGCGCCCCCTGGTGGTCATGTCAGCTTCTAAGCGTGTCACCTCCGTAGACTCTTCTTCGCCTGACTCTGCATTTTTATTCTTTTTTTACCTAAGCTTTTTTAAAACGAGTCTCTTACTGCAACATAAAATGAGGCCAGTGCTATTTTTACACAGGCACACATATTTTTTAATTGTTGTGGTTTATGAGAATTATGTTATGTGTGGTTTATTTAGATCACTAGGCACTAGGTTGCTATGACTAAGACTATGACTAAATTGACGATCAAGGTCAATTTACTTAGACCTTGATCGGATGAGTTGAATGTAAGTCTGTTGTTTCTTGTTTCAGGCCCAAAAGAATGAGAGAGAGTCCATCAGGCAGAAGCTGGCGTTGGGCAGTTTCTTCGACGATGGCCCGGGCATCTACACCAGCTGCAGCAAGAGCGGCAAACCCAGCCTGTCGTCACGGTGAGAGGAGCCGTCACGAGCAACCCCCGGCGATCCAAGATGGCGCCCTATTCAAATGAATGGTTGTGCCATAATAGATCCATGGTCACGAGCCGTTCACTGGTCCTGTTCAAGATATATACATGCATATTGCTGTATATTGAGGTCAAGAGCAGGGGTGCCAACAGGGGGCCGAATTAAAACAAATAAGTACCGTTTTGTTTTGGTTGAACCAAAACTGGACTGCAAAAAAGTAGGATTGTTATTCATTTAACAATGTAATTTGTATTTTTATTTGTTTATTTGTATGGGAGAGTATGTTTTTATGAACAACAGCAGCTGTAAATACACCAGATTGTAGCTTCGCTGGTAACCCCTGGTAACATCTTACTATCAATGCTTGCACGTTAATGCACGTTTAAATCATTTGATTGAAAATAATAATTGAATATCCTATTGGGGGCGTTAAGATGGTCAGATGGCCATATGTTTGACATTCCTGTTCTACATTCAGTTTGGAGAGTCATCTGATCAAATTTGAGTGACATGTAACAGTGTTGATTATTCACAAGTATTTAGGGAGCTGAGTCGAAAGGCAAAAGCTCTCGATTTACCGTTTGATCTACGTTTCCTCCCTCACCTCTGGTCATGAGCTGTGGGTAATAACCAAAAGGACAAGATCGCAGTTACAGGCGGTCGAAATGGGTGAGGACCTCACTCACACAGGAGGAGTGGTTGTGAGTGCGACTGTAGGACAACGGATGGAATTTAGCCCAAGGCTAAAATCTGGAGTGGTGTGTTCATAAACATGCACTGTTCCAACCAAATAAACTATACACTTAAAGCTGGTCCTTCACATTCGACCCATTCTAACCCTCTGATATCACTCGGGCCTCCGCGTCACAGTAGTACTAGTCATCCTAATAGAAAAAGCAGTATTGCTCACTCAATGACAACTGTTTTGTGGGTCATTGTCATTTATAACATTTCCTGATTAGTGCATGAGCAGTGTATACACAAAAAGACTTTGAGTTGTACACAATGGCCTTTCACTTCCCATCAAAAGTCACATGCTTGTATGGACATACTCTGCGTCACACTACAGTAAATGACTGCAGGCATTGGCATTAAAGCATTGAAACTCGTCTAAAATTGTCTATCTTCAGATATGTTTTTGCTTTTGATATTTTGCCCAAATTATATAATACTATGCAATATTTGTATCTTCTTGCATGGTCTCAAGGGAGCAGGCCAGCTAAAACCAATTATTGGCCAGTGCAAAGATTGAATTATCAAGTGGTAAATGCCCTTTATCTGAACAAACTTTTATTTTGTTTAAATGTAAGTTTTATTGTTAATACTGACTCCCCAACCTCGTAGAATTGACCATTTGGACCTTGTTTTAATCAGACCACGTTGGGCGTGTGTGGTGTGATCAATCAGCTCTGCTTGTAATTAGAGCGTTGCATAAGCAGGTTATTGAGCTGCTAGCAGGACACACACCTACAGGATCCGCCCTGATCACTAACAAGAGCAATGATAAAAAACAACTGAGCTAATGTAAGGTTGGTAATGTGGTGCTCTGATGCAATGGCACAGTGGATAGTGGAGTAGTTTTAAAAACCTTTGATATAACCTTGTTCTTTCTTGTTAGTTGAAATTAAAAATGGGTATTTGTTTACCTAGCGATTTCATTTTTGCATTCAAAGAATCCAGCCTCATCCTGCGCTTTTACTGTCCTGTGTGATCCAAAGTGACTGTCCTGATTAGACATTCTTCTTGTGTCCCCAGGCTGCAGAGTGGGATGAACCTCCAGATCTGTTTTGTGAATGACAGCGGCAGCGACAAAGACAGCGATGCAGACGACAGCAAGACCGAGACAAGCCTGGACACTCCACTGTCCCCCATGGTATGGATTGTAGTGGATTGTAATATTCAATCTGATATATATAATATACAGTATATCATGTGTACCTAACTTTTTAAATAATACATTGTGTTTACCCCAACATAAATAGTTGTGTATGTAGAATGTTGTGAATACATCAGACCACAGACTTCTTTTACAGACTTGTAAGAAAGAGCCCTGTGAGGCACTAGCTGATGCTTTGGGCTGAGAGCTCGATGGTGGAACTTGAATGGTCCCCTCTTTGTCACCTTTCTGAAATCGATCAGTGAAAGAGGGCAAAAATACATTAAACTAATGATGGAACCAAGATAGCGTTTAATTTATTGTGGTTTGAATGTTAAGTACCCCAAATTTACAGTTATGATCATTTAGCATAAAGAATGCAAAAACTGTGTTTTCTGCTGTCCTAGCTACAGTAATTGTAATCTCCAGTCCAAACAGAGTTCGTCGTACTCGGACAGAGACACCACGGAGGAGGACTCGGAGTCTTTAGAGGACATGGACTTTGTGAGCCGGCAAAAGAAGCTTCAGGCTGAGGCCAAACTGGCCCTGGCGATGGCCAAACCAATGGCCAAAATGCAGGTGGAGGTGGAGAAGCAGAACCGTAAGAAGTCCCCTGTGGCCGACTTAGTAAGTACTGTTGTGCTGCACACACATTTACCCTTTCTTAGCCCAGAGTTTATTTAATTTTATTTTATTCTTATCTTAATTTTATTGTCTATTATCTTAAATAATAGACTTATTTGATGTGTGCAATCTGAGTGCTCTTATTTCCTTTCTCTGCTGTAATGTGCGCAACTATGACACTGACATTTCTCCACTGCGAGACGAATAAAGGTTTATCTTATCTTAAAATAGGTTTTATTCTAGTTTTAAACTGAAGTCCCTTCCCATGTTGCATTTGAGTAATTGTGCAACCCGTTCATAATGCATCGGTTTTATATAGCGCTTTTTTGGACACTCAAAGACGCTTCACATGTGTCATTATTCATTCACTCCATACACGGTGGTGATAAACTACTACAGTAGCCACAGCTGCCCTGGGGCACACTGACAGAAGCGAGGCAACCAGTATGTGCCATCGGCCCCTCCGACCACCACCAACCATTCACACACACACCAGACTCATTCTAGGCAAAGGGGGTGAAGTGTCTTGCCTAAGGACACAACGGCAGTTTGGCACTTTACAGCCGCAGCCGCCCCACTGTGGCTGGTGTTCCCAGAGGTTAAGTGTCTTGCCCAAGGACACAACGACAGTAGTCAGTGGGAGTCGATGGTGAAAGTCTTGAGCGGGGCTTGAACCCACGACCTTCTGGCTCAAAGGCCAACGCTCTACCAACTGAGCTACTGCCGCCCCCATTGTCTGTGTCCGGCTATAATCAGTGAACACAATGTAGTGACTTGCAAAGGTCACACGCATTCAGATGATTATTATTTCATCTGTTTTTATCTGCCTGGCCGCCTCTTTCACAGTGGGACTTTACTTATTCAGGGAGAGGAGCAGCTCGGCCCGGTCCATCTATAATTCATACTGGGAAAAGCATCAACTATAGTGTTTAGGGATGTAGAGGTGCTTAGCAGTCAGAAGACATCACAGTCACTGTCCTTTTTAACCATTTAGAAATGACTCTCGTTGTAATGAAACTACATGCTAGTGCAAAGAGCCCTAAAAAGTACAAAAGTACAAATGAAGTAGAGTTGGATGCAATGTTCCCTCTGCACACAGAAACTACTGCTTCAGTTTCCTCCGGGGGCTCCGGTTTCCTCTACCTCTAAAAGCATGTATGATAGATTTGCCATGCGCCCCCAATTTGGCGCCCAGGAATAATGCCCACTGCGCTATATAAATAAAGATGACTTACTCACTTTCATTGTAGATTAATATGTGACGAGTGTCATCAGTGTTTTTCAACCAGTGTGCCGAGGCCCTTGGAAATGATCCAATATCACCTGTCAAAATAAGAAAAGAAAATGATGTGAGAGGACTTTTTTGCTTCAATGGGAATTACTTTAAAGGTTGCAGAGTTTCAGTTTCAGTTTCAGTGTGCCATGTGATTGTTTTCAATGCGCGGCTCCAAAAGGTTGGGGAACACTGATAGATTATACTGATATGTAGACACTATACATGTTTACACTTTTAAAAGGCACACCTTGAAAATACTACTCAGAGTACAAGTTAATTACTTTAATAAATGTTCTTCCCCTTAATCCATTTCTGGGTCGAGGGGTGGCAGTCAGAGCTGCACCCAGTACACAGAGCACTAGACCCTCACTAATCCTGCTGCGGGTGGTGAGGGTGTCTTACCCAAGGTGGGCCAAAGGCCAAAGCTCTACCAAAACTCGCCCCAAGTTTTGTCCAAACAAAGCTTAATGTTTTTTCAAGTTTAGAGAGTTTAGAATAAATGGAATGTAATACTACTATGTAATGCTACCTTACCCCTGGGACATGTAAGTCGAATAAATGTAGATTAAGAGATCCTTTATTAGTCCCACAGTGGGGAAATTTCGGATGTGTACATTAACTTCAGGTTCTTGTGTTAAAATTAGATGATTTTGAGAGTTGCATTATCATGATGTAATTGTATCTGTGTGACTCATGTTGAGGCTCAGAAAGAACCTCCACTGACGGAGCTGCATCACTGCACAAGTAACGCCTACTCATCGCAACTGTGGCTGCTGCTCTTTCAGAAACTGAAATATGTGAAAGTGAAAGAGGGAGGGCCAGATTGCTGACAGAGAATGTGAAGTATCCTGATAGGATATTTGAAGTAAACAATAACAAATGACATGTGACCAAAATAGGAAAATGAAAAAATTCAATCAAGTTTTGAAGACATTGCTGCACAGTTCCCATGTTTCGCACTGTCAGGAGAAAGAGTGTGTCTCACTGCATTGTGTCATGACACTACAAAACCAAACCCTCTCACATTAGCTCTTCTTTATCTAGATAACATGTGATAGCCAGGTGTTGTCCAATCCACTTTCTTTATGTAGCACATTTTCTAAAACAACTTTCCAACATGTTACAAAGTGCATTAATGTTTATTTTATAGATTTCAATCTTGGCAGTAGAGTTCTTCTTAAATGTGGTTTTCACACAAGGTCTTTGAAGTTGGGTTTTTCCTAAAAAAGAGTTCAGAAATTTTCCCCGAAATTCATTCATTTTGTTAATGCTTGTGAAAATTGGTGAATCAATGAATGTTTTAATATAGTCTAATCTCCATCCATCCATCCATTTTCTTCCGCTTCATCCGTTGCCGGGTCGCGGGGGCAGCAGTCTAAGCAGAGACGCCCAGACTTCCCTATCTACACACACCTCCTCCAGCTCGTCCGGGGGGACTCCAAGGCGTTCCCAGGCCAGCTGAGAGACATAGTCCCTCCAGCGTGTCCTGGGTCTTCCCCGGGGCCTCCTCCCGGTGGGACGTGCCCGGAACACCTCCCCAGGGAGGCGTCCAGGAGGCATCCGGAACAGATGCCCGAGCCACCTCAACTGGTTCCTCTCGACGTGGAGTAGCAGCGGTTCTACTCCGAGCTCCTCCCGTGTGACTGAGCTCCTCACCCTATCTCTAAGGGAGCGCCCAGCCACTCTGCGGAGGAAGCTCATTTCGACCGCTTGTATCCGCGATCTCGTTCTTTCAGTCATTACCCAAAGCTCATGACCATAGGTGAGGGAGGGAACGAAGATTGACCGGTAAATTGAGAGCTTTGCCTTTCGGCTCAGCTCCCTCTTTACCACAACGGTCCGATACAGCGACCGCATCACTACGCACGCTGCACCGATCCGCCTGTCAATCTCACGCTCCATCCTTCCCTCACTCGTGAACAAGACCCCGAGATACTTGAACTCCTCCACTTGAGGAAGGGCCTCTCCACCCACCCGGAGAGGGCAAGGCACCTTTTTCCGGTCGAGCACCATGGCCTCAGATTTGGAGGTGCTGATTCTCATCCCAGCCGCTTCACACTCGGCTGCAAACCGTCCCAGTGCATGTTGTAGGTCCTGGTTCGTTGGAGCCAACAGGACAACATCGTCTGCAAACAGCAGAGATGAAATCCTGTGGTCCCCGAACCGGACCCCCTCCGACCCTTGGCTGCGCCTAGAAATTCTGTCCATGAATACAGTGAACAGAACCGGTGACAAAGGGCAGCCCTGGCGGAGGCCAACATGCACCGGGAACAGGTCTGACTTACTGCCGGCAATGCGCACGCAGCTCTGACTCCGGTCATACAGGGACCGGACGGCCCTCAGCAGAGGAGGACCCCCCAAAGGACACCCCGGGGAACACGGTCGAACGCCTTCTCCAAATCCACAAAGCACATGTGGACAGGTTGGGCGAACTCCCATGAACCCTCGAGTATCCGATGGAGAGTGTAGAGCTGGTCCAGTGTTCCACGGCCGGGACGAAAACCACACTGCTCCTCCTGAATCCGAGATTCGACCATCGGCCGTAACCTCCTCTCCAGTACCTTGGAGTAAACCTTACCAGGGAGGCTGAGGAGTGTGATCCCACGATAATTGGAACACACCCTCCGGTCCCCCTTCTTGTAGAGAGGGACCACCTACCCGGTCTGCCACTCCATTGGCACCGCCCCCGATCGCCACGCGATGTTGCAGAGACGTGTCAGCCAAGACAGTCCTACAACATCCAGAGACTTTAGATAGTCGGGACAGATCTCATCTAATCCCGGCGCCTTGCCACCAAGGAGGCTGCCAACCACCTTGGTGACCTCTGCCAGGGTGACAGAAGTATCCGCCCCAACATCCTCAGCCTCTGCCTCCGGAGCGGAGGACGTGACGGGGGGATTGAGGAGAACCTCAAAGTATTCCTTCCACCGTCCGACAATATCCCCGGTCGAGGTCAGCAGCTCACCCCCCGCACCGTACACGGTGTTGGCAAAGAACTGCTTCCCCCTCCTGAGGCGCCGGACAGTTTGCCAGAATCTCTTCGAGGCCGACCGATAGTCATGCTCCATGGACTCTCCGAATTCCTCCCAGTCCCGGGTTTTTGCCTCTGCAACAGCCCGGGCCGCGGCACGCTTGGCCTGCCGGTACTGGACAGCTGCCTCAGGAGTCCCCCGAACCATCATGGCTCGATAGGACTCCTTCTTCAGCCTGACGGCATCCCTTACTGCCGGTGTCCACCACCGGGTTCGGGGGTTGCCGCCGGGACCAGCACCAGAGACCTTGCAACCACAGCTACGAGCCGCCGCATCGGAGATAGCGGAAGAGAACATGGTCCACTCAGACTCAATATCCCCCTCCTCCGCCGGGACCTGGGAGAAGCTCTCCCGGAGGTGTGAGTTGAAAGTCCGTCTGACAGGGGTCTCAGCGAGACGTTCCCAGCAGACCCTCACTACACGCTTGGGTCTGCCAGGTCTGACCGGCTTCTTCCCCTGCCAGCGGATCCAACTCACGACCAGGTGATGATCGGTTGACAGCTCCGCCCCTCTCTTTACCCGAGTGTCCGAAACACGCGGCCGAAGGTCAGATGATACGACAACAAAGTCGATCATCGACCTCCGGCCTAGGGTGTCCTGGTGCCACGTGCACTGGTGGACACCCTTGTGCTCGAACATGGTGTTCGTGATGGACAAACCGTGACTAGCACAGAAGTCCAACAACTGAACACCACTCGGGTTCAGATCAGGGGGGCCATTCTTCCCGATCACCCCTCTCCAAGTGTCACTGGCGCTTCCCACATGGGCGTTAAAGTCCCCCAGGAGAATGACGGAGTCCCCGGGCGGTGCACCGTCCAGTACCCCTCCCAAGGACTCCAAGAAGGCCGGGTACTCTGCACTGCTGTTAGGCCCGTAGGCCGTCACAACAATGAGAGACTTGTCCCCCACCCGAAGGCGGAGGGACGCGACCCTCTCATTCACCGGGGAGAACTCCAACACGTGCCGGCTGAGATGGGGGGCAATGAGTATGGCCACCCCACCAGAAAAGTGGAGCGTCCAATCCCTCTCAAGGAGTTGGGTTCCAGAACCCAAGCTGTGTGTGGAGGTGAGGCCGACTATCTCTAGTCGGTACCTCTCGACCTCCCCCACAAGCTCGGGCTCCTTCCCCCCCAGTGAGGTGACGTTCCACGTCCCAAGAGCCAGATGTTGGGTGTGCAGACTGGGTCGCCGAGGTCTCCGCCTTCGACTGCTGCCCAGTCCTCTCTGCACCGAGCCGCCACGGACCCCTCTGCGGGTGGTGGGCCCACAGGAGGGACTGCCCACGTCGTCCTTTCGGGCTGAGCCCGGCCGGGCCCCGTGGGCTAAGGCCCGGCCACCAGGCGCTCGCATTCGAGCCCCAACCCCAGGCCTGGCTCCAGGGTGGGGCCCCGGCTGCGCCATGCCGGGCGACGTCACGGTTCTTCTTTTTGTGCTGTCCATGTTGGCTTCTGACTGCTCTTCGTCTGACTCGTCACCTGAGACCTGTCTGCCATGGGAGACCCTACCAGGGGCATGAAGCCCCAGACAGCATAGCTCCCAGGATCATCCGAGTACTCAAACTCCCCCACCACGTTAAGGTGGCAGTCCAGGGGGAGCCTGGACTACCCGTCTAATCTGGTATTGTCAAATCAACAATTCAATAAAGTACATTAAGTCTGTGATTTTAAGGCTGTTAAAAACCTCATATTATTTGATGTGTTGAATTGTTCTTTTGTGTATGTGCAGCTGCCACACATGCCCCATATCAGTGAGTGTCTGATGAAGAGGAGCCTGAAGCCCACAGACCTGCGAGACATGACCGTGGGGCAGCTCCAGGTCATCGTCAACGACCTGCACTCCCAGATTGAGAGTGAGTCACGCCAGCTCCTCTGCCTCTACTCACGTACTCTACCTACATGACCAGTGGCAACAATCAAGTTTAACCAGCGGTCTCAAACATGCAGTCCCCCACCGAGAGTCTGGTTAAAATGATATACAACATCTTGATAATACAACCATGCCATTTATATCCCCATAAACATTGAACCCTGAACGCAAAAAGTTTAAAAAAAAGTTCTTAAAAATTAACCCAGTCTACAACATGAGGCCTCGTTGCCTTTAGGCCACTTTCGCTTCAATCCAAGCTGCTGAACTCGTTTAGTTCATATAAAAAGTCACACAGGCAAATGATGAGCTATGAAACTTTCCACAAACACTTGATCCATGGGTTTCCCTGTTTCAGTGTCTGTTCTACAAGCAAAAACTTTTACTTTCTCTACTCGTATTGTTAAAGAGTTGAAGATGGGTATTTTTAGTAATTAAACTGTGTGCAAAGTAAATGGCTTGTGCACAGATCTGTTTGCTCCAATGTTTCTATATTTTAGTCACTGACAAACACATCATAAATAAACCAGCCTCACCCAGACCTCGTGTGGCCCCCAGCTACTTTGAGTTTGAGACACCTTATTTAAATATCACAAACTCTGTCTGACTGTGGGTTTTGAAATGAATGGGAAAGATGCCCTCAAAATCCCATGACTACTGAAAGACAATTGGATGTGATTTTTGTGTGGTTTGAGCCAGATGTGACAAAGACGATGAATGTTCTTCCCTAAAATATATACAGGAAATAAAGCAAATGCTCTTACTGCATGTCTGATTATCAAATAGATCAAACCTGATCAATAAAAATAGATTTGGTCATGTAGGGTGTATGTGGCTGCAAAACATATTTTTTTACTGTTTGTATGTTTTACCCCAGGTCTGAATGAAGAGCTTGTCCAGTTATTGCTGATTCGAGATGAACTTCACATGGAGCAAGATGCAATGTTAGTGGACATAGAGGATCTCACTCGGTGAGTACATCAGCAAGCAATTGTTATAATCAAAATAAATATATTGATTAAAGCCAAGGCACACAGTTAGTCCCAAGAACAGTTGACATCCAGGATATAAAAGGACCTCCTGGATAATATTAAACAAATGTTTCAGAGGAGTTTGAGGGTGATAACAACCTGTCACCCTCAAACACCTCTGACCAGCTGCAGGTCCCCTTCTTGCTGCTCCTCCAGTGAGCACGAAAACCAGAGGAATTCCCATTATGCTTTTTGTAAATTGAAAACTCTGTCTGCCACTATCAAATCATCTTCAGGCACAGCGCTCACGTGTGTGTCTGTTGCAGGCATGCTGAGAGCCAGCAGAAACATTTGGCTGAGAGAACCGTGTCCAAATAACAGCTGATCTTCATGGTCTCCCCTCTGCTGCGCTGCGCCCCGTCCACCTCCGCCTGTCCCATGCTTATCTCCACCACCCTCCCGGCTTGTCAGTATCTCACTGCTCTCCCCTAACCTCAATGCTCCTAAGGCAGAAGCAGCACTGGTAGACAGCACTACTTCCATTTGCTTCTGTGGTCGATCCACACAATCGGGCACTTCTTACTTCCTGGAAGAAGAAGAAACCGTATGTTGTCATGGACAATGTTCAAGCTTCCTGTGCAGTGATCAGCTTTGCTTTGCTCTAGATTCCTTTTTTCAACTGTATACATTTGCCACTAAATTATAACTGTCAATGCAAATATGTGGGAAAAAATACTAGTGTAATAATTAGTCACAAGTCATGCAAAAAAACAACATTGTATAAAAATAAAACATGATTTTTGGAGACAATGTTCAGTTGGAAAAGTAACTTTCAAGTATTCTCAAGTCAACCTGTTTTTATTCTGCACAAATGGTAGTTTTCAACTGAGAAATGTTCTTTTGAAGGTGCTAAAGAGTGTAAAAGAACAATGCCTGCCTTGTAGTGAAATCGTAGCTTTTGGTAAGTCACTCTTATCGCTCTTCAACATTTTGTGAATGTTGATTTTCGGACACAAGTCATTTGAAACAAATAAGTGTGTTAATATTGTTTTCATCCTACTGTATGGAGAAATTTTATTTGAGGGAAGATATGTTTATGTACAGATATGTAAAATAAAGATCAACTTTGTTTCATACATTGGTGGTTTGTTGAGTGTGATCTTGTTTTGCATCTTCCTCTTTTACTTAAGAAAGAATGCCCGCACAGGACTCAGCCTGAGTCATCATGTCTCGCTGACTTTTTCACACCATACTGCACTGTGCAATGTTTTACTAAGAGAAACTATGTCAGGAAGTACCAAAGTATATATAGTATTACTTCAAACAGCGGTTCTCAAGTGTGGACACCTTGCACTGGCCTCAGGTCCACCAAAAGATGAGGATGATGACTTGATAGACTCTGATTGTGTTTCTATGTTCAGGCTGGAGAATTAGGTCACTATCGACTTCACTAATCTGAGAATGATGTAGTATCACTTACTCACTGATGCTGGACCGATAGTGCAGCTACGGAAAGGCCAGAAAAATCCCACGAGCCCATTCACCCCAGGTTTACACAATTAATCTCACTGTGTATGAAATTAGGTAGGTCTTGTGGGGGGATCGGACCCACAACCTTCAGGCCCAAAGGCCAATGCTCTACCGACTGAGCTACTGTCGCCCCCCCACAAGACCTACTCCAACTGCTCTCACTAATGTCTACTGTCATTGTGTCCTTGGGCAAGACACTTAACCCCACGTTGCCTGAAGCCCCCGCTGAAAGAACAAGGCTGTGTCATCGCTGTTGGAGCAGAAGCAATCTTCCTGTGGACTCATCACCTGCCGGAGGATCAGCGAGGGACTGGGGCTATGAGCATTGGGTGGCAGCTCTCATTGCCACCCCCCCGACCCAGAAATGGATTAATAAAGGGGTTGAAAATTAATGTATGAAATTAACGATAAAATATTTCCAAACAATATAACAGCATGCAGAAGTTTCAAAAGTGCATTCCTCAACTGGTGGTGGCCCGTTTTTGGCATCGGTTCATCTTAATATTGTTGCTTTGTCTGGATAATTATATCAGAATTATTCATTCAACTTTCCTTTCACATCGGAGACAAGCATGTGACTTCACTATGCCAAGTTGTATCTGTGGAGAGGCGAGTCTTCTAATTGTAAAGAAATCCATGTCAAAGTAATGAACCAAACTGAGCAGCATTCCATGTAAAGCAACATATCTATAGTAGGTCGGTGCTGGATCTGTGCCCCCTCACATACTGGGGGTCACCACCAGGACAGGAGAGCACCTTCAACACACGCAGCATACACTCCATAAACTGATGGGAAAAACCAAAGAACGAGTGAAATTGAACCAATATAATTGATATAGATATAATTTCTCCGACAACCAATAAACATTTAAATAGCTCTATAGTTGTATTATCAACTATATATCAGCCATAGCACCAACCAATGCAGATGTGTCATTCCAACCAAACCACTGGTCAGAATGATGACGACTGATAAAATATACAGACACCAGACTCATACTTGGCAATGTTGGTGAAGTGTCTATAAGGACACAGCGGACCCTCAGCTGCACCTGCTGTTCCCAGAGGTCTCCCATCACAGTTTAAAGGTATATAGGAGGAGTTTCTACTTCCGGGTGGATCATCAAGACTATTGGTCCTTCCGATTGTCAATCATTCTGGTGATACGTGCTCATCAAATAAGAACAGAGAGTTTTGTTCATAAAGTGGAGAGGGCGGGTCTTTCCTAAAATTTGTCGAAATCCAACCTTTAAGTTCTACCAAGTACAATGTAGTATATTTAGTACTCAGTACCTTTTTAAAGTAACTTACCCAACACTGATAGTATGGACGGTACTATAGTTTGGTAGTGTGCCAACTGATGCAAATTGGTCTGACTAATGAATTAAACACCAGTTAGATGTGTATTGTTTAACAACAACCATTGCGGTACCGGCGACAGGAGAATAATGTTTAGTTTGGTTTTCCTATCAGCCGAAATAGTGTGGCGTTAACATACTTGTGACGTAAGGTATCAACATGTGAATGAGAGCCGCGCAGGGACGCGGATGCAGACTGGAAATTACACATTACATTCAAGTTACGTTCTCAGCTCAATCCTCAGATACTGGAGGCGGGGATGTTCCAGTCTCTCTCTACTCATAAAAGGACAGCGAGCATCAATGGACACAATTGAGTTGTGGAGTGGAGTCGACATAATTACTAAAACAAATGGCTAACTTTCATATTTGTAAGTCCCACTCTGGAATAGCCACGTACCGGACATTGAATGTGAGGTTTTATTCTGTTTGTCTCGCCTTTGTAGATTTCTCATTTTGTTGCCTGCTGCTGACTTGGTATTGTCGCATAATTGTTGCGCGTCCAATGCGCACAAACAGAGCCAGAGAGCGTGGCCTGTGCGCAACGCAGTTCAAACATTTAAGCGTGAGCGTGTCGGGACTCCTCAAACACGTGAGTACATACACACACACAAACACACACACACACACACTATTTACAAAATTCTGTTGTGATGCAGGACGTTTTGTGGCATGGAATAAAATCAGACAGAATTCTTCCAACGACTTCTTCTGACACAGTTCTGGCCTGTGCACCTGCTTTGAACAAGGTGAGAGGTCATTCAATTAATGAACACGGTTTATGTTTATATTTCTATTGAAAATGTTTCCATTATTGAACAGACAATGTGCCACATACAAAGACTTGGATCCTTTAATGAGGTATGCACATATTTTTGCTTTAGATTTCTGCTGTTGGCATTCACTTGTATTCACTATAGAAATGACTTGATTAATGTTTGCTTTTTGTGAACTATCTTTAGAGTGATTGTTTGAAGAACATTGTGAAGGACTTGTACCACTACGAAGCCATCATAAGATCTTATACAAGTCTCGACCTCAGACATCCAGATGAAGAGGTGCCACCTCTGACACAGACTCTGAGTATTATCCCCAATCTCCTCCAGGTGTGCTCCAATGTGAAAGAAACACTCTCTACTTCAACACATTACTATAATATGTCTTGTTTTTCAGGCTTGTCGCTTCACATCCATGTCAAAATCATCTGACAAGGTGAGCTCTAACTCTTGGGGTCTAAGTATTACATTGGAAATACTTATGCTCATGCACTTTCTTTTGTGTCAGGTGGTCGCTCATATGTGGGAGGACAGCTCGTACTCAAACAGACTGAAGATGCTGATGATGATGAAGGCCTTCTATGTTCGGACTATCACGTTTAACCGGGCTGTGGGATACATAGAATCAGGAGAGCACAGAAGCCTCGGTCCCTCTTCGGATCCACTACAGTAACTCCCCAAGCAACAGCTCAACAGTGGCAGCTAAGACACTGAAGTGCAAAAGGAATGTATTATGTATTGATGCACTATTTGTTGAAATACTTGATGTATTTATTAAGACAAATGTATTTATTTTATTTATAAATAAAGCATTTTTTATACTTGAACATTTCCCCATGATTATGGCAGCCCTTGTATAGCCATATTTAGTTCAGTGCGTATTTTCAGCTCAGTATCATATCTTATTATTGAGCATGCCTCTCTTTAAAGAAAACATACACAGCATTTGTTCAGTCAATATTTTATCTCACAAATATTTACAAGTACTGGCCGTAAATAGTGCAATGGCAATAGACATAATTTCAGTCAACATAAAAAGCAAATGATGAAATACAGATCACAGGGCGGCGAGGAGACAAGACCGTACCAAAAAACACATTCCTTTACAACTTAGGACCTAAAATCCCAGCGATAGCACCAATAGATTCACTGAGATACATACATACTAGAGCACAGGTCCACATGATGTGACAATGTAGCAGCGACAAACAGAAGATGGAGCATGACAAAAACACAGAAATAGCTCGTAATTGTAGTAATAGTAAAAAAGTATAAAAGTGTATGCACATTAAGAGCAAATAAAAAATTAACAATTAAAAATAGCATGAGTATCCATGAGTTTTTCCACGTTTGCAGTTTAAAACACTGCAGTAAATAAATTCAATAAACCACTGGCTATTTAGTTAGCTAGACTGGTACCATGACCGCTCTCCTGTGGTCATTTCCACAAACCCATCTTTGACAGGTTCCTCACACCGGTCACTCTATTGTCCTTACACAAATAAACATGTGTACACAACCTATTCCAAATAATCAGCTCATGTTTCTATATCGGAACATGGTGCATAAAAAGAAACGTTTTGGTCCAACTTGATAATTTTATCCTGAGTTTCATCCCTGATGGAAGCGTAGTAAAAAGTTTGAACTCTATTTTTCAGTGTTGCCGTCCCTCATATCTGAAAAGAAAAGAGCATTCATTTTAATAAGAACATCATCTCACAAGAATAATTCATTTAATATGGACAGTTCTACATTGTAGTTAGTTAGTATTATCATTTAACACCTTCCACACAGCAGGTGGCAGCACTTGCATACCACGTTGATCTTTTATTAGGGCATTATTAGAGTATCTATGATGTGTACGTGATTTTTTTTAAATACATTTATTGCAAAATTGAGCATAATGAATTAGAACTAGCATTACATTTTTAATACAATAAATGATTAAGTAAATGATTGACAGAGGGAACCGTCAGCTCTGTCACCAGAAGATTGTGAGAAAGGTTTGCACCATAATGTCGTGCAATGATCATGTTTTAAATGATGAGTTCACTTTGCTTCTATCAGTAAGACCTTATGTTTCACCATATTGTACAAACAGTCTCTTGAAATCTTTTTTTCTCCAACTCTAATAAACGGCTGAACGCTGTAGCTCGTTGGTAATAAGGACTTAAGTGTGTGTTTGAGATTCTATTGTTGTTGTTCATCTGTTTGTATGGATCTGTTTCATATCGCCTATTGCTCATGCTATTGTTTGACATTTCTTGTGTTTTGTGTACATGCGTATATGTATTTGTATGTGTATCTGAATCTGAATCTCTGAATAAATTACTAGGAGGAATCAGCATAAACAGCAAGTAGAAGCAAAAGTGTTTTTTTGGGGGGAGGCCGCTCATCAGGGACAGCAGGTGCAGAAACCATGCACCGTGGGAGCAGGGAGACATCGCATCAGTTTACTTTCGGCAATTAGAAGAGTTTTTTCTACTCATGTTTGCTACACAATGCTTTGACCAATTATATTGTGCATTACCTTCCAGTGTCTGTATGAAATCAATGGGCAGATCGTCCAATTCTTTGATGCTATTCAACAGGTCGGAGGGTGTGGCCTGACCCATGACCCTTCTGCTCTTCCACTCCACCAACATCTTGAGCTTCTGCATGGTCACGTCCTTCTCCACCGTCTGAATATCGTCCAAGTCGCGAGAGCTCAAGTCCAGATATATGGCCACCTGCTTCCACTCCTTCCCCAGCCTCTTGGCCACCTGCAGCAGCTGCCTCTCGGTCATGTCCTGGGCTGGAGTCTTGGCTGGTTTCCTCCCGTCTGCAGCGGGATACACATGTACGGTGAAAAGACTCGGCCATAAGACTAATGTTTTGTGGAATGGGCAGCTCACCTGACTCGATCTCCCATCGGGACCTTTTACAGTTTGTCTCTTCTTCAGATGGACTGCTACTTCGCTGTCGGCCTACACAAGCATCAAGCCAGTGATACAGGAGAACTGTGAGATAATAATATAAATCACAAAAGGATTTTACCAATGGTTCTCTTCCTGGGCTTTTTTTCTGGATCCACACAGTCACCTTGAAGAGTTGAACACAAGCTTTAGAGCATATATTCAGAGACAGTTATCATAAATGTAGCAATACCTTCTCTGATGGTTGCAGACCAAACGGTTGCATCGGTACAGGTCTCTATAAGAGACATTTTAAAAGGAGGAGGCTGCTCAAAAAAGGCTTCAAAGTAACCTTTCATTTTTGTCACAGCAAGGGTGAATTTCAGCTCCTGTTTAAACAAGATTTTAGTCCTAATTGTTAGAAGTTGTTTTATCTGACCATTATGTATAGCTGCATGTAGGACCTGAGGTTTGACTTCTCCCTCTGGCTCACACAGGAGGCGGTAAGTGCCTTCATCCAGTTTACAAGTGGGAGGTTTCTCGATACTGATGTAGCGATTCTTGTAACCACGCACCTGGCAACGAATATCCTGCAAAATCAATAGAATGTAGTTGAGCAGAATGAACTCCTTGCATAGCATCAAATATGAATATTTCTTCAATAATTTTAATGTGGTCTGCTATACAATTGAGATTCAACAATGAAGGCATAATAAACTAAAATACGGCTGAATAAAGCGTATATAAAGTGTAAACTGGCTCAGCCCAAACATCCTCTGATCGCTGACTTTGTCATGATGCCTTCAGGACGTCGTTTTAATGCACCAGCTCGGAAAACAAACCGTTTTTCCCATTGTTTTGTGCCCTCTGCTATAAAATTGTCGAACTCTAATGGAGGTGTTTGACCTAAGGGAATTGTTGTGTATTGTATTGTTTTGAACTTATATTGTGTAACCTGCTGCTGTGTGAACTGTGAGGCCTGACTCACTGTGTGTTTGTGCAGAGTCTGTGTGTACCGCTTTGAGATTAAGCTGCAAATGAATTTCCCTTTGGGATCAATAAAGTTTTCTGAATCTCAATCTAGAATCTCAAATTACACCATCAATAACAGAACGCTGTTGTTTCAAAACTGAAGTGTGTGGAACCACGTACATGTATTAAAAGAGACCTGAATTATTTGAGGTTTTTAAAGATGTAACAATCTATTAGTTTAAAAGATTGTATTAAAAGACTATTGAAAAGACATTTTCTGATGGAAGCTTAAGTCTGTTTGTGTGTGTATGTCTATAACTTCATATACAGTATATTTAAATTCTTTATATGTACAGTATGTGTGCGTATAACTGAGGAGAGGTTTTGTATGTGAAGTGTTTTTTTTTCAATTTAACTGCATGATGTGAATATTGTAATTGCTTGAACCGGACCCCAGGAAGAGTAGCTGTCCATTTGGAGACAGCTAATGGGGATCCAAATAAATAAACAAATAAACAAATTAGTAGAAAGACTATGTCCAGTTCTAACCAAAAAGTGGTTACGTTGTATCAGATGTACTTGAAAACATACTAAGAGCTGTAGAGTCTGAATGTCCAACGGGAGGAACAAGTAAAGCCCTGAAAATGTCCCACATTTCAGCTGCAAAAGTATGTGAGCATAGTTCCTTGGTAATCCAAGATGTCTGCCCATTCAAGCATACTCACACCACGAATGCCCCAAACATTAGCTCATGTCTCTTTCTGCTTCTCCTGCCCCCTAAGTCCCGTTGACAATGGATTAAGACATTTAATTCCTTTTTGGAACAGTCCACAGCACTTACGCACATTGTTGAAACTTGTGCTTGTCCACAGCACCACTCCCATCCACATTAGGAGTGGTGCTGTGGTCACTGATTCTAGAAGTGTTGTTTTTGTTTATACAGTATATGGTAAATTTGGCTGTTTTTGTGTCCTGAACCTGTGCATGTGTATTTGTGGTCCACTTGAGTGTTGTTTTTCCTTCACTTCACATGTCTTCCAACGTCAATTGGAAGACATGTCTTCCAATTTGTGGGGATCCTTTGCAAGAAAACCCCCAAAAAACTTGTTTGTGGTCTAGACAAAGTCGGGCGGCACGGTGGCTGAGTGGATAGCACTCTCGCCTCTCAGCAAGAAGGTCCTGGGTTCGAATCCCGGTCGGACCAGGGACTTTCTGAGTGGAGTTTGCATGTTCTCCCCGTGTCTGCGTAGGTTTCCTCCGGGTACTCCGGTTTCCCCTACCACTAAAAATATGTCCAATAGTTCTGGCATGCGCCTCCTGTACTGGCGACCCCGCTCCCATCTCTGTGTGGAGTGAGAGACAAATGCCCAAAAATTGACAATTGTAAACCGCTTTGAGACTCAGATCTGCAGTGAAAAGGCGGTATATAAATACAAACTTACTTACTTACTTACTTACTAGACAAGCCACAGTATTCCAACGGCCATTGGTCAGTGATTGACAGCATTGAACAATGACCCTTCCTTCCTCTTGTACATTTACTATTGCTCTGTTAATGTTTAGGACATCCCACTTCAATTTTAAGAAAAAACCCTGGCTTTTCCCACAGAATACATTACAAAAGATGGAAAAAATTAAAAGGGATCTGCAACCACAAAATGACTCAAGAGTCAATTACAGTTGATTAATGTGTTGTCACTGAAATGTACAGGACAGTTTTTAAAGCAGGTATTTCCTTTCCTTTCCTTTCCTACCTTAATATCCGAGGGGCTGTTGGTGGCCAGGTAGATGTGGAAGCTGTGGCAGTTGTTGCTGCTGGCGACCTGCTTGTAAATGAGCACCACACCATGGTGCTCCACAGGCTGGCTGGTCTGGATGATGGGGCCTACAGGGGACAGCGAGGTCACGTTCCACTTGACGTGGCTGCCCGAGTGGTCCACTGTGGGCTCGATGAGAGGACGCTGATTCTTCATATGCAGAACACTGAATCTGCGATCACTATCAGGGTCTAGGGGAAATGATAGAAAAGTAGAATTCAACAACATGATTTACAAAGCTGCGCTAAAATTAGTGTTTTATTTTTGTGATTTTTATTTCGATCTAGAGTTTTTCCCAGAAAAGTTTATTTGAGTAAGATAAAAGTTGAAGTGAAGCCACCTGAGGTATTCAATAGTTGCTTTCATTTTCTACTATAAAAAGACGATTACACAATTCTTTTATTTTTTATAAAATTCCATATCTGAGTCTTAAAATCACATTGTATGAGTTGTACAATGTGAGTAAGTATCCAACAGTAAACAATTAATTGATTACTAAGATAGTTTTTCAAATTATTAAAATCATGGACAATGGGAAGTCGCTTTATGTGTTCCATTATTGCTTTTCCTTGTATTCCTTCCTGATGTTGGAATATTGATGATTGTGATTTAAGGCAAAACACAAATACATTGAGAATACTTGATTAGTTGCTTTTTAAAAAAATCAATAGATGAATTATCTAATCTCTGGTTGGCTTTCTGCATACACTTATAATTACGTAGTTTGAGTCCAAGACATATTCATTCATAACAAAATAACAAATGATTTTGTTGTCATAAAATATCATGAGGCTCTTACCTGCGAGACAGACAGAGTGCGGGAACTGGATGGACTTGAGCACAGAGGCATCCTTATTCACCGTATCCACGTTAAAGATGGGTCCGGCAAACTTCCAGGAACCCCCGAGATACGCTCCGAACTTGGCCCAGGACAAGACGCAGTAGCGCACCACCACTGGCTCTGAAGCCTCGAATACCAGGCCAGTCTCAGCGCACTCATACGTGCCCTCTCCATCCAGCTTCACTCTGACCACACACACACAGCAGGTCAAACAAACAGCTAAAAAACGAAAAAGACAAAACATGTGTCGTGCTGCTTACTGTAATCTTCCCTTTGCTAGCTTTATGGGCCTCACAAGTTCTTTACCGTGGCTCTAAGGGACAAAGAGCATTTATTCATATATATATATATATATATATATTGTTCAGAATGATCATATGTGCAGGAAGTACGTTGGCTCACCTGCTGTACTGCCTTGCATTTTTCACAGCAAAACTTGAAAGATCGATCTTCTAAACACAGGAGAAAATCAGCAATCAACACGTCATCAATCTACTAATTCTAATGTAGAGCACTGGTTCTCAAAGTGGGGGCCAGGACCCACAGGGACAAGACTCTATGCTGGAGGGGGATGATGATTTAAAGATAATATTTAATACTTTCACTTTATTCGACCACAGACTGTAGAAAGCAAGGACGGACACACCCATAGTGTTTCCCTCACTGCAGATGAGAGCTAGCTCGAAACAGGCTATTTGAATGTGGCAATGTGGAGCCAAATGTATACAAATGTGTTAGGTAGCAACAGCAGCGCAACCTTTTGGTCGGCCAATAAGGAGCGGCGCCGGTCCCTTAAGGCTTGCGCTACTCACTAGCTGTAGCCGAATTTGGGGACAGCAGTTTGGCTCCTATCAGGATTTGCAAAGACAATATAAAAAAAAGAAGCCCTGACCCCTGTTGTAGAGTATTGTTTGGGTTGTGAGAATTTGAGAGTGTTGGATTGAATGTGTACCTTTGTGTTTATTTGCTTCGGCAGAAATGACATCCTCCACTGAACCTGAAAACAGACCATTTTCAGCTGAACTCTTTATCCCAGCAAATGCTCCTGATCCAAATATGATCCGTAGAGCAAAGTCTGATTTACAAATAAAGCTAAATGGCATAAAGGAAAGAATGACGCACAACACAAAAATGATAGGTGGATTGTATACACGACGACACCGCAGGTTAAAATTAGCAAAAGTGCGTACATGTAAAGCCATTCACAAAGTCATGGGGGAGGGGGGAAACAGAACTCACCATTAGCAGCTGGTTCATTATGGCACTCTTCTGTATCTGCAAAAATAAGACATTGAAGGTGAGCAGTGAAGCTGACATCTTTGAACCAAAACAATACGAGATATTCACTCTGTAGGGACGTTTTGCAGTTCCATGTTTAATGTATGTTCACCCAGAGAAGGAACTATAGACTCAAATTTTACACATTCAGATTTTAGTTTTGTGACCATAGAGCCTTCAGCGGTGTGTGTAGTGTTTGGGGGGGGATATAAGCTCAAGACTCATCACCTCCCTCCGCCTCTGCCACTTCTTCTTCTTCCTCATTTTCCTCTTCATCTGAACTATCTTCACTGGACGACTCCGTGTTGTCTTTAACAAATAAAAAACAATGGTAAAGACACATTTGCTGTTTTCCCGACAAAGGGCCAGTATGTTAAAGTGTCTCACCTGCACTGCTGCTGTCGGTGTCAGCCTGGTCACCTGAAACATACACACATGACAAAACATATAGTAGTATAGCATATAGTCTGAAGCGCTTATACATTGAGAGTTTGTGAGATTTGACATTGCACCAGCTTGATTTTATTACACAATAGAATGGACCACCTCATCTATCAGAAAGCCTATTCATCTAATGGACTTTGCTTTACCAGCCTGCACTCTCACTCTTGTTTTATGTACCCGCCTCATAAAACCAGAACCAAACAAACATAGCTGCAAACTGACTCCATGCTACTTAAAAAGGAGGTATTAGACTGCCATCTTCTGGCACTTTATCACACATACAGAAACAAAACATAAGATAACATAAACCTTTATTCATCCCTCAGTGGGGAAATTTCACTGTCTCATCTTTGCTCACAATACAGCAGAATAAAAGGAGAAATAAGACCACTTCGGATAGGCACACATCAAACAAAATTAACATAAGATAAGACAAAGAGATCCTTTATTCGTCCCACAGAAGAGATATTTCAGTGTTGCATTACAAGTTATAGAACAGTAGGAATGAGGAGCACACAGCACAAGATAAGTGAACAATAGCTATAGTAATAAAAATAAAACAAAATCTCTAACTCTAGCATCAATAAAAGTATAAAATCTTTATCTTGAAAATAATAATAAAAGAGCAATCTATTATTTAGGACAATAGATCATAAAATCATAAAGACTATACATGTAAACTATAAATGGGCACCGTTGTCAAAGATAAGAACACTTGTGGAGCAGGTTTCACTTTTACAAATAGTTAATACTGTTCTTCAGCGGCAGAGGTTAGACTAGACTAAAAATAACATTAATAAAAGCAGCAGGTAAAGTGACTAGTGAATGAAGATCAAAACCTATTTACTTTGACAATATTTGCTTATGGTGAAGAAAACACAAATCGCAATTTTAAAATAGATTCACGACAATTGCATATTGTTAGGGTCATAGAAATAACCGCCAAAGCTTGTGATGCTGGCCACCGATGGCCATGAAACTTAGGCGATAGGTGAGATATGCTTTAAGACAGCCATTCCCAAACTCAGTAACACCGAGGCCCCCTTAAAAATCTGATGGGTCTGCGTGGCCCCCCAAAATAATAACCAAGAAGACAACATTAAGAATAGGCTCTTCTGGTTATTTTATTTTGGGGAAATAGCCTCTGCTACAAACATTTTAATACAAAAATGATTACAGTGGATTATTCAAGTCAAATAATGAACACAAATATTTTAATATTACAAACAAAACATTATAAATTTAACATTAAATAATAATTATTATTATTTTATTTTTTTATGACCTCCCGCGGCCCCCCTGCAGTACCCTCGCGGCCCACCAGGGGGCCGCGGACCCCACTTTGGGAGACACTGCTTTAAGATATCCTGAGATACATTTACTGCTTAGTAAGAGTATAATATCTAGCTTACACAGACAAAAACCTGTATTTTGGATTAGTAGCCAACATCAGGTCACTTGTCTGTTTGATCTACAGCAGACAGATGATATACAGTTAACCCCAAGGAAGGTCTGTGAGAGTGATGATAAGTTTACCTTTGTCCTGTGGGGCAGGGATATCAACATCTCTGTAAAAAGGGGAAAAGGAAGTTATTTAGGAAGTAAAAACATTTAAATAAAACAACTTATGTTTGTGGTCATGAGGTGAGAAAATGTGGAAAGGGTCATGGGTATGAATACTTTTACAAGCCACACTTTTGTTTGAGAGTACATTTTTAATCCTCATGTTCAATCTACTAACTTTAGCAAGGGATATGGCTGTATATGGGACTGCCAAGGGGGATGGAAATGTTCTGAGATCTCAAAGTAACTATAATGATTTCTCGAAGGCTTAATAACAATGTTGTGGCAGATATCGTCATACATTAGTTGTTTCATTATTAGCAGATTTGTCATTTCTGTTTTTTAGGTTTCAACATAATTGTTTTTTTTACATCACAAAGTTGGTAGTATATAAAAAGACAGACTATAAAGGTCTAATAATATGTATATTTATGACAATAGCTGTCCGTTGGACGAGTGGCGAGACCTGTTTCCGCAAGGTGAACAGGATGCAGCACGTTTAACAGATATAAGAGTAGAAGTGAAAGTAGGTCACATGCAAACTATCCCTGTGTTTCCTCCATCAGTTGCAAATGAAGGAAAAGCGTGTAGCCGACGATATGGTTTATTGTGGAAAGCTTTCTATATTCCACATCTGTGATTCATGATAATGGTTTCTCTTTCTCTTCATTGAGCTACTCTCTGAAACAGGAAGTCACACATGGCCACCATCACTGCTCCCTCCTCATGTTCTTGTGTACATGTTAAAATATACAAAGCAGGATGCATTTGGCCACATAAAGCTGAGGCAGCCCGCACCTGAGCAGTCGTTTGGCCTTTATTCCTGCCTTTTGTGATCGCTTGTGGGACTTTTCCTGGCGTGTGCACTGACACCAGACAACCTGACTTTGTATTCACTAGAGGCATGAGTCACCACTGGTATCAGGTCCCTTGTCTGTGGAATACACTGTAAATCATATTGAACAAACAATAGGAGGCAGTGGCTTTTTACTTCTATTCAAAAACATGTTAAACTGCTCCATATAAAAACAAGTAATAGTCTACATTCAACTACTTCAATACATAATAACTATACAATAAACAATGTTGCTTTAGAGGTGACTGTATCTTTGCCTGGTATGTCTAGATTTCAATATTGTAAGCAGATATAGATTATAGTAAAGAATATGTATGTTCATAGAATATGCATAGTGGGTTCATTTGTAAGATCGGAAGTAAATATAAACAGTATGAAGATGAGGTCAGTGTTGTGAAGAGGAACCATAAATGAAATGAGTCACACTACAAAGACGCCACTTTCTCTTCCTGTCTCTGATGGTTGGCAAATGATAATAACAATACATAATAATATTAATACAAACAGGGCTGAAGTACAGGGTAAAACTAGCTCTCATAAATGTGCAGAGACTGAGACGCATGTTGAACTCAGCTTTAGAAGCTCCAGTAGCGGTGCGCTTTTTTCAACAACCGCAGGATCCACCATCTACGCATAAATGCTCTAGAAATCAAACTAAAAGAGTTCCGTGGCTTATTACTGTTTATAGAGCTAACAGTGATCTTACCCGTCGTCGATGTGCGCAGCAGATCCACAGCTCGCCATCTCTGCCACCATCCTGTAACCAAATCGTGTAGCACTTTTGTATCCTGTGGCTGCGCGTAAAATCTTCCACTGATATTTGATCCAGGGCTGGCGCTACTGCTGTGCTGTTGTAGCTATAACATGTTTGGTCCTCATAATCCTCGTGGCCAAACAACATCTAACATATTTCGTGCGAGCTGCTGCAAAGCATGCCTCCCTTCTTCGCACAAAGCTTTTGGAGAGATGATGAGGAGCATGCACTTCTATACGCCTCTGGAGAGTGCGTCCAAGTCCATCTACTATAATCAAATGTTGCAATAGAGAAAGCATAAACAATTACTGTTATTGTCACAGATCTTCAAAATAACCCATGTACTTCACCTAAACTGCGCATGTGTACAATAAAAGCGGGTCGAATTGGAGGAAGCCCACAAATCAGCGAAGGCGTGGGAGGGCCATGGATCTATTATGGGGAGGGCCCCCTCCGTGCGTCGAGCCGCCTCCATCTGCCTACTGTCATATCTGTGGATCATGAAGAGCTAAACGGGAGGAACTAGAAGGTATTATTGGTCTGTGAGGTAGAGTGGATCAATCGTTTCGTCTTTCCGATTACATTTGCACTACTGCCCGATGTATTTTGAGTTACTTTTGGCGGGAAACGAAAGGGTTCGTTGTCACGGGCTGCAGTGGCCACAAATAACCACCAGAGGTCCTCAGAGGCCACAAAACAACAGTCAGATTGATCCATGGATCTATAATAATAACGGATTGATCTCATCAAGCTCTTGATATATTCAAAGCCATGTTGTGGAAGATCACAGTCAAAGACTCCGCACGTCCGTGTAAACTATAGGTGTTTGCACATAGGCTTATCAGAAACCACCCAGTTCACTTTTGCACTCTGTAAACATGGTTCTAACTGGATTATTATGAGCAGCAGGGAACATTTATCGATATTTATTGATTTGGAGTATTAAAAAACATCCATAATTCAACTTAAACAAATAATCTTTTTACTGAGACGTCTCCAAGTTCCCATGACGTGAGCACATTTAAGTTTTTTAAGCTCTGGAAGTATAAATTCTTTCTTTGAATTGTTTTCTATCTGTGTCAAAAAGCTTCTCATGAACATAAAGATGTAAAATGTCTTGACCATTTAAGTATAGCGACAAATCCGGTACTACAAGTCACCCACATCAACATCAGACAATTGGCATGTTGTAATTTTGAGTTGGACTATTAGCGATGTGTGATGCACCAAAAAGCAGCCAGAGGAGAAAGGGCCAGTCAGAGACAGTGGCACAGCCCAAAGGGACAGATCAGCATCAGTCTGAGTGGCCAAACGATATCCCAGATCCTAGCAAATGGGCAAGACTGCAGAGAGGACAGGAAAGGTCAAATGGACTCACTTTAGACAATGGAATTCAAGCTGTGTGACTGTATTTCCCATAATCTCTGTCTGTATGCATTTAACAAATTATCAAACACTCCTTATGTCTCAATTAACAACTACTCAAACACATCATTTTAGCAGCAGATCCATACAGTACTGATGTGTATGCAGTGGCACCAAGGAACCAAAGGTTCATTATTCTTGGTGTGACAGAATCCACCACTTTCTTTGTGTCTCCATAGCTCTAATGGGTGTTCTTTAGCTTCCAAGTTGTCCCTATTCACTGTCTCCATAATGAGAAGATGTAGTATTTTAGTTCATGAAAAATGTTGTACGTTTAAGAATTTCTATAATTAACAGTAAAGCAAGAAAACCCCCAAATTAGTATAGTTTCCACAAAATCTTTGCCAGCAATGATATGCTAAACATTTCTCTTGCTCAATTTCTTGATATTAATTCGGCGCAAACTTTTGACGTCACCGACACCTAGTACCTACAACAACACCCGCCTCCTCCGCGCTCTGTCGGGATACAACACGATAAAACCCGTGGGGGCGGGTCCCGGTTCATAAATGCTTGCAATCTCACTCCTAGCTGGTGGGGGTGTACCCAGAAAGAGAATTACCCAATGCTTTTGTATGCCACCTTCTTCCCTCTCAAAAAAGTTGGCTCTTGGCTCAACGCTACGTTCCATATTTTTTGTTTAGCCACTGTGGACTTTTGAATGCACTCATTAAGTGAATGAAGCTAATGCATGCCCAAATGCATTTTCCTACCCCGCTGCCATTTAGAAAGAGCCCACAGAAGGCAAAAGTTAGTTAGTTAGTTTCAATGGCGGAGCTAGGCGTGACTACGTCCGTTAACATTTACAATCTATGGATACAACCGAGGTAACCGCAGGCACTAGAATGTAGGGTAATAATAATTAATCGGCCAGGCTAATGTGGAGCAGGTGTTTTGTCAGTTTCAAGCCCTCTCATAATAAGAGTCTCGCTCCAGCTCGCAGTACAGATGTTTATTTTGAAAATACAACCGGAAGTATGTGTTTGGTTCGGAATAAAGACATGACTTTGAGATGGAAGCATCAGATTAAGTGAAACACGTAGGCAACACATGGCCCAGGACATGAACATCCCCCGACAGTTCCATCGGAGTTTTCACCTAGAAGAAGATGTTGTATTTATACAGCACATTTCATAGAGGAACCTGTAAGTCATTGTGCTTCACAGGGAGCTGTTTAACTAGATACATCCTAAAGGGCACTGAAGAGGTGATGACACTGCCCAAGGACATAATCTGAGTTTAAAGTCTTCAAGTCTTTAGTTTACTTACTAATGAATTCAGGGTTGCCGCAAATGTATTATCTTTGGGCATAGCATTCCATTTACAAGGAGCACAATTGGAGAAAGCTGCTTCTCTAACCTTTAGCCTCACACGGGGATCAGCAAGAAGGTTGAGGTTCGAGTCTGGGCCCCCCCCCCCCATTTTCCCTTTCTGGGTCGGCCGGGGTAGCAAGCAGCTGCCACCCAATTCACAAAGCACCAACCCCAGTGTTTGAGCATGATATGAATATGAATTAACATATAGATAGATACTTTATTGATCCTCCGTAGGAAAAATAAAAAATAAAATGTATCATTATAAAAAGCTAACATTAGTTTATAATACGCAACAGCCCTTCTGGTCACAGCAGAGGTGGTGTAGCCTCTGGGTGGAGCAGGACAGGTCACAGCAGCAGAGGTGGTGTGTCTGAATCTGAATCTGAATGTTTCATTAGCATTCTTCAAAAAGTTAGCATTCCTCCAGTGGATTTTCACCTGATCCGCTTGGTTTGGACCATGAATCCTGTCTGCTCCGGTCTGGACCAGTGCAAAACCCTGAACACTGTACGGCAGCAACATCTCAGGGAGAAAAAAGCAAAAATAATATAATAACAATTGTAAAGCACAAAACAACAACTGTTTCAGAGCTACTTGGGACTTGCTGCCGTTTCCAGAACATTCAAAAGTAAACAATGTATGATTTATTAACATGACATGAACAAAACAGGGATCATTCTTGGCCCAGGTCGTCTGGCGGCTCCTGAACAATCTCCCAATCCCTATTGCCACTCTGCCCTTGGGTTGCATATGATCTTACTGTTGTGGGGTATTTTAAGGCGTACACATAGGATATAAATTATGCAAGATTTGGAAGAGCAACAGGAAGATTTTGTATCTTAGTCGGACTCTGAGCCGTGCGGTTAACAAGTGGTGCATTTATTGTTTGCATTAATCTCTGCAGTGTTCCCTTTTCAATAGAAAGCCGGGCTGCTGAGTCAAATCACTTAGTGCTCTACCACTGCGTGTATCTGGATAAGATTGTCAAAAGGCTACCTTTAATGTCCAATTTGGCGGTCAAAAAGCAGAGCTCAGCAAAAACTTTCCAACTCAAGAAAATTATTAAAAGCTTTGCCAGATTCCCAAGAGACTTTTTCCTCCAGGTTCCTACAGGTTTGTAATCGTTTGGGGTTTTGAATCTGGTCATAAATTCTGCAGTTTATCAATTAAAAATACACAACAAATGAAAATGGTCGAGTTAAAAGGGGAATGTATTGCATTTGGTAGAGCAATTGAGGTAATCAATGAAATCCGTTTTTTAAAATGGGTTGAATTATCAGTTAACCCGTAATATCAGTCTGAAACCCCTACTGCTTAGTTGACCCATACACAGCCTTGTTGGGTATTTACTCAAGAATTGTAATAAATATTTGTATTAGTTAATGGAATAAATATGTTATCCAGTAAAGGTATATCAATAAACTGTCACACAATACTTTTGGTCCAAAACTCTATATCACTGATTGTGTTCGAATGACATTGGTCAAATACTCCTCTGTGCCCTTTTTGTTGTATATACTGTAGTTTAGTACTCAGACATCGAATTAGTACTACTACAGAGTACAGAAAACCTATGTACTATGATTTCCTTTCTTGTTTTGTAAAGCACTTTGTGTTGCGTTGTGCCTTATTTGTTCAACAGAAAGTCTTGCGAAAGTAAAACGTTGTGAACAAATCTGACTATATCTGTTTTTGCTGTATTAGAACACTTAAGTTATACTTTTGAATTGGTCCGAGAGCTGATTGTGTGTCCGACAAAGTGTGATACTTTGTCCCCTATTAAAGGCCACTTTTTATGAATGTATTTCATACCTGTCTTTAATGCGTGTCTTTTAGATGTCAATTTTGTGCTTGGGGCTTCTTTCTTCTTCGTCATGCTAAAGTTGGAGATTTTCAATATGCTAAAGATAGTAATAATTGTATGTTTTATATCTTAGAAATGTATGCTGATGACTTTTGACTGTTTGCACCGAGAGCCAAAGTAATTTTCTAGTCTGTGACTTCCTGTTACTTACATGGCAATAAAAATGACTCTGATTCTGATCTTGTGCCGTGTGCTCCTCATTCCTACAGTCTGTAACTTGTGATGCAACACTGAAATGTCCCCACTGTGGGACGAGTAAAGAATCTCGAGTAAAAAATGTTAAAGGCTCACAGATGAACCTCATCAAGGAGGAGACGCCTGATTTAGACTTTTTAGAATGAATTCTGCCTCTCCTTTCCACTCGGACCAGCTTACCCACAGTGTGGTCCTGTTTTTTTTTCCACTTTTCTGTCTGAAAAAGCTGAGAGGCTAAAGATACATGCAGTAAATTATAATGAGATTAGATTACACTCATGTGAGCTCTGTTTAATTGTTTAGGAAAGATGTGAGCATTCAGGAGTCAGTAGGAAATGTACAAAGACAATGTAATGTACTCAGATATACTGTTTTTATTTAAAAAATAAGCAATGTATCATTTTGATTTTATTTCACAGTTGCCTGGTACTTTATTGTGGTATTTCAAAAATATCTCTTCAAATGTTCAAATTGCCACAGAATGTTTCCAGACAAACTCTTAGAGTATTCTTAAATATGATGCTGAAAAGCTGAGCCGAAAAAGAAGGTTATTGAATCTTAGCACTTAGCACTCTCACTCTGTGGTGGGTTTCAGGGAATCAGGCAGACAGGATGTGGTGGAGCAGCTGATATTGATGTTTGGACAATTTTGTGATCATTCTAGTTACACTGTTTGATCAATGAACAATATTATGTTATAATTATAAAATTAATACCTAATGATTGTGGGTTCGAGCTCAGCACGACCCATGTCACCTACTCCCACTGATGTCTGCTGTTGTTGTGTGCCTGGGCAAGACACTTAACCCCACATTGCTTAAAGTATACATTTGTTGTCAGTTGTATATATTGATATTAAGCATATTTGCACAGTTGTAATCGTAGAACCCTATTATCTGATTTGTTAATAGGGTTCAGTCAACTTTTTTGTTGACTGAAGAAATAATGATAAACTAAAACAAAACATCTAAACAATACAGTAGCCTCGAGTCAGATGTGATCTAAAAAAGGCATTATTTCCACTGCACATGTCAATAAGCAGCAGAATAGCCACAGTGCTGGGAAAGACCAAGCCCCGTGGGGGTACTGGAGGCTGTGAGCTCTGCCTGTCGCTCGGTCTGTCTGTCTCCATCCAATCTAGTTTAAAAAATATATGAAACAATAGCCTGGGTTATCAAATCATGGAACTTTCCATTTGTGGATGAATTAGTATTTTGTGGTCAGTGATGACTATGCACAATGGAAAAGGGAATACTTTGCTGCTATTAACTCTTCAGACTTGAAGTCTTCGCGTAATTGTGATGTCAGGATGGAGGATGAACTGCCCTGTGGGGGGCACCTGCTGTCCCACTAGTGCTCCTCTTGTGTCAGTGTGGACACTGGACACACCTGTACAGACCAGGGAATCATACGCTGGACACTGACCATGTTCCGCTTGGCTGGGACAGTGGGCGCCGTGGTGTCTGTGTGTGTGATATGGGCGTGTGGAGCGTGTGGAGGGCTGCAGAGCTGCGGGGATGTCCAGTGCGGCGCTGGGCAGCAGTGTTGCCCCCCTGCAGGCCCAGGGAACAGCACCAAGTCCTCTGTGGGCTGCTGCAAACTGCCCATCCACGTCTTCTTCGACAACGTGGGATGGTTCACACGCAAACTCTCCGGGATCCTCATCATGCTGTTGCTTTTCGCCATGGGCTACTTCATCCAGCGCATCATCTGCCCGCGGCCGAGCGGACAGCCGAGCGCACCGGGGAGCAGCGAGGCGCCCTCCCAGTTCTACGGACATGCGTCCCAGTCCCAGGACTCTCTGTTGGAACAGTCCTACAGCATGGGGGACATGGCCTCCTCCAGTCTGCCTGCGTACGAGGAGGTGAAATACCTGCCCACGTATGAGGAGAGCATGCGGGAGGAGATGCACCGGGAGCGCTCGGATGAACTCCTGCTGTGCGGCAGCTCGGAGCGCAGGCGGGACGTCCCAGAGCCAGGACGGCTGCACAGTCCACGGACTTGTCGAAACTCTGTGTGAACATAGTTATGGACATGAAGACACATAGAAGAATTCACAGCTTCTCGGGTATTACTGGCTTCAAATTGTTCATAGATTATATTTACTCTTTTGAAACATGTTTTCTTTTCATAGCCTAATTCTTTATAAGCCCATTCTGAGGAACATAAACGATGGGCTACTAATGGTTATTGAACAGTGTTGGACGCGCTTAGAGGCTGTAGGTGGCGCTGAAGTCTCTGTAAACAATGGACACGATCCTATTATTAGGAAACATGATATCAATGATATAAAGTCATCAGTTTTTATTAAGCAGTCAAATGCTTTTACGATTAATGTGTACTTGTTAGTTCACACCTGATCTTTCTTTTATGCATTTTCCCAGAGTGAAAGTGTCCCAGATGCATTGGGGAGTGAAGCCGTAATACTGAAAGCATATCTGTTCCAGACAGCAGTCATGATGCCTAAATGGCCCTGCTGATTGTGGTGGCTTGAGAAACCCAACACTCCATGATGGCTGGGCCATATTGAACACTGATAGCTCCCTCCCCTCAGGGACATTTGTGGAGTGGCTGGAGTATGCACTTAAAAGCATTTAAATCCGTGTTTCAAACCCATTGATGGAGAGGTGAGCTGAGGCTTGTGGCATAAAGACTTTTTATGTGTACAAGGATGACTAAAGTAATTATCAATTGTGAAACTATTGTTTATTCTGACATCTTCCTGTGTCCATTTTGAAATAAACTTAACTGCAATATAATGCAGCAAAGTTTCCTTTTTACAAACATATAATCCTTACATTCAACTTCAAAAAAGGTAATGTAGGCAAAAAATTAACCAACAATCCATTTATTATTGGTCACTTTGAGAGGTGAGATCAATAAGGGACATAAATATTAAATGACAAGCAAGTAGTACATTATTTTTTTTATTATACAATTACCTGGAATGATTATAAAAGCTGAAGTGAAAGTAAGATCAGGTTTCAGTGATCTCATAAACAAACACTGCAGTGGCGAAATGACTAAAACGTCACTTTGGCCGTCACGTATAGAGTAGAAGAAAAATAATGCTTTCCAAATGCAACGTTTTTGATCCAAATACAACTTTTAAACAGTAGCAGTGTCAAGAAATGAGTAATCAAGAGTTGTGTTCACACACACTAAACCAAAGCTCTAGTTTATATTTTGTTGTTATATTTAGAATGCATCAGTTAGTCCTCTTATGTACATAAATATACAGTGCCTTGCGAAATGTATTGGATAATTTAAACTTTTAACAAATAAAAAACTGAAAAGTGGGACGTGCATTATTATTCGGCCCCTGTACTTTCAGTGCAGCAAACTCACTCCAGAAGTTCAGTGAGGATCTTTGAATGATCCAATGTTGTCCTAAATGACTGATGATGATAAATAGAATGCACCTGTGTGTAATCAAGTCTCCGTATAAATGCACCTGCTCTTTGATAGTCTCAGGGTTCTGTTTAAAGCGCAGAGAGAACCATGAAGACAAAGGAACACACCAGGCAGGTCCGAGATACTGTTGTGGAGAAGTTTAAAGGCGGATTTGGATACAAAAAGATTTCCCAAGCTTTAAACATCTCAAGGAGCACTGTGCAAGCAATTATATTGAAATGGAAGGAGTATCAGACCACTGCAAATCTACCAAGACCCGGCCGTCCCTCCAAACTTTCATCTCAAACAAGGAGAAGACTGATCAGAGATGCAGACAAGAGGCCCATGATCACTCTGGATGAACTGCAGATAACTACAGCTGAGGTGGGAGAGTCTGTCCATAGGACAACAATCAGTCGTGCACTGCACAAATCTGGCCTTTATGGAAGAGTGGCAAGAAGAAAGCCATTTCTCAAAGATATCCATAAAAAGTCTAAAGTTTAAAGAGCGACTAAACACCTGTGCCCAGCCTTACTCCGCCCACATGAAGATTTGAAAATTTTCTCTAAAAAGGGCGTTGCCTGGAGGACTAAGGGACAAGAAGGGGGGCTTAGAGTTGGGCGTGGTCTGGGCTGTGATTGACAGCTCACTTGTCACACACAAAAAAAAAACAGACAGTTGTCATTGCTGCTTAAAGCAATAGTTTACAGACCAGAAAGTCTCATTCCATCCTTACACACTAAGATAATTGTAAAGCTACACACCTGAACCTAATCACACTCAATAATCTCAGAATGACTCGTGTAATTTAATTTTAATCCACTAGATGGCGCCAGAATACTCCAAACTGCAGCTGGGGCGTGTGTGAGAGTTGAATGGGTTCACATCACTGGCTCTGACAGACTGAGGTCACAAAAAACAACTTATGTCATAGAGAACTTCAGAGTCAATGGAGAGGCCAGAACCAAATTCAAATGTAGTACCACCAAAAAGGTTGAGAGGGCACCACACAGCGTTTTTTGGCTCAAAAGTGATATTTTATCTAATTTGAACTAAAATGTCAAAAAAATGACCAGGATATGTAGACAGCACTACAATAAACATACTTATGCAGTTTATGCACACACCAAACATGAGGAAGAAGGTGCTCTGGTCAGATGAAACCAAAATCGAACTTTTTGGCCACAATGCAAAACGATGTGTTTGGCGTAAAACACAGCTCATCACCCTGAACACACCATCCCCACTGTCAAACATGGTGGTGGCAGCATCATGCTTTGGGCCTGCTTTTCTTCAGCAGGGACAGGGAAGATGGCTAAAATTGATGGGAAGATGGATGGAGCCAAATCCATCCATCCGACCATTCTGAAAGAAAACCTGTTTGAGTCTGCAAAAGACCTGAGACTGGGACGGAGATTTATCTTCCAACAGGACAATGATCCAAAACATAAAGCCAAATCTACAATGGAGTGGTTCACAAATAGACGTATCCAGGTGTTAGAATGGCCAAGTCAAAGTCCAGACCTGAATCCAATCGAGTATCTGTGGAAAGAGCTGAAGACTGCTGTTCACAAACGCTCTCCATCCAACCTCACTGAGCTCGAGCTGTTTTGCAAGGAAGAATGGGCAAGAATTCCAGTCTCTCGATGTGCAAAACTGATAGACATACCCCAAGCGACTTGCAGCTGTAATTGCAGCAAAAGGTGGCGCTACAAAGTATTAGCGCAAGGGGGCCGAATAATATTGCACGCCCCACTTTTCAGTTTATTTGTTAAAAGAGTTTAAATTATCCAATACATTTCGTTCCACTTCCCGATTGCGTCCCACTTGTTGTTGATTCTTGACAAAAAATAAAATTTTCTTTATGTTTGAAGCCTGAAATGTGGCGAAATGTTGAAAGGTTCAAGCGGGCCGAATACTTTCGCAAGGCACTGTACATATCATAAATGAAGTTCAACTTACAAAAGCAAAATGGTTTACATTACAGTGATCTCTTCATAAAAAGGCCACACTGAAGGACGAAAATAGGTCATCTAGTCTTATTCAATAAAAATAATAATATTCCGATATACATGCAAGTCATGAATGAATTATGACAGGCTTCTTCAAGATTTTTTTCCCAAGTGTTTTAATTACTCTTGAGGCATGAAAAGATAGAAAATATTTTAATTTTGAAAAAACATGAATTCTCCATGGAGTTGTGACATGTCCACTAGAGTGGACAACGTGCATTTGAGACACGGAATAGGACATTTAGATTTTATCTTTAGCATTGTATTTTTCTTATTTTAACACATTCCCAAACTGTAAAATGTGTTGTCTGAAACATACACCAAAGAAAAACACATTTGTTGCACTGACTAAATGACTGAAATACTATAATGAACTTGGCTGGTACTAATCAGCATAGAACTAAGACAAGACTTTCACATCTGCATGGGCTTGTACATCCAAGGTATTTAAGTATGACATGACCAAATGAATCCCTAGAAACTTCTTCAGTTCACCCAGTGTATTGCCCAGAAGTTATTTTCCATTTTGCAAAGCATGGAGGTCTGAGTTGACCATTATGTCATCAATCAGCTCATTCGGAATTTAATGAAGAAATCTTTTGGGGCTTCTCCCTCAAACTTCACCTACTACTCTCCTAAAAAGTAAAGAGTAAATTGTCTTGGCTTTGCAGACATGTCTGCTATCAACTATTTTGTGTTGAGCTTGGTCAAGTCGGACAGCACCATCTCCCTCAGCCTCGTCATTCACCTCAAAATCCTCAGCCTCTTCTCCTTCTACATCTTCAACTTCACTGTCGCAGCTGTTACAATTTGTTAATTGTCTTTTGTCTGGTACCATTCTTCATCATTCCCACCAACATCACCCTCACTTGAGTCAGATGGTAATTCCTGGACTATCCTCTAGGCTTTTCTATTCTGCTCTGGCCCTGACCGCTACAAAACACATGGAAAAGGATCATTTTTCTCATGATATGCCAAATATTCACAAGATATAATATATATCAAATAATCTAATTTATTTGCAGCCAAAACTGTGTTGAAAATGAAGTATTTCCAGAAACAACAAAGTTGCAGCAACGCTATGCACTGTATTCAAAATATAGCCAGTCATGCACTAGGCAAGGCAAGGCAAGGCAAGGCAAGGCAAGGCAAGGCAAGGCAAGGCAAGTTTATTTGTATAGCACAATTCATACACAAGGCAACTCAAAGTGCTGAACAGAACATAAATAATCACAGTACATAAAAAAAAAAAGATAAAAATATAAAATCCCTCAGTTGTATGCACAGCTAAACAGAACCGTCTTTAACCTGGTTTTAAACATTGTCAGAGAGGAGGCCTGTCTCACATCTTCAGGAAGACTGTTCCAGATTTTAGCAGCATGAATCTGAAAAGCAGCCTCCCCATGTTTAGTTCTGACTCTGGGCACTAACAGGAGTCCAGTCCCTGTGCTCCTCAGAGTCCGGGCTGGTTCATATGGGACTAACATGTCACTAATATAGTTTGGTGCGAGGCCATGGAGAGATTTGTACACAAGCAGAGCTGTTTTAAAGTCTATTCTCTGAGCCACAGGAAGCCAGTGCAGGGACCTGAGGACCGGACTAATGTGGTCGTACTTCCTGGTTCTTGTCAGGACTCGAGCTGCTGCATTTTGAATGTACTGCAGCTGTTTTACAGCCTGTTTGGACAGACCTGTGAGCAGGCCATTGCAGTAGTCTAACCTACTGGAGACAAATGCATGGATAAGAATCTCCAAGTCTGCTTTAGACAACTATGTTTTTGATCCTGGCAATGTTTTTTAGATGGTAAAAAGCTGCTGATGTTACTGATTTGATGTGGCTATTAAAATTTAAGTCTGAGTCCAGTATTACCCCTAGATTTCTGACCTTGTTTGAAGGTTTTAGGGAGAGAGACTGTAGGTGACAGATGACGCTCTCTCTTTGTTTCTGGGGACCAAAGACAATCATTTCAGTTTTGTCTGCGTTTAGCTGAAGGAAGTTGTTTTGCATCCACTCACTGATCTGTTGGATACAGTGAAGGAGTGAGTCCACTGGTCCATGTTCTCCTGCAGTCAGTGAGACATAGATCTGAGTGTCGTCCGCATAGTTATGATAGGACACTTTGTTTCTGCGTATTAACTGACCTAACGGCAACATGTAAAGATTGAACAGAAGAGGTCCCAGGATCGACCCCTGTGGTACTCCACAGGTCAGGGCCATATGATCTGAGACACAGTCTCCAATCTCCACAAAGTACTTCCTGTCTTCAAGGTAAGACCTAAACCAACTTAGGGCGGTGCCAGCGACTCCAACCCAGTCCTCTAGTCTCTGTAAGAGGATCTCATGGTCGACGGTGTCAAAGGCAGCACTCAGATCTAACAAGATTAAGATTGAGACTTTGCCTGCGTCAGTGTTCAGCCGGATATCGTTTGTAACCTTGACAAGAGCAGTCTCAGTGCTGTGGTGGGGTCTAAAGCCGGACTGAAACATATCAAATGAGTTGTTAATTATAAGAAATCTAGTAAGCTGTAGGTAGACAACTTTTTCAAGGACTTTCCCCATAAATGGCAGATTTGAGATGGGACGATAGTTGTTAAGTACCGTAGCATCCAGGCTGCTCTTTTTTAGCAGGGGCCTGATGACTGCCGTTTTCAGGGCCTTTGGAAATATTCCAGAATGAAGGGACATGTTTACTATCTGTGTGAGTGAAGGTAACAGACTGCCCAGAACAGACTTCAGAAATCTAGTGGGTAGTACATCCAGGCTGCATGTGGAGGAGCTCAAACTGGAGATTATCTCTTGGACATTTTTATCATCTACAGGTGCAAAGTAAGTTAGCTCAGAGAGCCTTTCTGGCTGTTGGATGGTTATCTGTGGATTGGAGACAATGGCGTTTTTGATGCCTTGAACCTTGTCATTGAAAAAGTGTGCAAACTCATTGCATTTACGTTTGGAAGTTAGCTCTAATGGCATCTGAACAGGGGGGTTTGTTAATCTATTAACTGTTGAAAACAGAACACGCAGATTGTTGCTGCAGCCTTCAATCATTTCAGAAAAATACCTTTATCTCGTACTACGTAGCACCCGGTTAAACTCGCACAACTTATCTTTGAATATCTTGTAATCAACCTGGAGGTTGGACTTGCGCCACTTCCGCTCGACCCTCCGGCACTTTCTCTTCAGTGCTCTGACCGAGTCTGCTTTAGCCCACGGCGCCTTCTGCTTATTTTTCACTATTTTAACCTTCACAGGGGCAACGGTATCCAGAACATTCAAAACACTAGAGGTGACAGAGTTAAACAGTTCATCTACAGTAGAATACGATGCATTTTCAAAGTTTATCATTCCCATAAATAGTTCACTCGTATTTTCATTTATGTGTCTTCTTCGAACAGTTGCAGAGTCCACTGGTGGTTTGTTAGTGAAACACATGTCAAAAAATACACCGAAATGATCCGAAAGAGCAACATCGACCACGCTTATATTTGAAATATTCACCCCCTTTGTAACTAACAGGTCTAGAGTGTGCCCTCTGCTGTGGGTGGGGCCACTCACGTGCTGAGTGAGACCAAAGGTATCAAGTAAAGAACTCAGCTCTTTTGCATACTACGTCCACTTTGTTGAAAAACTCAAGAATCACGTGTCCACCAATTATACTTGACGTGCACATATTTGTTTTTACCTGCTAAACCTTCCTGGAATATAATGTATGAACAGATTTTCCTCCTTCACTAAGCACATTTTCTCTTTCGTCTGCCATCTTTTTTTGGGAGTTTTTTTTTTTTTACATTTGTATTTTTACCAGGATGTAGCAGTGCATATGGGAAGACACACCAGGGTCCACTATAGTGACTAAAGTGCAACTGGGACTTTAAAACTCACACATATGGAAGAAAACAACTATTGAAAAGCTGTCCACTGTAGTGACCACTATCCATGAAAGGGTTAACATAATATTGAAAATTTAGCTAAATGTCTAACTAAATTTCCTGAAGTTTGAAGTGAACTTCAACCAAGTATTGGTTACTTTATAATAGTACCTTCCAGGGGAGGAAATAAAGTGTAATAAGAGTGTAAACTGACAAGTTTAAAAAGTCTTATAAACTTCTCTTTCCTAAGATGGATGTCCATATGTCCACCTACAGACTCCACACAAGTGCCCAGCCCAGGGAGCAAGGTGGTACCTTCTTACTTTGAGGCATGCTGACCTGTGGGTGTTTCCAGCATTCTCATCGTTCATGTGGACGGGCCTTAAATAATATTTTCAAATGATGATAACCTACCATATGTCGTTTACGCATGCAAAAATACATTTTTCAAATCATGTGCGGGGTTAGTTCTCATTGTACAATAAAAAGTGTAGGACAGTCTTCCCTCCAGCTCTGCTCATCAGCTGCTTTATATTTCATACCAGTTTATTTGGAGCCACACACATTAGCGACGCGAGGGCGTGCTGCCTCTATGGGACACGTTAGCTGCTTTTTCTCGCTCTTTGGATATCTCCATCTCAATCTTGACTTGGATTTTCTCCCAATCCACATCAACCTGCAAGAAATATATACCTTTTACAGATATACAATCAGCGTTTTGAAACAAATAATTTTTCAAACAGCATTCAATAAAGATAAGAGAATCTTTCTTTGTCCCACAGTGGGGAAATGTCGATGTTGCAGCACATACAGGAGAGTACCTGTAGCTATTAAAGTAATGGTAGTGATGTGTTTGTGAACCTGAATGCAGGTGCATACTATTAATCAGCTGTTTGAACATAATGAGAACGATATAGCAATAAATGTGGTATGATTATTACTGCAATCTAACACAGGGTATTCTGGTTTTCCAGTACAACTAAAAGAGGTACAATAGAATCCTCCCCTCTGGGGCCAGAATTCCACTGAAAAAGAGATTCTTAATTTTAAGAATCTCATGGGAGTTTATTTTTGTCTTATACCGCTTTTTGGATGGGAGCATTAGTTAAAAACAGATTTAGATCAAATATTTATAACAGTTTGCCAGAAGCTTGCCAGCATTGATTTTAAATAAATACGCACTTTTTGTTAGTTATTAGTCATGTTCAGCAATGGAAGCACTTTTACACTGGCCCAAAATAAACACATTAAATGCTGCATTAACTTACCCCTTCTGCGTACTGAAGAAAACTCTTATTAGATTCCTTTCTGCCAAACTTCTGGAGAAACTTCTCTCTGAAGGCCAGCACAGTGTCCACATGGGTCTTGTGTTTGACAGCAAGTTCTAGTGCCCTACAAGTGAACAGTGGAATCATGCATTGCCTCAATCGACTCCTATAAAACATTCAATTTTCTGTACCTCTCCCAGTTGAACAGGTCAATGTTCACCTGTATGGCCTGATACACAAGCCCAGCTTGTAAAAGAACTGCCTCTGCCTCTGCTACTTGACCCCCGAACAGCAGCATATGGGCCAGACAGGACTCTTTAGACGCCTGCTCCTTTATAAAGCGAATGTACTGCACGCGGGGAAGCTAAATGTGAAAAGGGCATCACATCCTCATTAATAATCTTTCCAAAATCAACAATGTGTAACTTTCTCCCAATTAGAAAAATGCTCAGACCTCTCCAATGGCAGCATAGGCCATCTCTGATGTTGTTAGCTCTTTACTTGCCATTGCCATTCCAGCGAGGCAGGCCCACAAAGCCTGGTCCTACACAAATAGGAAATCAAGTGGACACACCTTTAACCATCATCGGTTCATGCCATTTGACACTGTGCATTTTCAAACATTTCATGTATAATTTCATAACAGTACAGAATTTAAAAAATCTCAATAATTTGCAGCAAGTTGTTGTTACTGTTACAGCTTGAGCTCAATAGGCGGAAGAAAATGTTTTGACGCTTAAATACTATTATTATTATCAGAATCAGAATCAGAATCATTTTTATTGCCACTTAAGTAACAGGAGGTCACAGACTTGGAAATTGCTTTCGCTCAGTGCAACAGTCAGAAAGAGATAATAAAAATAAGAATAAAAAACACTTCTAAAGAATACATTTAAATTTAAAATAGAGTAAAAGTTACTATTTACAATATACAAGTGCACATGGTGCACACAATGTAAGGTGACAGCAGCACAGTGAAGTGCTATATAACAATATATAATTATTGTTATATAGCATTTTATACATCAGTGGGGGTCAACAAATGAAAAGTAATTGTTGGGGTATTTTTAGGGTTTCTGCCTGAGGAGGTGAAGCCTGTTTGGTCTATGAATAACATGCTTCAGGAATTAACCATCATTCTAACTGAAGGCATTGAATCCTTCTGTCTCAAACAAATACTCTATATTTACTGGATTTACACTTTAATTGAACCCCTAAACAATGTTTTCTGAATCTTTGAAACCGAATGAAACTCTACTGTCCTCTGCTGGCCATTAAATTCCTGTAAATAAAATCATGTAGGAATGATTCTTTTGTGTGATTCTCAGAAAAAATCTTACTTTAGCAAAGCGACACAAGTGAAGTGCGTCCTCCCAGCGTGCCGAGGAGCTGTACTCGTGGAGAAGAGCTGGATATGGAGGCACAGTATTGTACACCAAGGAACCATCCCCCTGGCGCAACGTCACTTTGGTGCCGACATAGCTCAAAATGTGTGGTGCCCGGGCAAACTCACTTATAAAAAGCAGAGGAAAATGCATTATTTTTTCAAAGAAACTTGCCCTACACCAACAAAAATAAAGTTGGTATATTTTGTGTTAAACAGTTGAAAATTACTACATTGTTCAGAAGTTAATTTATTTCTGTTAATCTTTTTGAAGTGTGAAACTAATATATGATATAAACACATTACCTGCAAAGTGACACATGCCAAGCCTTTGATCTCATTTTGATGATTATGGCTCAAAATATTATAGTTTTCTGAGAAGTTTTATTTGGGGTTTTTAAAAGCTTTGATCAACCTACTTACATTCCACACTTACAAAAGTAATAGGACTTTTGAATAATAATCAGATATTGATAGTTTGAGAAGACGTCACAGCTTCTTAACTAGCCGGTTATCTTGAAATGTTTTAATATAATCGACGCGTAATTGTCCATTTACTCACCTTCCTCCTTTTACATAGAGTGAAAGTGGGAGAAGTTCCTTGTCGACAAACACCACACTGGGGTAGTACCACACTGTAAACTGATTGTCTTGAATGCCACACAAAATATTAGCCGAATCATTCCATTGCATACAGTGGACCATACTCCCTGAAATAACATGCAATACACCATCAAATTTCCAACATTTCACAGTGCTAAAAAGAGAAAAATATTTACCAATTTTGCAAACTTTAGGCTGTTGACCATGATTTACAGAGGTGAGGTAAAGGTCACGGTTCTTGTCTATGAAAGCAACTTTACGTTCATTCCGGGGGCCGCACTGGTCCAGGCCAACATCTACCACCGCCATCTACACACAAGCACAGATATTATACGGAAGATGAAAAGGTAACTTGAAAAATCAGCAGTTATTTAGAAAAAATTAACCCCTTACATTGTGAGTTAATGGTTTTCCATCACCAAAAGCTTTTCCCGTCAGGGCGTCGAAGAAATATATGACTGACAGAAAAGAGGAGGATACGGTAGTGCTACAAAATTCTACTAATGACAGAAAAGTGTGACTAACCTTTCTCATCGCTTTTATCACGAAGAGCAATGGTGTCATTGTTGAGAGAGATGCCTTGTGCGTTGAGAATATCAGCCCTCATCCCAGGAAATTTTGGAGAACATATAAGGCGACCCTCATATGAAAATATATACAAGCCTGCTCCATCCACCAGCAAAAAATGTCTAGGTTTTGGAAACAAGCAAAAGTTCTAGGTGTGTGCGATTATACACACAAAGTATCTGAAAGGCTAAACTAACAAGAAACAGCAAAGTCTATTTTTGATTTTTGTTATCTGAATGGCAAGATGCTTCACATCCTCCTAGTTATGAAATTCTAATTATATAAATGGAATGCTACTAAATCACTTCAAACACACTGCACAATGAGAACAACTCACTTCTCTGCTTGGACAATAAGGCTGATAGTTCCTTCTTTCAGGTCAAAGATGAGCGGCGTATTCCAGTTTCTCGAACTTAGAAAAAAGGCAGCAGAAACATCACTTAAAATGGCCAATAAATAAAATCTGCCAGTGTATGTAAACTTCTGAGCAGGATTGTACGAGTGAACAGAAGATGTATGTATTACCTGTAAACATAGCACTGAAGAGAAGTGGCAACAACAAGATGCCCAAATGCCAGTGAGGCTTTAATGACCCGATCCCGGAACTCCAACACATCCACTGCTTCATTGATCACATTCAGTACCTATAAAGGCAGATTAGATGTTACCTTTTAACATGCTGTATATCCAAGAGTTTTTACTTCTACGTTTTAAGATTACTAATGAGCCCACACAATGTTGCAAAGGGGGATAATTTAGAGGCTATTAGGACATTTGGAGACATAATAGCATACCCTATAGTTCCTTGTTTTTGTTTTTTTTCTATTATAGGGGAGCTGGAGCACACTCAAGAAAGACCCCCTTCTGTTTTTGATACTTAAAAGGAATATCAAAGTTCTGAAAGTATGATATAACTAATTATTTTCCTTCTATACTGCTCCTGCAGTTAGCTAAATATATGTGCAACATAATGTATATACAATGAAGTCTAAGCTACAACATTAAATTAATCCGACATTACCTGCATCGTTTTCCTTTTGGTCAGGGTGATCACAAAGTTCTTCCACTCCCAGTGCTGCTCCACAATGTGAGCAAAAATGACATGTCCATTACCACAGGATCCAGCCAGTTGGGTGCCATCTGCAGACCAGGCCAGGTTAAACACACTCCCAGTGTTCGGCTTCTCCAAGGCATAGGACCACTGCCAGTAAGAGGACACACACTTAAACAGTGGTTAGGTACGGTTCTCCCACAAGCAATGAAGAATACACCGATTATACTTTTTACGTCCAATACTACTTTGACTCACAATATCAGCTTATATGAACCAATACCAGTGAAGGAACTTATTATAGCAGATAACAATTACAAACTTGGTCCAATTGTGTTAATTAAAACACAATGTGATTTATCCTGCAACTTACAACATTCTGGGTAGGTCCGGTCAAATAAAAATAAAAAATTGCAATGTCAGATCAGAAACACAACAATTTTATTAGGGGGAGGGGTATCAAACATCTTTTTTAGGCAAGAATCACCCAGCCCATAAGGGCTTGTTTCATTGAATGTGGTCTTTGGTGATCGATAATTGTAATCATCCAAAGAGGGCAATAATTTCAATTTTTTTGCCCTGTCACCAAATCCTTAATCTGAGGTAAATTATTAAATTAATTAAAAGGTGCGCTCAATTGACCAATTCAACCAATATTCCATACCCCATCCCAACAAATCTTCCATTATTTATTTATTTTGATATCAGCCCAAATAATAAGACTGGATCTGCCCTAATGCCTTTAACACATCAGCTACTAAAAAGGACCCACACTGTAACAAATTTCTGCAAAATTACAATGAAATTTCAACATTAAACAAATGTTATTTTGAAAAACAATTCAAACATGCAAATTTAAGTATAAATTGGTTAAAAAACATTCAGTGGCGTTTTATTACCACAATTATAATGTGATTACAAAAAAACCTTACAATACCATAAAATCACAATGTTATTACAATGTATTACCGTAATTTAACATCAACTTGTTGTATTTTTGGAATGCTGGGAAATTCTTGCTAGCAAGCAACCATGAGTGTAAGAGGTGTAAACTCCTGCTTTTGTTAGAATGATGCTTTTGCATTAAGCATGTTATAGAAGTAAAGACTTCAACTATTTTCTTGTATAAACTGAAGATGTTAAAAAATAATTGAAAAGTTTGTTCAATGAAACTAATTAGAAACAGAAACAGTCATATGGTGTAATAATACAACATTAACATTATAATGCTGTTTTTCTTGCATGTGAATTAACAGGAACATACAGTTAAATCCTGAAATCACAAAGGCAAAATGTGAAACAGTCAAACCTTTAAAATTAGCAACGGTAATGCCATGTTGAGAAAACGGTAAATCCCTGGAACCATATTTGCCAGCTATTTACCGCTTTTCTACAAGGAAATTCTTTACAGTGCAACAGGATTGTCAAATAAAGATCTTGGACTTTATAATTGCAGTTTTCTGCATTTCTCTTGGTTACATTTAATATTACTCTTAATTACATTTTAATAACTAAACCTATACAACTCCGAAAGGGTATTAGCCTTGTGTTACATGCTGTGTTAACTGTGTGTTCCTTTTTTTTCATGCTGTAAATATCATGAACTGTAATTGTCGATTAGCAATGTAATGTTTTAACGTCCGCGACGTGTATAGAGTAGAGTATAATTTAGGAAGTGGTCTGGCCATTCATTAAGCTTGAGTCTACTTTCTGGTCACTGAAGCCTGTCTGTCTATAATGGGCATCTTTGTGACCAGAAAGGTGACAGACATGACGTATATTTTTCAGCTGAGTTGGGAAAAGAGAGTAAGACGTAAATGTATACAACGAGTGTATAGATTTGCACATATGTTGATCCAATAAACTACAGCTTGGGTTTTGGAAACACTTTGGCTGGCAATAGGCATCAGAGTGAAACCTTGATAGTACTAAAATGTATGACTTGTTACTTGAGATGAAATATTACTATAATGATACAAATTCACATTAGATGACCATAAACCAGTATAAGATCATATATAAGTCAAATTCTATTCAAAATATTGACATAAGTTCAGAAAATATTTACATTATAAGTGCATTAAAATGGATCATTAAATGTGTCCAAACATCTATTATGATAAAATATAGACTCATAACAGAGTGCACAGAGAGAGGAAGCTAACCAACAGTCTTGCATAAGTCACAACAGCTGCTAGACTCAGTTCAGAGCCAGCTGGTTTCATTTACACTGTGAGTGCAGGACAAGACCTGGCAGAGCAGGTACAAAGTGTAAATCCCTACTTGTGATCAAAACAATACACACACTAAAGTGTAATGTAGAGTAAAAAATGGCAACCACCACCAAAATACACCACTAGTATCAAGGATGCAGCACCACACAAATGGACAATGAGTAAAACAAAAAAGTAAAAGTATAAAAAGAAAAACAAATAGAAAAAAAGAAAAAAGAAAGTGCCATTGCAGGTAGATGTATCTACTAGGATCCAGGGTAAAAGAGACTCGAAGAGAAAAACAAACAAGAATATAGTCTGCATGTGTGCATGCGTGGAGTAGAGTAATGGTCTACACATGGTTTCATGCTGAAACCTCCTCATAGTAACCATAGACACATGCTGAGGCCTCCTGGGACTCATCGGCAGGACACAGCTGTGGCAAGGACAGCAGAATTCTATTAGCACCAAACATACGATGATTCTACACATGGCACATAGGTCATTGTGGGATTCAGGTGCAAAGCACAAAAGCGTTGTTTTTGTTCAGCAACACTAGATAGTATAAGAATAATTATTGTGCACAAATAGTTAACAAAAGAAAATACAACTTTTCATAAATCTCTTCTATTTTCTTCCAACTCCTCATTTCTCTATGAAGGAGATACATTTGGCAACAGTCGACTCTACTAGAGACAAACAGGCAGGGTCGCACTAAGTAAAGTGGAAAGTCTTGAGAGGATTCTTTATAGAGCGCATGTCTAAAGCTAATCATCAGAATATGCTGGACAAGTCCATGTTGCCCTGCCCCCACTAGTTCAACAACTCAAAACCCTCCCTTTTGGTTTTCAATAAAGCGCCCCTTTTGCCAAACTCTAGCAATATGGTTAAGTAAAATCCACGTCAAGCACATCTTAGTTTAATCCCTCCCACTGTATAACAGGCACAAATAAATGTGTATTTCCATGGGGAAAACTGTAAAAAGGCCGCAGGAAAGAGCGGTCAGAAGCAAAGTTTAGCTTGGTGTAGGTGGGAGGTGAGGGGAGGGGTTAGGGCAGAGGGAGGAGTGAAGTGGAACAGCCCTGCCCAGTGACTGTAGAGAAACGCATTGCTGCTGACTCAGGACTCTCTTTGTTAAACAATACTCCCTCACACACACACACACACACACACACACACACTCTCTCTCTCAAACTGTCAAGAAAAAATAAAGAAAAGACAGAAACGTTCACCTCTTTTAAACTGCTTCAACAAACTCACAAGCTAACAGTTTGGTTATACAAATGTTTCAGTTATCTTTTTATCAAACTCACTATAATTAAACCAAGATAGATTTCTATAGAAGAGTATATTTTCCTGCATCAGAGATTCTTTGAAAACATGTATTTATAAGTTTTTGTGAAAACAAAAGAATGCATGAGAAGTGGAGAGGCTTCTAGAAATCAAGGAAATACAGGGTGCTGGCTAAGCACAATGAGTCCTACTTGTTACTTGTTAGCTGGTGACAGTGTCAGGGATCGTGACAGGGTCCAGACGCTAGACACCAGCTGCAACGCCTCGTAAATAGACTGCTGTGTCGAGCCGCATTTGCACAGCACTGGCTGCACACTCAAGTGCACACTCAGGCATGTGGGCACATGCAAATACTAGACACACAGACAGACACTAACTTATTGTCTCTTTCAAATCTCATAAAAAGGACAGTGAAGTTCTTTGTGTCCACTAAAAGCCAAACAGATTAAAACTATATAGTGTAGGCACTCAACTACTATGAACTTTTCTCCATAGTGATTTATGATTTCTAATTTCCATAGGGAGAATGCAGAAGTAGACAATCTGGACATGGCCAGAGTCATAATAAAACACAGAACAATGAAAGACACAAAAAAGCCAGTTGTGAAGAATTTGGAGATGAACGGGTTAAAGGCGCAAGGCTGATCTTGCTGAGCCAGCAATAATATGTTAAAGTGCAGGTTTCATTGTGGAAGATACACAATGAAAGTCTTTTCCATTAGTCATGGTAGAAACTGGGAAAGATTCATAGGTGTACTCTTTACCTCTTTATCTGTGACCAAAAAATGTGGTGATCACACAAACTCACTATATGAATCTCCAGTTTCCATTGTGAAGTTGTTTACTTTTTCACATCTCAAGCGTCATTGAGTTGGATAGTAAACTAAACCATAAAGCAATACTACAATATACATATTTTTTCTAATTCATTCTAAAACCATCTACATACAATTGTTTTTAACTTTTACAGTTCTTATCGATAGATATAAAAATATAAACTGAAATCTTAATATTTTGGCCTGTGTCTGCTAAGAATACTGATGGTGCAAAGCTATTATCAATGGGAAAATTAAAAATGTTATAGATAAGATTATTGTCTTACTCCAGTCTTGTCACAGAGTCGTAGCATGTTAAAGGAGCCCACTGCAAACACCTCTCCATCGGGAGCCCAATACAAGGAGGTGAGTGGATAGTCATGAGGAGCGGATGTGTAAAGAACCCGACCAAAGCTATCCCACACCTATTGGAGAAGCATCAAATATTTGTGTATAACTGTATACAGTATATATATTTTATTTCAATGATTACTTACCTTATATTTACAATCTTCACCCCCGGATATTATCAAGTCATTGATAGCATTCCAATCAACTTTTAATATAAGGCCATCATGAGCTTTCCACTGCAAAAAGTTCATTTAAAAAGGTATTGTTGAACATAATACATCATTTTTTACTGTTCCTGATGAATTACGTGTAGTAAATGAGGAACAGAATATATGCATATTGTAGCCCCAAAAATGTGCCTACACAAATATACAGTCAACATGAAGTATAATCTCATCATTACCTAAATAAATATGGTGTACCTGTATGACTTTAACACTGGGCTGCAATGGCTTAATGATGAGATGTCTTCGTGATGTATACAGAATTCTGTCTGCGTCAGGGCCCCAAGCAACAGAATACACTGGGGAACCTAAAAGTAGAAGATATGTTATGTGTTTTTGTTCATTTAAACTGATATGTAACATCAGCAGCTTATTACCACCTAAAAAACATTGCTAAAATTAAAAACATAGTGTCTAAGGCAGACTTGGAGACTCTTATACACGCTTTTGTCTCCAGTCGGTTAGACTATTGCAATGGCTTGTTCACAGGTCTCTCCAAACAGGCTGTAAAACAGCTGCAGTACATTCAACATGCAGCAGCTTGAGTCCTGACCAGAACTAGGAAGTGCGACCACATTAGTCCAGTTCTCAGGTCTCTGCACTGGCTTCCTGTTCCTCAGAGAATAGACTTCAAAGCAGCTTTACTTGTGTACAAGTCTCTCCATGGTCTCGCGCCAAGGTACATCCACGACATGTTTGTGCCATATGAACCGACCCGGACTCTGAGGAGCACAGGGACTGGACTCCTGTTAGTGCCCAGAGTCGGTACTAGACATGGGCAAACTGCATTTCAGATTCATGCGGCTAGAGTCTGGAACCGTCTTCCTGAGAATGTGAGACAGGCGTCTACTCTGGCATCTTTTAAATCTAGGCTCAAAACAATTCTGTTTAGCTGCGCATATACAACTGAATGATTTTATCTTTTCATCTTTGTTTTTATCTTTAATCTTTTTAATGCACTGTGACTATTTATGATTTTAGTCCCATCTGTGATTTTAATGTTTAAAGGTTTTTAATTTTTGTGATTTTATTTTTAATGTTTTTAATATATCTTGTGCTCTTAATGTGTTTGATTTATGCATGATGTGATAGGGGATGTGAAGCGCTTTGCGTTGCCTTGTGTAGGAAAGGCGCTCTATAAATAAACGTTGATTGATTGATATGTATTGATGGCTATTTCAATCAATGCACTCTATTCTGCTCTTTAGATAAGTTTCCACTCATTGAGGCTGTGGAAATACACTTTGCACACATTTGTCAGACTTTAAACTTTATGTGTTCGGTACCAAAAGAAAAAGTATAGAGCTGACGTTTAACCCCACTCCAGGCGTGTGTGGTTTTTCACAATTACTAGCTGGTCACATAATCTAAAATTGGCATAGACTATGAATAACTCACTAGTTCAGTTGGACCAAACTACATTTACATGTGCAATGAATATAATAATGAAAGTCTATGTATGAATCAAGCATCTCTGATGTAATGGCATGTTACTGAAACAAAAACAAAACATTTTGAAAGTGATGTATAGCGTTTACTGGTAAGTACGTGGATATTACAGGACCTCAGAAATGTAATAAACAATACAACAGATATAGACTCTGAGAGTAAAGTATTATACTAGGAGATGTTTTACTTTTATGTCCATAATAGCAGTGTTTCCCACACATAGACTAATCTGTGGCGCACCGCCACAGATTAGAGACCGCCCGCCACAAATTGCGTTTCGTATCATTATATATATATTTTTTTTGTTACGCTATTTAAAACATGCATCGTCTAGTGCCGCCGCAGCGGTCAATTTGACAGCGGGGAGGGGGGTTTAAAATGTGGCGGCCCTTCGTAACTCTCACTCAAGCTACGCGTCTCTCCCACATACAGAGACCTACACACACACAGCCCCTCCCCTTCGTGCACACCGCGTGTCTCCGTCTCCATCAGCGATCATCGCTGTAAGCAGCTGTGTCTATTAATTTACCGCGGTAAAGTGGCCCGCATCTTTCAGCTCTATGAACATGCGGCCCGCATCGGGGAAAAGACGGTGCGCGTTTTGTTGAGAACTTACGGTAACAGCGGAACGTCCTTTCGGAGTCACCCATTTTTATCGAACAGAAAGCGCGCTGGGGTCAGGGAGACACGTTTTTGTGATTAAAACCTTATAGAGATGCCACCCGGCACACATAGCACCAGCCCCCTACGATTCCTCCGGCAGATTGTGAGTCCTCAGGAGGATAGCCACTCTATTGTTTACATGTATAAAGTACACAATTTGGTCCGCTAGTGCAATTTTCAAGTATTGTAACTATTTACTGGAATAAGGTGTGCGACTAATTTCACTTGACTCATGACCTTATTATTGCCCTCTGCCACTGTACCAAAGACCAGAAACTTTTACTGTAGAAATATTGAGAAATATTGAGGTAAAGTAGCCATTTTGGTCCAAAATACCTCCAAAATAGTCAAAACATGTCACTTTTGATCTACTGTAACTTTTTACTGTAAAAAGGTGTGCGACTAATTTCACTGGATTCATGACCCCCCCCCACACCCCACCCCCCCACCCCCGCCGACGACCACCACACTTTGCCTTCAAACCTGTGGGAAACACTGAATAGACACATTGTTTAACTGCTGTCTATCTCATTGAATACCTTGGCTGGCCAGTGTAGACCGCAACATTCCACTTTTGGACCAGATTTTGATTTGCCCATCCTCTCCAGCTGAAGAACGACAAATAAAGATGGAAACACACATGATGAATGGATGCAGATCTTTGCAATGGACTAAATATTTGTTAAATATTTTTGTATTTTATTTTTTTGAGGAAAGATGTACCTGTAATTAGAGCACTTCCATCATAGTTCCATCTGCCAGCAAGCACAGCTCCATTATGTGCATCTACACTCTTTTCAATGAGCCCATTTTTGGAAACTAAGTGGAACTTTCCTAAAAGATCGTCCAAAAGAGAAAGTTAAAGACTAGGAATTAGTGTCTAAAATTCAACAAGAAAAATACTTACCATCAGAACTAGTTAGAACAAACGAGTCAGCCTGCTGCATCTGTTTTTTGGAGACCAGAGTATTTGGAAACCAGTGGAGATCAGTTGGGTAGAAGTCATTTGGAAGCTTTGTAACCAGACTGGTCTCACTAGTTACCAGGTTCCACTTCAGAATCTGGTGATCTTCACTGCAGGAGTACAGTTCATCAGCTGAAGTCCAGCCAACGCAACTTACTAGTTGTTTATGTGTGTAAAAGTTAAGAAAAGTATAATGACAAAAATCCACCATGTTAAGTTGTTGATTAAGGTCTATTAAATTAAGCAAAAGGATATGTTTAGGCTCCTTTAATTGTGATGTTTTCAATCTCATGATGAATTCAGATGGATCCTGTGGAATTGACGCGAAATACGTCATCATACATTCCTGACAACAAACAAATCATAGACGTACCTTCAGCAATCACAGAACCAGTAGTTGGCATGCTCAATTCTCTGAAAGATGAAGGAATGACAAGGGCAAAGCGTCCTCAGTTGCTACGGTACTTTATCGGTTGCTAATGCCAGCCTTTAGGTGTCCCAAAATCGCCTGAACTAAACAGGGCAGCAGAAGGCTAACAAAACGTCCATAAATTATACCATGTAAAGACAAAAACAGAAATAACGCAATTCAAATTCCAACACGTGAATTTGTAATGCTATCAACGCCAAACATAAGCTACCCCTGACTAAGCTCCCTTCTTAGATAACGTTAACTAGTCCATGTTACCGTTTTATGTTGTGCTAAAGCTTTGGATATTGATTCCATTCGGAAGTATGAATTCATGATAAAGTGAAAAGTTCAACAAAATATACTAGAATAATACAAAAATATTTAAAAATAAATAGCTAGGTTAGCTAGCTTTTGCCCGAGCTGTTGCAGTTGTGGGTGGGTCTTTTAGTAACCAGGCAACGACGCATACGTAAAGCAAGATACAATTTGAAATATTAAAAAGTAGGAATACTTTTCTCCCCTTGTTGAAAAGACTTTTAATGGTTCTTTATTTGCGTTTCCTTCTTCGTGTGTCGTGCTAAAGCTACAAGGGTTTGGCTTCGTTCCCTCTTTTGAATTAGTTTCGCCTCCTCTGTCCCACAGTGCTTTGCGTCAGTTTGTAACGAATCTGGTTTGACGGCAGAGTTTAGGCGCCATTTACAAGTGAACCTTCCGAGCCATCCCTGTTCAAATTTCATCCCTTGACGTTTTCACTTCTAGACACAGATATCACAGCGTTTTTTTTGCTCAACTGTTTGACGGAATGCTACGGAGTTAAATAGTGTGGATTATTGTTTCTAGAAGTTGGGAGAAGTGATTTGCACTTGTTGTTGCTCGGATATTCGAAAACCCTGTGGTCTTTGTAGAAGGTACGTAGCATTTCGTTCACGATAGGTTATGAACGACGATTATCACATTTTTGTATAAGCTGTCTTATAACTAACGACATACAACAACACACGCGCAAACACAAGCTGCTTCTTCGGTCTCTGTCCCGCTGTAGTAACTAAGCTAGATGTAGCTGAAAGCTACGAAAGAAAAGTGTTGTTTTTGTGGTCTTCATTTTGTATTAATATACTCAAATAGTTTTACAAAATTATCTTATCACGACTAGATTATTGTCTTTGATTCCCGAAACAATAAAAATTGGGTTACGCATGATATCGTAGTAAAACAAAAAAGTGAAAAAATATAAAGGATGATAGTCATTTTAACCAATGTAATAGTTTTTACGAAAACGCCTAACGTTGCAGCATATTTGTTCACTAGCACCTGGCTCTTACACAAGATACAAATGAAGTTTGAATTATTACAGTCTTTGGGAAATACTGTCGTTTGTAGGGGTCGTTGATTTTGACCTCAATGCACATTTCACTAAACATCCACAGTCTGCGTCACACACTGCCATAGGCTCAGGAACAAGAGGCTGCAGAGAAAAAGTGTCTGTTGACAGGGTGGATCGGACGAGTGAGGGCGACTAGATGTACTGTTTATTATAAGTATTGTAACATAGGTGATAGTACTGATGTTAATTATAAATATACACGTTGGTTACTGCTTGTACACATTCATTGTTTCTGTTTTTACGGATATTGTTATTAAGACGTTTAAAACACCAATTGTCTTTTTAGGGGTAAGATAATCATGCCGTCTAAAACTATGAAGAGTTCTACCGCGTCTGCCAAACCGAGAGGGAAAGGGTCGCAGCCTCGGGATGACTCCGAAGACGAGCTGGATGCGCCCCCTCCTCAAACCAACGCCAATGGCCAAGAGGAGGCACCTCCGACAACGGGCAAGTAACTCAAATGTCATGATGCTTATGGACCTTAATACTTCTGCTTCTCGCGATCGAGTTTACATTCGCGATCGACGTTTCTTTTTGCACACATCCGCTTGAATGGATCTGGTTGCAGAGCTCAGAACGGCGTGCGTACGTCCACCAGAGTATCCACTCTTTGAAACATACTTTTTATTTTTGGGAAAAGTGTCTATTTAAGGATGTACTTGTTATACGGGCTATCTCTGGTTTTATGGTGTTTGTTGGATGACTTAAGTCATTTGTTCCCACTGGATATATACTATTTGATTCATAAACAAACGATAACTATAATGAAGAGGTCAGTTCTGATCTGGGAGCGCTAGTTTGCATAATTATACACTTGTGATTGTGGCTACAATGCATGCAATAGATGGTCTGTTCAACGAGTGCCACGTTAAGTGTCTCGCGAAAAGTTTTTTACGGTACTTCACAGGTCAAGGGTAACGCAGACGAATGAAATAATGTCATTAATATTCGAGGCAAATGGAAGTAGTGCATCTACGTGTCTTTATGGGAAAAGCACAAACACACACACACTTACACACTAACCCATACGCGCCGAGACCAGTTTTGAACCCATGTTTTATGAAGTAGAAGGTAGTAATAATCTGCGTGATTGTGCCCTTGTCTGACTTGGTCACTAGTGTTTGTTTGTTTTCACGCTGTTCCCCTCCCCCAATCAGCACGGGCCCTTCCACCTGAAAGTGACGGCTCAAACTTGTGCTTGTGTTGTGTCACAGTGGGGGAACCAGTCGAGGGTATTGACAGCCGGAGTTTGGAGGAGATTCTCGGTAGCATCCCTCCACCGCCGCCCCCAACAATGACCAACGAACCTGGTGCTCCACGGCTCATGATCACACATTTAGTTAACCGCAATTTTAAGTCTTATGCGGGCGAGGAAATACTGGGCCCTTTTCACAAGGTATGACCGTACATGGGGAATGTGCAGTGTATTGGTTTGGTTTCACTGTTCATTGTGTACACCAGTTAAATCCAGAGCATAAGTTAACAGGTGTTCTATAAGCCTTTGCTTTAAGTATTGCTAATAAATGAGACAAATTTGGTCATTTCAGATTTATGTTTATACCGTTACATCGTGTCTTTTTTTTCCTTAGCGTTTTTCTTGCATCATTGGCCCAAATGGGAGTGGCAAGTCCAACGTGATAGACTCCATGCTCTTTGTGTTCGGATATAGAGCTCAAAAGATCCGATCCAAAAAGATGTCCGTGCTGATTCACAGCTCTGACAAACACAAAGATGTCCAAAGCTGCACTGTGGAGGTGCACTTCCAAAAGATTATTGATAAGGTACAAGCTAAACAATACACTGCTTTTGGGCAGAACATCAACACTATATTGAATTTTTGTTTTGTTTTTTTTTGTTTCTTTTATGAAAAACAATTGTCTTATTTAAAAACATCCATTTGGAGGAAAGCCTAAATGAAATTTGCCATGACATTTTCAAAGAAAAGTTTTGTGTGGGATCAGTAAATTTCAAGAAATGCAGTTTCTGTGATGTGATCCATTTTTAAAACTCTCAAATTATTATATATTATTGTGTAATTTGTGTTTATTAGACCTATGTCTGCAAATGTAATTTAAACATAAATCCTAATCCGTGTGTGTTTTGAAATGAACATTACGTTTTAAATTGGTGTGAACCGTTGCATTGCGTTTTACAAGTAGTGTTGTGCTTGAGTCTAAGCTGCTGTGTCTTCTGCCCCTCCCCCTCTGAGCCAGGAAGGAGATGACTACGAAGTCATCCCCAACAGCAAGTTCTATGTTTCCAGAACTGCCAACAAAGACAATTCGTCTTCCTATCACATTAACGGAAAAAAGGCCACATTTAAAGATGTGGGCGCTTTACTTCGAAGTCATGGTATTGACTTAGACCACAACAGGTTTCTGATCTTACAGGTAATGGATATTTTCTTTTATCATCTATCATTGTGACCACTTTAATTTGAACATCTTGCTTTTTGTTTCTATTTCTAATTTTTTTGAATGTATTAGGAAGTGCCTTTTGCCAGCCCTTATACTGCTATAGCAGCGCATCATGGTTTGAAACGATGTGGAAAAAGTGCAAACCATAATTTGCTGCTTTAGGATTTTAAGGAAAATCTTTTTGTAGCTTTAAGGTGTGCGGGTACTATTGTTTTAACATTGCTATCTTATTTTTGCTTCTTAAAAGTTCCTCCCACGCTGTAGCAGCACGTAAATATTGGTGTGCAGAAGTAAGACTCCAATATTGGCAATGCTGCTTCAGTGTGGTGGGATCAAACGCCATTCATTATCATTCAAGGCATTTTAAGTGTTTTTTAGTTTAATTATGCACATACATTTTGACTGTTTTAAAAGTTTTTTTCCCAAAGAACCATTTTTGTGTGTGTGTTACATGTGTGTGTTATTACTAAATAACTTGAGGCAGGTAGAGTTTCTGGGACAGGTGTCTCAAATTTGAGTTCAATTTAATGTCTTTTTTTTTATTTTCAAACCAGCCTAAAATGGTCCACTATTCCTTATGGCATTGTGGTTTGCTTGTGTGTTCCATGTGTGCATTATATACAAGTTGGATATCTTGTCTTTCAGTAAGTCTGTTGAGTCTGACTTGTGGCTTTGAATTCAGCCATTTAGGATTTTTTACTTTTGAACACACTTTTGAACGTTCAAACACTTTAAAACTTGGCACAGATGTCAAAGCTTGACCCAGTCACATTTCAGACCTTAACTGCAGTGTGTGGCCTTGCCATACTTTTGTCTAGTTTGAATTTGGTTCGTGAGTGGTGGTCTATCAGCCAACCTCAGGGCAGCTGTGGCTACAAAAAGGAGCTTACCGCCATAGGTTAAGTTTGTGAACAATACACACATTTTCATCTCTGCACTGGTGTTTTTGGCTGTGTGTAAGTTTTCAAGATCACAAAATCAGTAAAGCTCAGAAATGCCAAAAAAAAGACACTTTTATGAAATGGCAACATCTAAAAAAAAAACTTCACGTTCTGAAATGTATAGGATTATTGTATTAGTTTGTTTTCAGTCTTTAAAATGTGACTGCACTGTTGAGTAGTTTTATTATGCAAACACTGAAATCTTTGTACTTTGTAAACATTGAAGTCTAATCTCAGTCGTAATGTTTAGCAGAGAAATTGGATATTATAACAATCCTTCAGCTTAGAATGAGGGCTGAAGTTGTTGGTTGGGTTTGAACTTAAATAATATTTGAATGAAATGTATTTTTTTATCGCCTTAAATCACATCAACAGTCGTCTCAGAGGACTTTACAAACTGATCAGAGAATCAAATGATTATAACACTGCAAATGGTCTTTTTCAAATTATATTTTGGGTGTTGTTATATTGAGTGTTATTGTTTATAAAAAATAAAATACATTTAAAAAAAGATTACATTGAACCTTAGAGATGAAAACTGAAAACATTTAGCCCCAATAAGGATTTTAAAAGATCTACATTTAACATTATCTATATTTACATTTCATATCAAATAAAAGTTAATCGATTCACCTCAACTACTTAACTGATTATTGAAATAGTCACTGATTTAGTAAGCAATTATATTTTTTGTGAACTTTCATTGGCGTAAACATGCTGAGATGGGGCTGGGCAATATGTCAAAAAAGCAAAATCTCGATTTTATTTCCTGCTTTGGACGATTTCGGTTTTAAATCGATTTTCATAAGTTTGCCCGTAAAAATATTTTTTGATCTTTCCGCTAAATAATCAAGTTTCAAATTTATTTTTATTTTGTTTCCCCAATACGTATTATGAAAGTCTTGTACAGACTGTGCTGATATTGCAAGTATAATTCATGTGCTGCTGGAACTCTCACAATATCCTTCATTCGATTTCTCGATTTTCACATTTTTCACATTCGATTTTTTTTTAATTGCTTAAATTTGATTTATTGCCCAGTCCTATGCTGAGAGGAGGTTTTATGACTCGGATCATTCAAACAACTTCATGATGTGTAACAGGTCATCACTAAGAAGATGTTTCTTTTGGTCAAATATAAACAAAATCCCGCATTCACTGACCTTTTCGGAATCTTAACGATGAATCAAAAGTTACTAATTCATGATCAAAATACTGGTTTACTGCAGCCCTATAACAAAGTGCAGTGTTGAGCATGTTTTTGGATCGTCTCATTGACTTTTGTTTGTGCTGGGCTCAGGGCGAGGTGGAGCAGATCGCCATGATGAAGCCAAAAGGCCAGACGGAGCACGACGAGGGCATGCTGGAGTACCTGGAAGACATCATCGGCTCCTGTCGACTGAAGGAGCCCATCCAGCTTCTGTCCCGTCGGATTGAACTTCTGAACGAGCAGAGGGGAGAGAAGGTACGTGTCAAAACACTAAAGTTTCCCTATTGGCATTAAGTGTGCGTTGAACTGAGCCAGAAGTGACTCGTGGAGGCAAGTTCACTTTTTTTTTAGTGGTTTTACATCCTCAACTGATCCTGGCATCTTTGCCAGGATCAGTATTATATGTATTGCCATTGTAACTAACCGGAAGTAACAATTCGGAATTATCTTTGGCTCATGGTGCAAACAATTAATACAAAAGTTTATCACAAAATATTTTTTAACATGTAATCTTTTCAAATTGTTTAGCTTAATCGGGTGAAGCTGGTGGAAAAGGAGAAGAATGCTCTGGAAGGCGAGAAAAACAAGGCAGTAGAGTTCCTCACTTTGGAGAATGACATATTCAAACTTAAAAGCCAGCTTTACCAGTACCATGTGTGAGTATTATGTTTTAATTTGTGTATGCGTGTGTGTAATATATTATAAAACATATTGACGTAACATTATTTTCTTGTATTACTTTAGAAATGAGTTGCAGAAGCGTGTTGTTGATAAAGAGCAAGAAAAAGTAAAGATTCAAGAAGATACAAAAGATCTTACAGAGAAGAATGCACAGATCTCACAAGACATGGAGAAAATGAATCAAGACCTTAAGAATGTGGAAAAGTGTGTATTTTCAAATTGACATCGGTCTTCTTTTTGATATGATTACAGTACATGTTTGACCTTTTCCTCCCATGTAACTGTATTTTAGAAAACAAAACAAGCTTGACAAGTACATTGAATCTCAAAAGGAGAAGTTCACACAGTTGGACCTTCAGGATGTGGAAGCTCGAGAAAAAATTAAACACTCCAAAAGTAAGAAGAAGAAACTGGAGAAGCAGTTGGAGAAAGACACAGAAAAGGTTTGTTGCCTCATGATGTTTGTATAGAAACATGTCTAATTTGAACCGGTGGGCACGGCTTTCCTCTTGGACCATCTGTGAATGACCAGCGTGACCTTCACCTGTAGTAAACTATAGCGCACTTGAGAGAGTGTTGATCATAGAGATGAGGGGGGGTAAATGGAGAAGAACCTTGTGCGTTATGATAAGGTCGATTTGTGAATCCCCTAAATGCTTATTAGTTCACGTTCAACTTTTAGAATAGTTACTCTTAATTTATTAATGGTTAATTGAATAATGAGTTCATCATGTTTTGAAATATATTTCAGCTGGAGGAAGTTCGCAAAGTACCAGCGAACAGTGAAAAGGCGATTTCTGAAGCAACAGCTCGTAAAGAGAAGCTTGAGAAGCAGAAAGTTAAAGAGGAGGAAAAACTGAAGGAGGTTATGGAGAGTCTGAAAGAAGAAACAAGTGGTTTGCAACAAGACAAAGAGGTGTGTAGCATGTCGCACTGTAGAGGGCACAGTTGTCCTTCTGGTGTTGTAATGCCGGTCTTTCTCACAGTCTAAAGAAAAGGAGCTCATGGAGCTCAATAAGGCAGTAAATGAGACTCGCTCTCGCATGGATCTGGCTCAGTCTGAGCTGGATATCTATCTAAGCCGTCACAACACTGCTGTGACCCAGCTCAATACTGCCAAACAAACGCTGCAGACCACTTCTGACACTCTGCGTGAGAGGAGGGCAGCTATCAAAGACCTGGAAGTCAAAATACCACAGAAAGAACAGGCACTGAAAAAGGTAAGAACGCAAAGATACAGGGAGTAGATTGCATGAGAAGAGGAACTGTATGTCATGACTGTCCAGGATGAGGCGGAGCTCGAGCAGCTTATGAAGGTCGACAATGAGACCCGAGAGTCGGTCCGAGAAATGCGTCAGAAGTATGATGAGGCCAAGAGCTCCCTGTCGTCAAACCGTAGTCGCGGGAAAGTTCTGGATGCACTTATGCAGCAAAAAAAGACTGGAAAACTCTCCGGCATCTTGGGTAGATTGGTGAGAATTTCTTCTGTGTTTTATGTGTCACTGTACTGAGATTTTTGGGCTTGATCCTCCATTTTTGACAGATAAAATCTATTAAGAATGGAACAAACGCGTTTTAAACATGCGTGTGTTTTCAGGGCGACCTGGGTGCCATTGAAGAGAAGTATGATGTGGCCATCTCATCCAGCTGTGGTGCTCTTGACAACATTGTCGTCGACACCATTGACACAGCACAAAAATGTGTTACATTTCTCAAGCAACAAAACATTGGGGTGGCTACTTTCATTGGCCTTGACAAGGTAATGATCACATTAAAAATCAATATCAGATGTTTTGGAGATATCTGCTAAGTGATGATGTTTAAAACTAGATGAAGGTGTGGGAGAAGAACATGGCTCCGATTAAGACTCCAGAGAACAGCCCCAGACTTTTTGACATGGTGCGTGTCAAAGATGAGAGTGTGAGGCCAGCTTTTTATTTTGCCCTTCGAGACACGCTTGTCGCCAATGACATGGATCAAGCAACTCGAATGGCCTTTCAGAAAGACAAGCGCTGGAGAGTGGTTACTCTGAAGGGACAGATCATTGAAATGGCTGGTAGGCCCGGGTTTAGTTTTTATTGTTAATGTAACACAAAAGTTCAAGATGCATTAACTGTGGTGTCACAGGCACTATGACTGGAGGAGGACGAGTGATGAAGGGAAGAATGGGTTCTTCTATCAACACTGAGATCTCTCAGGAAGAGGTACTGTACTTTGATCAAACTTGTCATCACTTGATACTCACTTTGGAAGAAAAAGAAAAGTGGTTGACCACTAGTGTCCTGTTGATTGTCTCTTAGCTTAATCAAATGGAAAGCAAGCTGAATGAGAAAGTGACGCGGCTTCAAGACTATCAGGAGAAGAAGCTGCAGCTGGAGGAGAACGTCCAGCGCTTTCGGCCAGAGCTGCGAGATCACAAAAACACCCTGGAGAAATACGCCAACAGTCTGACTGTACGCTGACCATGCCCTTTCCAGACATTTACCCACTTTCACTCCTCAATGTATCACTTCTCTTTCTCTTGCAGAGTCTAGCGGATCAGGAAGCTCATCTCAAACTTCAGATTAAAGAACTTGAGGCAAATGTGGTGGCTTCGGCTCCTGACAAAACAAAACAGAAACAGCTGGATAAAAGCCTGGAGGCTTTCAAAAAAGGTATATTTTTCTGAAATCTGTAAATGCACAATTGTTGGGTAGTTAAAAGTGGATGAATAATGCAATAAGTTTAATCATCTCTTTGTTTGATTTCTGGAGAAGACATATTACACGGCACTTTGTGTTTCAGATTTTGAGGCTGCGTCCAGTAAAGCCGGGAAGGTAGATAACGAAGTAAAGCGGCTCCATAATTTGATTGTGGAAATCAATAGTCACAAGCTGAAGGCTCAACACGACAAGCTAACTAAAGTTAACAATGAGCTGGATGAATGCTCCTCCATCATCACCAAAGCCCAAGTGGCGATCAAAACTGCTGATCGGTGAGAGCCATTTATATTCTGTGTGTTTGGACGACTTTTCTTGACAGAAATTTTGGTTTGTGTTCCTTTGACATCATATCTAAATATGTACATCATAGCGTCCAAAAAGTCAGTATACAGTCATATGAGCCGCTCAAGAGTCCGGTTTGAGAGTAAGGCAGAAATTCTTCAATCATGGCATGTGGAAAATCTGTGCGTGGTGAGCAGCGATGCACCGTGTTTTATGCACGTTTCAATAAATATTTTAAAAACAAGGAATGACTATTCCCTTAAGTGTATAAATTAAGTTGTAAGTTCTAAGCTGTTATAAACCAGTTTGGAGGTGGGACTGAACCAAAGAGCACACCTTCACCTTATAAAAACATTGGCAGAAAAAATTTGACAAATACTGCACATGTGGAAAGTAACAGGTACTTTAGAGTTTAACCAGAATCTTCAATAGTGACCATAGAATAAGTATAAATAACATCTCCCTTTGATTATTAGACTCAGATTAATATACAATAATTTACCTTAAAATGTTTCCAATCACAATTCATGTTAAAAGAAAATAAATTATAAATGGGGTTAGGTACAGTTCCCCATTTTTGACCCAAGAGCGCAAAGCACAATTCATTTTAATTCTTCAATATATAGTAGCCTTCGAGCCATTTGATTCATCTTGAGGTAGCTCAGGTTTGTGACCCCTGGTGTTGGGAGAACATGGGTTTTCACAATGACCACATATGTTCTTATAAATTTACAGTGCAATGAAAACCACCTGTACTTCTATCAAATGCCTAACACTGCTTTTACGTTTTGTTTTGAAATTTGTAGGAATTTAAAAAAGTGTGAGGATGGAGTGACTCGTCTACAGAAGGAGCTAGAGGAGAATGCAAAAAGTATGACTGAACTGTTGGAGCAGCTCAAGAAACTGGAAGACCAGGCTGGAGAAGTCATGAAGGACTGTCATGAGGCTGAGGTACTCCACACTCCGTGTAGACGGACTAATCTAGAAGGATTCTCTTGTTTCAACTTCCATGGTTCATGCAATAATAAGGAATAAGAATCAGTCTCATAGGGCTCTATCTATTTAAACAGGGCCAGTTTCATCCACACAAGTTAGAAGTTTGAATGTTTTGCAGGCGGCTCTCCCTGAGGTGCAGGAGCAGTACCAGGCCATAGTAAAAGAAATCAAGGCTTTACAGCGACAGGAGCATGCGCTGCAAGAGGAGTCTTTAGGAGTACGTCTTCGCATCGAGAAGATAGAGACCAGCATTGCTGAGCAAAAGGACAAGATCAAGCACTATCAAAAAGAGGTAACGAGATATTGGTTTGGCTCACTTACCATTACAAATCATCCATGTTTGTATGTATTAAAATGCCTGTATTGAGTTAAGTTGTAAGTAAGCAATTCATCCGGGTCAATATTGACCTCACAAGATTTTGTGATATGATGTTCAAAATGCCAATCCATGTTTTCTATAATTATATATATATTTATTATTATAGAGAGAGAGAGAGAGATATGGATGGATGTTATAAGTTGTTAATTCGCCGACAACAGATCAGAGACTCCAACGGTTATAGCGCTCTGTCATACTTTTACATGAGTGGGACAGGAGCTTTAAGAGAGGTGGGGGGTAGAGGTCCATGGATGTGCCATGTAACTCTGTTCCTGATATTAAAACACCAGGTTTGTTTTTTTAGTTGAGGGAACAAAGCTGTAAAAATGTTGAACTTTCTATGTATAATTTCTTTTTGTCAATATAATTTGGGGCAATGAGAGATTTCACTCATTTCATACACTTTTCATTCAGGCATCCAAACTAGAACTTCATTCAATTGAAGACAAACCAGCAGAGCAGCTTCAGACTTTTACTCCTGACGAATTGGAAAACATTTCCGACTCGAACGACATCAGGAACAAAATGGCCACCTTAGAAACTCGGTGTGCTCAGATGAAGCCCAACCTGGGGGCCATAGCGGAGTATAAGAAGAAGGTATTCACAACTTCTCTTGACCATCAAAACTGGAAATGATTCTTTTCATACATGAAAACCTTATTGTCACAGGAGGAACTGTACCTGCAGCGTGTGGCCCAGCTCGATGAAATTACTGCAGACAGGGACAACTTCAAACGCGGCTATGAAGATTTGCGTAAACAGCGTCTCAATGAGTTTATGACTGGATTCAACATGATAACTAACAAGTTAAAGGAAAACTACCAGATGCTGACGCTAGGAGGCGACGCAGAGCTGGAGCTCGTGGACAGTTTGGACCCATTTTCTGAAGGAATCATGTTCAGGTAAAAAAAAAAATATATTATTGTAATTATTTTATTATTTCCTTTTTATTTTTTAAACTAAAACAGACAAGCGCTTTATTGTATTAATCAAATCATATTTTTAGTGTCCGTCCACCAAAGAAGAGTTGGAAAAAAATCTTTAACTTGTCTGGAGGAGAGAAAACCCTGAGCTCGCTGGCATTAGTGTTTGCTCTGCACCATTACAAACCGACTCCACTCTACTTCATGGATGAGATTGATGCTGCCTTAGACTTTAAAAATGTCTCCATTGTGGCTTGTTACATCTATGTAAGTTTCAATGTCAATATATGAGGTTAGTATTGTTTTTATACCAATCAAACTATAAAGTCCCTGTTTTGTCTTCAGGAACAAACAAAGAATGCCCAGTTTATTATAATCTCTCTGAGGAACAACATGTTTGAGATTGCGGACCGCCTCATCGGCATTTACAAAACCCACAACACCACCAAGAGTGTTGCCATCAACCCCAAGACAATTATGTTCAAAGAAGTTGCTTAAAACAATACATATTATCCATTACATTCTCTTGTACATATAAATTCTTTCCAGAAGGGAAAATGCTGCTATTTGATTTTCTAATAAACCATTTATAAAGTTTCATGATTCTACCATTTTCATACTTTTCATTTAAGTATGTTTACATCTGTACGTGTTGGCAGCAGTATGTTTACATCTGTAAATTAGTATGAGGCTCTGGTACACTGTCATGTGGTTATTGCACATTCTGAGGTACTTTATGCTCAGATGAGGCCAATGTCTTCCCAGTTAAGGGCTAGAATAATGCAGACATTAAAGTGGGTTCACACTTGGAGGTGGACTCTCGCCTGATACATTAGGTCATTATGACCCAAGAGTTGTAAAAGGGATTAAGTGGAGTCCTCCAGACCAAGAAAACACATCCTCAGATTCAGAAAAATTGGTGCAATTTATAGAGCAGGTGCCATTGGACTTGTTATTGCTATAGAGATATAATACGTTTCAGTGAGTTTTAAAACATGTAAAAGAATTAGTAAGAATCCCAAGCAGAACACAAAGGGTGAAAATGAATGCAGCTCTCCACAAAAACAATGTAAATGTCAACCTGGTTTGAACGTGAGACCCCAAGGAAGACCCAGGACACGCTGGAGGGACTAAGTCTCCCAACTGGCAGGGAAACGCCTTGGGGTCCCCCGACCTGGAGGAAGTGTGTGAATAGGAAAGTATGGCCGTGACCCGGCAACAGATGAAGAATATGGATGGATGGGTTTGAACAATACACAATATTGAAGAGACAAAACTTTAATATGATCAAATATCCACAAGTAATGGAGTAAAATGTCACGTTTGTACAAAGTATAATATATAAATACTCACAAATACACCCAACTTATCAGGTATTCTGTGACCCAAAACAATGATCAAACCACTCCAGACATTTGTATGTGGAGCTTGACCTTCAGTTTTAATCAACTATACATTTGAACAGAATACAAGACCATTTCATGCAGTAATAAACTAGGAGTTTCATAATTATACTCTCAAATCAGACATTTACTCAACCTATGAAGTGTAACCAATGGTTATAAAAATACTGTTTTTATTCATGCCAATATATGACAGACTTCACAAAAGTAGTAAGTGTCCGAAAAGCCTCTTCTCCCATTGTGACCAGTATTTCCGCTGAGCTCCAGAGAGAGGAGACGAGTTCTTTGCCGAGATTATTGTTGATAAACTTACAGATGTTTGAAAGCAGCAAAAAGCCTGATTCTGTTCCACCTTCAGGGTAAAACCCCCACACAGCGACAAAGGGTCCTATAAGTAATCCTAGAAACAGCGCATATGCCATCAGAGGCCCTGGACAAAGACGCTGGGACCAGGAGCTACGCTGGGGGAAAGATGCCTGTGAACGGCATCTTGTACAACAGGTTACGTTAGGAATGGGCGCCTGATCCAAACTGCAGATGGTGATTGCTGGCCAGTGTGTGTATTCAGGTAGTCTGCGGCTCGAGGGCTCACAGAGAGGCTCAACATGGAGGGCAAAGGTGTTTGGATGAACTCCTCCACTCGCTCTCTAAACAAATGCACTTTGTCTAAGAAAATCAGCGCAGAATCCTCATCCTCCACAGCAGAGCCCAAGGACACCAGGTCCAGCTGCTCCTCCTGCATCAATCACAATGAATCACATATTTACAACACTTATAATTCAGTTACAATCATGTTATAGACAGCTAATTCAAACCTGCAACTCTTTCACTTTGTAAATCAATGGATCATATGCACTTGCCACCTCTGAGTTTGCTTTATCGAGAGAATCCAGATATGCCTGCTTTTTCTTCCCCAGTGTCTCGGCCAGAGATTGAAAGAAGTTAAGAACGTCCTTTCTATCTTGTCGCAGTACACCGTCGCAGAATTCCTTTCCCTGCTCCAATTGCTTCCTCAGTTCACAGACCTGTGAAAAGCAGGCTTCACTAAACCTAGGCAAACATATGAATTTTGTTTCCAGATCATTCCACTTGTCCTTACCTGTGTCCATTTTTGCTCAGAGAGTTTGGCCAATTGCTGTGGGGTGTGCTTCTCTCTGATGTAAGCAGCCTGGAGGTCATCTATGGGGTGTCCCTGGTGCTCTCCGATCGTCAAACACAAGCCACAGATGAGCTGTCGGTCCAGGACACAGTACATGTTCAGCGGCTGTAGTTGGTGCTCCTCACAAAACGGCCCATGGGGAGAGTGTCCTTCTCTGCGAAACTAACAAAATACAGCAAAACCAGTATTAGAAAAGGAGCAAATTGCATATGAAGGTGGGACACTACATTTGACTAAAACACAGTTAAAACTTGAGTACCTAACTTTCTTTTATAAATACATGCTGTTTGTCTCAACAGAATGTCTTTGCCTCAAGAGACTTTGTAACAACAAATCAGACCATCTTATCTTAAAACATTATGGCTGATTGAGGGCTGGTGCTCTCACTGAAATGCATGTGAAAACTAGTGACAAAACCAAACCATTTTAAAAGCAAAGAATTATCGACATGGGGCTTTATTACCAAGTATTTTTTGGAGTTTCAAATGTAGGTGCTCCATCTATAAAATGGGTTTGATGAGTTATATTTGGGATTTGAGCCCACATTGTAGAAAAGAGTCAAAATAATTATTTAACAGATGTCTATTGAAAAGTATGTCTTGAAGAATAATGGAGTCCTTCAACAATCACTTCTTGTAAATAATTTGTAATAGTTTAAGTTGTTCAGAGGCATATTCCGCTACTCACATATTTTTTCAAGTAGAGGTAACATTAACCTAGGGCTGGGCGATATGGCAAAAAAGTAAAATCTCGATTTTACTTCCTGCTTTTGACGATGTCGATTTTAAATCGATTTTCATTAAAGTCACTCAGACAGACTGAGTGCCCTTAAAATATTTTGTATCTTCCCACTCAATATTTAAGTTTCAAAACAATGTTTTATTCGTTTCCCCCAATACATATTATAAAAGTCTTGTACAGACTGCAAGTATCGCAAGTATAATTGATGTGCTGCTGGAACTCTCACAATATCCCTCATTCAATTTCACGATTTTCACGAATTCGATTTTTTCAAAAGCCGATTAATTGCCAAAATTCGATTTATTGCCCAGCCCTACATTAACCTATTAAATGCACTTCAGGAATGTAAAAAAGAATGTTCTGGCAAATTAGTTTTTTTTCCTACTTTCTCAATGATTGCCTTCAGTGACACGTTGCATGGCAGAGCTTCGGTGCCCGTCGGGGGCAGCTCCGCCACATTACGACAGTTGGGGCATTTGAGAGGCAGGCGAAGAGGGCGCCAGATGGAATGACTCGTGGACAGCTGGAGCACACTGTCCAAGCAGCTTTTGCAGAAGGTGTGTGAACAGGGTAGGACTCTGGGGTCTGAGAACAGGGTGTAGCACACAGAGCAGGTCAGGTCCTCCTCCAGACACTCCATTGTTACACACTTCTGGGCCTGGCTGGGGAAAGATGATCTGGCAAGGCAGCAGGCATCATGACTGGATGAAAGGTTACCTGAAAAACCTGTTCCGCAAAATACAGCAGATTGCTTTAAATTTGATAACATACTGAAGACAAATGCAAATACAAAACTGAAACTAAGATGCAGTCCTCCAGGTGCTATAGTGGGTTCTCAATGGGGATATTGTTACACTGACATTTGATACCGGGTATTGGTTTCGACAATCACCTGAACAGGCCTTTATTCGGCAGCAATAGGACCAAGAATTAGATTTGTTTAGCTGGAAATATAATTTTACCCCTCGTTTAATACATTTGCCATTACTTGTTTTACTGTTTTCGTCCCGTTCACCAAATGTTCAAATCTGAGGTCGGCAGATTCTGAAAGATGAAGAATCGGGACTCAAAAAACCTCGACTTTGAACAGATAATTTAAAACTGAAAAGTGGTGAAAGAAGGAATTTAATAGTTCATTTGAAAAATATATAACAAAGAAGTACATTTTACCAACTAGGAATGCTTATGTAGAAACATTTAGCCAATAATCAAGATAATTATGGCAAAATATCAAAATGTATGAGAAGGCACGGGGGATTCAGGCCAAAACAGTGAAAACTTACGCAGCTAATCCTACTTCAGCAAAGAGCAGTCATCTACGGTGCTACAGGCGTCAGTACTGCGGCTGTGCCGTTACAGCTCTGAGCAGGAAGAAAGCAGCAAGCCCACGGACACTGCAGTGACAGACATGGCTGACTTGAGTCACCTTTCCCAAGAAACATGTAGCGAGTTAGCTTAAGGTTAGCTCAAACTTGAATAGTGTTGCAAATACACGTTTCAATAATTGTAAAGCGGCGTTTGCCCAACTTACTCACATCGCAAAAACTTACCGTCTTGTTCGAAGTTTTCACCAGACCGACAGAGCTCATCTCCTTTCCTGTTATGGTCGTGCGACATTCATGTTTCTAGTCTCGTAACGTTTGTGTTAAAGCTGTAGTTATATTATAGAACGTCAGAGACGTATGGTCTGAGTATTTAACGGAGTGATGATTAATCAGACGATCGAGAGAAAAATATTCAATAAATTTGCCTATACTTCTTTCGCGCATGCGCACAAGTGGCCAATCATTGCGCAAGGATAATTTTAAAAAACAAGCTCTGGAGGACCACCAAACATGGACCTGTTGTAGTAAACGGCATAAAATGACTATAAAATGACTGCATCTGTAGACCCCACTTTCACAACAGAGCGCACACGCACACAATCTCTCAATAAGGGTTTCACCGGTTTATTTTTCTCAAAGACAGCCTAACCTGAAGTAGTCTATCTCAGAAAAACTGGTTTCACCACTTAAATTCTTCGCAAACAAGGAATGCTGCAAAAATTAAAGAACCCTCTGCTTAACGAACTTTGAGCACAATCTGTAGAAGTTTACTAGAATGTAGAAAACATAAGAGATAGACATTTACAACTATCTGGTAAATATTTGTTTTGGGAAATAAAAAAGTACAGCAAAGTTCTTGATGGGTTTATTGATTTAGAGGAGAACCCATTTAACTCCAGTCTCACACCTGGGGAACCTTTAAAGGTTAACATTAGTAATAAGTCCAATTCCAATCTAGTCTTATTAAAGCAGTAGTCTAAACTGCTTCTCTTGAAATTTTTCATCACTTAAAGCATGAAATCATTTGTGAAAAATGATTGTGGTTAAGTGATGCCTACATTGTGGGCCGTTGGCAGCTTGAATCTATGAACCCACCCAGCACACCTTATAGACTCCAGGTCTTGCAGTACATGTGCAAAATCACAGATTTAGCAAATGGGACACTGGATGCGGAACAAGGGTAGGGGTCAACATGTCACATTAAGCACAGTTTACTTAAAATAAAGTTACACTGTATCCACAGCCTAAGGAAAACAATATACCCTAAAAAATAACTGTGCTATAGTTTAGTTCATGCAAAGGTTACGATTCACAAACCAACATTAAATGGCCCTTGTTCTGGTCTCCCTTAGTGATCAAACTATGGCAACATTACTGCAGAGCAGTGACTTCGCTGTAACTGAAGAAAAGTAAAGACAGTCACAAGTGAACATATATTTTCGTAACTACATCGATGTCAATAGTTTCACAGCATCCAGCTCATTTCTGGAGTGTGGGTTAATTATTATGGTGTAATTATTTGTTGTCAATTGTCTTTACAGAAGTAAAATAAAATCTGAAAATAAAGGAATAATAAAAGTAATACACTGGAGGTAAAACAAGACCCCAAAAGCCACCAAAAATGCATCGTGATAAAATGCATTGCTGCTTTACACTTGCAGATAGCATTGTCCAGTGTCATTAATACGAACTTAATTCAAAACAAAACTGACATCCTTCCCAATATCTAATAAGCGTGTTATAAGAGGGCTTAACAATAAGCCCCTTTCCAAAGTACAATTCTCTGACCAAAACCTTTGCTAACCTCATTTCAATATTACTCTTGTTTTAGTTTCTTTCATCGGTTTGCATGCGTTTGAGCATCCTTGCATACTTCCCAATCACACAAGCAGGCTCACACCACTCATCTGTCCATATTCGCACACGCAACTTGCGCAGCCGGACTCTTGGCCTGGCCCCCAAGGGAAGGAGACTTCACCCGGTGAGGGCATTACGTTGGAGATGAACCTGGCTCCTCAGCAGAGTCCAGACATTCGTACACAATGGGTCCATTCACACGTGTCGATAGCGTGGCCGATTGGGGAAGGGCCAATTAAAGCCCTTTTTAGTCGGAGGACCGCAGAATTGTGAATTGTTCATGGTTCAGCTCATTTTCATCTCCGCTTTACTGATATATTTAAAGATTCTTGATTTCTATTGTTGAAAGTTCACGACTCCCGTAGGAGTTTCTCATTTCATTGGACGTAGATTTCCAGTGACGGCTGCTCCAATAACAGAAGTTATGTCAGCATTTCTCTCAATGCATTCAATGTAGATGTTTCATTTTTGCAACATGTAGCCACTCATTCTCATTCGCACCCACTCGCCATCTCAAACTTCATTTGGGCCGGTTCCTCTGGAATGCCAAATGAAATCCATTCGTTTTCCTGTCAAATAAGATGCAGCCATAGATCCCACGAGCCAAGCACAATGGATCAAGTTTCTCACACTCTCGCTCTCTCTCGCTCTAATTTTTTATGTTGAACAGAGTGCTGCATCATGAACAAAACTCCAGAATACCCCAGATGCCTTCTAGAATTGGAATCCCTGAGCTGGCACGTTGGCTGGGTTGAAGCCAAAGGTTCCACCTTGGATGGCTTCCGGAACCCGACTGGAGTCGTCATCAATCTGTATTTGAAAAAATAAAATGTATTTTACAAATTTGACAATTTTTTTTCTTTAACAGAACATGAAGAATAAAACTCACGTCGTCAGATGAGAAAAACTGGTCAATAATTTCATATGCCAATTTGTAGATGTCTTCATTTTCATGATTTTGCAAAGCCTCTACTTTTTGTAAACCTAAAAAATAACAGAAAAAAGGAAATCTTAATTCAGCAACAAAGTTTTAGTAGAGAAACACCACAAACACTTACCTCCACATTGCTCAATAAGCCCAGCAATTGTGTCTGCTTCATCATCAAACATTTTCAGAATATTGCTTAGTCCGTCAAGGACAACCTGCACAACTTGGGCATCCTTCACAGTGAGCAGGTTGCAAAACGGTGGAATCACATCCGTATCGATCAGGTGTTCCACCTCAAGACGTACATGACAAATCTTTGAGTTTTAACACTTGTATAGTGAAGTTCACTGTCAAGAACATACCTGATCTTTCCTTCCACTTATAGTCAGGTTGCTTATAGCCCAAGCCGCTTCTTTTTGTGTGCCAAAATCACCCTAGGTAAAAAAAAAAAAAAAAAAGACAACAGCATGTTAGTTTTACTTTATTAAATATTAATAGGAAAAAAGACAAACCTTATCAAGTAATTGAATGATCATGGGAACGAGCTTGGCATCAATGACCGCCTGCACTTGTTGCTGGTTCCCGGCAGTTATGTTTGACAGGAACCACACTGCCTCCTACAGGAAAGATAGGTGTATGTAAACTTCGACTGCAAATCTTAGGAAAAATAATTCTCTCCACAATTACTGATTTTTAGTAAAGCTTCCCATAAAGGTCAAGTGGGTAGTTAAAATATTTACATTTAAGGGTATCAATAATGTATGAGTAGAACCAATTATTTACATCACCGGAGAGTCAGACGTCTATTTTGCATTTACATACACAAGGTTAATATCAGCTAAAAAAACAGTTTAAAGACAAACAATTTGGTAGCCTTCAAGTGTCTGTTACATCAGTTCTAGTAAATTAGTGGAATTTGGCCCACTGCTGACAGTCAGGTGTGAAGGTCTTCTTACCCGTATCCATGTTTTCAGCTCTGCACAAAAATGTTTAATGGGCTTGAGGTTAGGGCTTTGATGGCACCTTGTTGTCCTTGAGCCATTTCTGTGCAAGTTTAGAAGTGTCTTTGGAGGTCATTGTTCATTTGGAACCTGCATCTGCGACCAATCCTTATACTAACTTGAGTGATCCTTTAGGTGAGGAAGTTTATGGATACAGTCTCCTTTTACCATGGGCATGTGGGTGTTTATAAGTGTGTGTGTTTTATAAGGTGGTGCTTATGGTGTACATGTGTGACAGTCTTCATCACTTTTCATACTAGGTAAATTAACTGCATGTTAACACTTATGACAACAATCTTGTGCAATAGAAGCCAAAGCTCTGAATGCTACCCACCTTGACTTTGAAATCTACCAGTTGATCACAATCTAACTGGGCACCACAGGTTTACAGAAATGGGTTGTCTGTTTTAAAGACCTGGACGTGTGGGAATTGGATCAGAACTTAGAGGACACCTCAAAGTGCCATCTAAGAGAGACAACATTGTGGGAGGGGCATGGGTCAAGTTGAGGCTTTAATCATCGCTTCTGTCAATACTTCAGCCTCATTTTTACATGACAGACCTCAGATGCACTCCTTTATCAGCAAAGACTTAGTCTTAGCACCCGTTTGCCTCCACCCACTTTTATATACATTCACACTCTCACTCACACCTAAATCTGATACCAGTAGTCTTCATTATCCTCTTCTTTCTTCTTGCAGAACTTTCCCTACAGCAACTTACACACAACTCATGCACAAAGTCTCTTGTCATCATTTCCATAATTTACCTTTTTGACCCTAATTAAAAACAGCAGATTTCAGAAGTCCTTACCTTGTTAATCTTCTCTTTGGGGTGAGTGAGAAGGGCTGGAAAGTGACTGAGAGCTTGACAGTTGAGCACAACCTGTGTCTGTTCGTCTGTTCCAGTCACTATGTTTCCCACAGCTCTAAGAGCAGCTGTCTGAAGACCACATAAATATAGTGATATAAAATACTGATATGAAATACCAACACTTTACTTGACAAACTAATACAAAAGAAAATAGTCCTAACCTGCACTTTGACCTCCTGGTGACTGAGCAGTGGCACTAAGAGAGGAACGATGCCAGAGTCAATGACCATTTGGATTTGCTCATTGCCGGCATCAGTTAGGTAGGACAGAGCCCACACAGTATCAACCAAGATCTGAATTTAAAAAAAAATAATTATAATGATGTTCTCTTTATTTTGATTCTGAATATGAATGAAATTAAGTCCAATTAAAATGATACTCACACTGACATCCGAGTGCCGGATTAACCTAAACAGAGCAGGCAGAATCTGGGAAGACAATAGTACACGTCATTTTAAAAGCAGTCTTCCCTTGAGCTTGTAATTGCAATTAAATTTGAGCACACCTCTTGGATCGTTTCCATGGAGGGTGGAGGGTCTTTGTGGCGACAAAGATTGACCATAACCCAAGTCACATTGCGAAGAAAGGTGATGGGGATGGAGGGACTTATGAAACCCAGCAGTGGCCTCACCACACCTAAGTCAATGACATAGTCTCTGCATTGAGGGCCATCACCTAAGAAAAGTACAAACATTCGATTTTAAATGCCATGCTAGTCATCCATCTGCCTTAAGAATTACAACTTACCAATGATGTTGCCCAAAGCCCACACTGCCTGTTCACACACGTTTTGATGAGAAGATTCAAGTAATCTCAAGAAGCGGGGAACAGCATCTTAGAGACAAAAAGGAATTCAGATTACATCTCAAGCGCTTAATGTTAAACCACTGTTCATCATGTGAATCAAATTCCTTAAAGTTACACTCATGAAGTCTTACTCCCATCTAGCGTTGAGATCATATATTGCAGTCAACTTTCTAGCGACAGCAGTACGGTAGCCTTTGACAGTGGTCCCCAACCCCCCGTCATTCGAAACCGGCTGGACGCATTGTGCATGCGTGCGTCTGTTGTGCACAAACTACAGCTATGTGCCTACTAGGGTTTAATATTTTCCCCGAAAATGAGACGTATCAAATCCCGGGAAAAGACTACGCCTTTCCCGGGAAATCCCGGGAAATAGCTGTTTGTAGTTGTTGTTTTTAGCCCAAGTAATGTATGATATCACTCAAATATATAATCCAACAAAAGCTGCCATCTCCACTATTTCACCAAGCGACTTGCTATGAGATTCTAAATGTCTGCGCAATCCACTTGTCGACCAGTGACGTGCGGTGTGGTTTGGAGGCACTGACTTCAGCCCTGTCAGATGAACATATATCATATAAATCAACAGAACCTACAGAGCGGCTTATTCACAATTAGTTTGGCTACAGCAGAATGTTTTCCATGGCCCGCATTGTTTGCTCAAACAAAACGCAAAAGTTCGTAAAAGGCACATTTCCAATTGTGTTATGGGTCTTACCTTAGTTATTAATGAACAGCACAGACCACTTCAGTTCAGACCAGTTTCATGTTTAAGTCCAGATAATAGTTTGAGCCCAGATATGCAATCCCCCATTTGGAAATAAGCCCAAAGAGTTTTAAAGCGTAAAACAAAACGGGTGCCACCTCCATAAACTCCTCTGTGTTTTCGCTGCAGCCGGCTCTCGGGCGCATCCAATTTCTAATATCAACCTTCTTACCCTTTTCCTCTCTTCCTTATCATTCCTATCGTCATTGGAAGCAGAACATTACCCTAAATGCATTTTATATGATCTTAAAATGTCCCGGTTCCCGTCATAACATTTCCCGGGAATCGGGAAATAGGTTTGATCAGATTTCCCGGGAATCCCGTGTCCCGGGATTAAACCCTAGTGCATACCTCATTGTTTTATCTCTACCTTTCGGTGCGGGGGGTTTGCAATCTTGACACATTTGCAGTTATGACGCTGGTTTCTAGATTTTTGCACAGTTCTTTTTCTATTCCTACTTCAATCTGGTCAGGAAGTAACGACATTAGTAGCACCTGTGAAACGAAAGCACGATTCTCGCATCCCTTTTGTCCCTCATCAACCAACGTATTTCAAAATGGCGCATGGAGCGTCTTCCATGTCACTCATGCATATTTATAGATAAAATTCCGAGAGTCTCAGATTCTAACAATTCAAAATTGTGGAAGTGAATTTTCTAGAATTTTTTTTTTTTTTACAAAATACGACATTTGTGATTGGCTAACTGTAAATCTTACAGAGTGTACCTTTAAGGCATATTTATCTGAATTGATGAGCTGTAGATGTGCAATTGTCAGCCAGTGGCCGTCGACTCCATTAAACTAACAGGTGAAGCACTATACTTACTGGCTTGAACCACTGCTTGGGTTTGCTCTGATGTCCCTGATGCTATATTTGTGAGGGCCCAGGCAGCTTCGAATTGAAGAGATGGGCTGAAGTGGGAATGACATGAAGTTAGAAAGTGATCGTTATTAACAGCATCAAATTCACTGCAATTATGGCTTACTTGTCATCTCTGTCCAGACAACGCACTAATATGGGAAGAATCCCAGACTTTAGCAGGTCATCAATGGGAGGGTTACGATCACTTGACAGCAACTTCCTAAAACATAACAAAGATCTTAAAACTCTGCTTTAGTCAAAACCAAAGAAGGGTCAAGATAAGACAACCTGTATTTGTCCCTCAGTGGGGAAATAAGAGCACTCAAATAATAGATTCTGTGTGATCTGTACATAATCTAAGATAATAGATAACAAAATTTTATTTATTAGAGCCCTTTACAACACTCAAGGAGACCAAAGTGCTTCACAAAAAATTACATAAATCCATTTAAAACATTTATACATTAAAAACAAAACAGTAAAAAAAAAAAACATTTTGAAAAGTGTCACCTGCTAATAAGTGATAAAAGTGTTAAAAGCCAGTCTGAATAAATAGGTTTTGGGCCTCGATTTAAAGACCTTATGACGGGTTTGATTTATTTAGAAATACAGTTTTAATACCATTTTATATTAGAAGAGAACTACTAAAGGTTTCAAAATCAGTTTTTTTGTCTGATCCCCCCAAATCGAAATAACCCCATAGTAACGCCCTTAGAAACGAAAAAACTTCACAGCCCTTGGTGACGTCAGAACGGGTACGTTTCAACGCTGTAAGTCGTTTACAATTTGGTATTTGTTCTTTTTTCGCGGATATTCAAGATGACAAGGCCGTGTACAGTGAGTGTGATATAACTACTAGAATGTTACATTTCGTTGTCACTGAGATAGTCCAGTGGTTGTGTCGATGGACTGCCAACCCAGATACTTGGGTTCAAATCCCGCCTCGGACACTTTTTCACACTCAAAACGGCAATTTATGTGTAGTGAGCAATTGTCACCTGTAGAGTGCAGTATTGTGTTGGGCATCAGTGGAGAGAAGAGAGAAAAGGCAGTCCTGTGGCATAGATCCATGGTTTTCAATGCATGGGCGTAACCCGCTATGACGTCACACACAGGTTAGAGCATAGACAACTTAAATTCATGAAAAACACGTTCTTTTTATAAAATATAGGATTTTTTTTGCCGGAATCTCTTTCAAATTGACATTGTCATGCAATTTTGATATCCACTATTTTTTTTTTAAACCCGTCATAAGGTCTTTAAAAAGGCCAAAAAACAGTGAGGACACGCATATCAGGGGGCAGCTTGTTCCAGAGTCTGGGTCCAGCGACTGAGAAGGACCGGTCACCCCAATGTTTGGACTTAGTCCTAGGTACTTCCAGGAGGAGTTGAGAAGAGGACCTCAATGATCTGCCTGTGTCACGAACAGACAAAAGTTTGAACAAGTACGGCGGGGCGAGACCATTGAGGGCTTTAAAAACAAAGTAAAATTTTAAAATCAACATTCATCAATAATAAAATAGGAAATATTATTGCACTTGTGTGTGCCCTTAGAGTAGTCAGCAGCAGTTATGAAGTTTCACATTTACAGATGTTTGGTATTGTTCTTTAGCAGGAGAGAATGTGACCAGATAAACAACAGTTAGTTGGCAGGTGAGTTTCTGTACTTAGCAGGTGGTAATCAGAACGGATGAATGGCACATGTGCAGAATCAGCAGTTCTCATCATACAGTCCGAAAACAGCAAAAAGGAAGGGCCGGTGGAACCTCTCAACAGAGCCAAGGTGGATAAATCCCTGTGTACACTCACGCTGAGCCAAGCTTGCGGTGGCCCTCGTGACGCCACCTGATGTCACATGACCAACGCAAGAATCAATGCAAGACCCTTGCGCTACCACCCGTGCAGCAACAGGATTTTTACTAACTACGCAGCCGGCAGCCCAGAAAAGGCGCACTGTGATTGGAGCATGGAAGCATGGAGCAGCTGCCGGGAACATGGACAAGGCACTTGGGGCAGACTGCTTCGAAGGGGACCGAAGGAAAAGCAGTTTGGGCTCATGGCTCAGAGCCTGATATACAAGGAGGCTGCGGACTAGCATATCAAAAATGTATACACTGTACAGTCGTTTCTTTTGCACCGTTCCTGCGCCTGTCTTTGTTTGAATTTGCACTTGTAGCTTATCGCGTTCGTTGCATTCACCCTGCACTTGTAAATATTTCATGTTTTGTCTCAGATATTTATCACTTATTGCTTTCCTCGTTTGTGCACAAATGCACTTTAATAAAAACTGGTTCTAACAAGAATTTCGTCTTTATTCACAGCATCACAGTTGAACTTAGTTATGAAAGAATGAGCTCATAGTACCGTTACATAAACCTATGCCAAGATACAATTCTAATGAGCTCAAACAGCTTGGTTTGCTATTGTTTTTGTTCTGAAGAGGAGAGAGTAGCTAGCATAAATGGGACCTTGGTGTCCCAGGCAATTCCTGTGAGATTGCCATCATATGATTAAGGTGTGGGATTACAACATTCTCTCCAAAACTAGCAGGGGGGGTACAAACAAATGTGGCTATGTGGGTCCAGCGCAACCGCCAACGCAACCAGTGACGCCGGAGTATACACCGGCAGTAAGTCTGTCACTGAAACGCTCTCCAGAGCAGACAGACGCAATGGTGACAGTCATGGTCCAGCAGTTAGGCTTGTTAATGACCCTCCTGTCCCCACCTACTGCACTGTGGACAGGACAGAGCTGGACTTCCTGATGCGACAATGAACTGTGATGCTGCACGCAGAATTTGGCAAAGAGGCAGATTTGCACCAGCCCTGTATGCATTGGAGCATTCTAACAACCTGATGGCAACGAAAGAGCCCATCAAAAGCAAGGATGGCTACTCCTCTTTATGCAGCTCAGCAACATTGTACTCACTAGAAACCAATATTGTATTAAATGTATTTAGAAAACGGACATATTGGAAAACTGCCAGATTATGTTTGCTCAACTGGAAGTCTGGCTTTCTGAACACAAGTTCAAAGGATTTGATTTTAAAGCTTTTAAAAGCTTTATTTCAAGTTCAGTTTTCAAACATCTAAAAATATCTTTCACTTTCAAACCTTTCAAAAGACTAGGACTTATAACCACAACAGTACCAGTATTCGACCAATGTATTCATAATTTAAAGTTGCAGAGATTAACAAAACAAATCACTCAATGACATTTACCTATTCTAGATACATTCAAAGTCTCAACAAAATAAACTCCACATAAGTTTAATACGCTCAGTTTTGGAACACATTTGATATCATTAGAGCATAGCATCTGGTAAAGCTGGAAAAAGGTAGCTTTCCTCCATTTTCAGTAGTCCATGAGGAACAGCAAGACTGTTGGACTCAGATGTTCATAAGGAACAAATCAAAAATATATGGCTGCAGACTTTCTTTAAAAAAGCATAAAAGATTTCAGTCAATAAGAGCGAGAATTGGGAGCAAATTAAAATCTTTAAACTGTGTTAGCAATATTAAGTAATACTAAAATACAAGAACCTTTTAAGAAAAAGGTTTTCTAGAAGCCAGGTTGCTGCAAAAGAAAGTTTCCTGGATTTAATCCAATCCAGCACATTTCATAAACAGTTTCCAAAGTGCTGCAATAGTAAAACACAAAATCAAATATGAAAAACCGTGTGTGCAAATATGTATGAATATAAAAATAAACAAATTATCAACTCAGCTAGAGGAGCAGTTTCACATGCGACCAATCGAATTACAGGCAAGACGCATGACTTGAGACAGAGACACACCACCGTGACGGTTGAGCAACTGGATATTTGTTGTAAAGTGTTCGGACACATTAGAACGGGTTTGAACAGTGGATTTTGTGTTGGGACCAGTCACGACAATTTCAAGGGCAAAGACTCTGGGAGAAGAACCCTCTCCCATGCTTTGCGTGTGAGAAACTTCCTCAGGAGTGTGCTATTCAAGAAAAGCAACCCCACAGTGCCGCCCCCAGGGACGTGTTCAAATTTTTTGGACACTCAGATTTTTTACATGTCATTATTAATTCACTCCATACACGGTGGTGATAAACTACTACTGTAGCCACTGTCCTGGCAGCTGTGCCATACAGAAGCAAGGCAACCAGTATGTGCCATCAGCACCTCCAACCATTCGAACACACCAGACTCATTCTAGGCAATGGGGGTAAAGTGTCTTGCCTAAGGAAACAACGACAGTTTGGCACTTTACAGCCGCAGCCCCCCCACTGTGGCATTGGATGTTCCCAGAGGTTACGTGTCTTGCCAAGGACACAACAACATCATACATCAGTGAGGGTCGGTGGAGACGGTCTTGTGGTGGGCTCGAACCCACGACCTACAGCTCAAAGGCCAACGCTCTACCAACTGAGCTACTGTCAGTTGATCTTAGGGATGTAAAAAACTATGAATTTTCATGACCGACCACCGAGCCTCATTACTATTTTACTAACTACTATTTTACTAACCACTATTTTAAACTAACCACGTAGTTTAAAATAGTCCACGTTCTTTGAAATAACAGCCATTTCGAGCCGTGTACTTTCCATAAGTGCAGCTCTGCGTTCTACTGGATCAGTGCAGAGACAGCGGCGCCAAAACCCGCAACAGCTTCGGCACCTTTTGCGCACAGAGAAATGCCTTTTTAATATTCCCATTCTTCTGTGCTGCGGATTAAAGCATTTTTAAGCAAAAGACAGCTCGTTCACATGGTCAGAGCAGCGAGTGACGAGCCACGTCGCGCAGGTCTCCGCTAAAGTTTTAAAGTGATGTGTGTGGAGCTGATGCCAAGGACCATCAGCACAAACATCTTTCATGTGGTTTGACTGGAGCCGTGTATTTGCGAGGATCCTTTGGGCTCCGTGACACAGGAGCGCGACAGACTGTGTGTCTACAATACATGTATGTGTGGGTGTTAATATAAGCTCCAATGTAGTTCTGACCTGCACCAGTGTACAACTAGCAGGCGGTAACAGAGGGGAGAGATGATGCGTGTGGATGTTACGTATCAATGGAGGGGGGAAAGCGTGTGTGTGTGTCTGTGCATGCATATGTGGTGCGTGCAGCGCGAGAGTCGCCCCGGAGTTTACTGATACATTTGCGCACAGCTAGATACAGACCCGCTTGTCACATCGTGCGGCTAGGGCTTAAAATAGCGTTATCAAGAGACCTCCCCTCTTTCTCTTTTTTAACCGATAACTTTGACCGGTTAACGCTGTGACGGTCAACCACCGGTTAAACGGTCACCGATTTACATCCCTAGTTGATCTATCTAGGCCTTTAGTTGTGATAAAATGTTACCCATTTAAAAGCACAAAGGACTTTATGCATTACTCACCTGGCAGCCTGAACTGCACTCAACTGGATGCCCTGGTTATTGCTGTTGGCATTCTATAAATAAAGCATAAAAAGGTCATACATTTAATATAAAGATTGCATTATTTGTGAATATAAAGGGCAGACTTACTTCCACTATTGCTTCAAGTGAGGTGTTTTGCTGAAAAGATTAAATGTATAAATTAAAATATTTGTGTATATAAAAGAATGGAATACAATGGAAAATAACTTTTGTGAGCGTGTTAAAGGTTTCTCCTTTGTGAGATAAATAAAGCACATCTTAAGGTATGTTCAATCATTTGATGAGGTTTCAGTAAATCTCAAAATATTTTTCTAAGTGTCATCACAAACTTGTATTTGGCAATGGGAAGGTAAGAGTAACAAAAATGATTGACTATACTCATTTCAGATTAGGCAAAATCATCCAACCCTTATGGGCTTACAATTACTGAAAAGGGCCAAAAATGTAATTTTAGTTATTGTAACCTATCACAGAACGACTAGAAACAGCTCATAAAAAACAAGAGAAAAACATGTCAATTTTTTACCGATCTGAAATCCCCATCAAGATCACAGTCCTCACACATATCTTCATGAGGTACATTTCTTCTTTTCAACAGATGTTCATCTCGTTTGACCTGTAAAAAGAAAGAATAAATGATGTAAGCCAAATAATTTGGTATAAAGCTACTTCAAAACATTAAAGGACAAAAAACACTTACCTTTCGGAGTTCTACCACAACTTCGGTTCGCTGTCTTCGCATAGTCTGTGGAGGAGATAACGGTTGATGAATTGTCTAAACGAAGGAGAGCTTACAATTACAATTTACAATAGAGATCATTGGTGGATTTGCTCCCTAGCAGTGTTGCCTCAACGGGTTTCTAGGCGGAGGCATTTGTTGCCTGGCGGCATTCTGTGCAGGTTGATAGACCGGATAAGTTCATTACAGCAATGCCATTTTATTTCACATCAACTAGAGCTACATATACAGCACAAACAAGGTGCTACAGGCCCCTAAGTCGACCCGGACAGCTTAAAAACATTGACACTTTCTTATTTCATAGGTCGGAGTGCGTACGATCTTGGGCCTTGTCAAATAACACGTTTACATTATTTAATCTTTCAAATAAAAAGGTGTTCAATCTCTCGTTTTGCTTGTTATAAGGGAAAGAGACGGGGGATGGGTGAAAGTGCAGCAACCAAGCCCAAGCTGCGCTCGTTGAAGAAGCTAACAGCTAGCGTTAGCTAAGCAAGTAAAGCTAGTTCTCCCCATAGAACCAAAACACCGATTTGCCAGGGAATAGATATATCAATCCAATACTATTGATAACTTATAAATACTAATAGAAATCCAAAGGCACTACACCGTATGCACCCCTATGGTCTATCAGGAGTTTAACATCAAACTGGTGGGTGATCATCTTTACTCATGTTAGCTTTTTTGGCCTGATTAGCATGCCAGCATAAAGCTAAGCTAAAGGGAAATGTCCATATGCGCTCCAATAAAGCCTATCCAACATGTTTTACAGAGGCAAAATTCCAACACCAATGTTCGAAACCGACCACATTGTCACTGTGACCTCTAGAAATACATGAAGGCATTGGATGAGACAACGAGTGCGTTTATATAAGTGGAAATTCTAACGACGTCACAGTGAAAGCGAGCCGAAAGCCTGCACTGCAATGAGGGAAATCCTCGCCTAAAATTACCTCCAAATCTCGGCCCTTGTTCTTGAAATTCTTCAGCCGCTGGTTGTCGTTATCGGCCATATTCACGGTCGCGTTTTCACTGCTTTTATCGTAAAATGAGCTGACGTGTTTGCCCTTTCAAAATCCCTTTCGTGGTGTTCGTTAGCGGACTATTTTCTGCTGCTGTGTCCGCAGTGCATACTGGGAATGCCGGGCAGGCGGAGGTGGAGGGAGCGCGCTCTGCACAGAGGAGGGGGCAGATCCATGGGAGGGGGCATCGATCTATTACAATGGGGAGGGGGCATGTATTCGTATTTATTTAGACCATTTAATTATTTGAACATTGACAATGCTCTTCACGGAACATTTCTGTATTAAAAACGGTATTGGCTCCAATGCGTTGCATATGTTGTCCCTGTGGAGCAGTCATACGACATTTGTGGAAATAGTAAAAGTTAGTACATTTCCAAAATTGCACAAAATACAGTAACAACCAACATTTGTAATTGTATGTATAAAACATGACATCCATGGACAGGCACATGCGACACGCCCCGCTCCTATTCAGCCTCTACACTTCAGACACAATATTGACAGTGTCCTACAGAAGTTCTCTGATGACTCCGCCACCGTTAATATAATACATCCATGCTCCGCCATCATCTGAGCCATCATCGGACTCATCACTGAGGACGAGGATCTCTCTGGAGTGCAGCTTCAGTGACAATCTAAATCAACCTCGCTGTGTAAAAAGAGGTACTGCAGTGTTTCCTCCCTTCTGTTGTCAGTGTGTACAATGAACAACGAAGACCAATGAACACTGACCTCACTTGTCATGCATGTGCTATAATGTCAGAATGTGAAATACTTGTGTGCACTGTCTCTTTACATAGTCCCCTGTAGCCCAGAGCATCATGGCGCTAACATAGTTTCATCACTGAACCCTAGTAGTATATATTTCTTTGCACTTGAGTATGCTTATATTGTAGAACCCAGTTGATTGTTAGCGCTTATCAACCTTTACACATTTTATGTTTATACTTTGTTGGATAGAGATTAGATTTAAATTTGTACTTGAGTTGTACTACAGTATGTGTTGTGTGCTCCTTAGTCCTACTGTTTTGTGATTTGTGATGCAGCATTGAATCCCACTGTGGGACGATCAAAGGATCTCTTAATCTTAATTTACACACACTGGTCATAGCTCATCTTGGGTGAAGTCGGTATGATTTAAACCAGATTTTCAATTAGGTTCCAAATGTGACAGTTTCACATACTGAAGATTTCTTTAGAAAATGACTTCCCATTGTTTTATTTAAAATAATCAATGTTTGTGGGTCATTAATGGTGGTGCACTCAAGACTCAAGAACTTACTACATTTAATTTGGTAACCGAATAATTGTTTAGGGTACAAAGAATACAAAAATAAAGGTAGAGAATAGAAAGGATCAGCCTAATCTTAGTTATAGGATGTCCACTTTGTCATTGGATGCATCATAATAATTTTCCTTAAAATCCATATTGGCTCAGCTCTGTGGGCCACATGCTAAAGCTTTCTTTATTGTGATCAAGCTGCGGCAATTTGACTGCATCTTGATCTGAATGTCCTCTTTTGTCTGCCTCAGTGGTGTCTTCATTAGATAGACCATTTTTCTGAATCCATCCTGAAGCCCCATGCCTGTAGCAGCTGAGCATGGCTGAATAAACCAGGCTCTTCCCTGGCACACTCTCCGGAGGTCAAGCTTCTGACAGAGGACTCCTGCGCTCAGGGCCCCAGAAAGGTCCTGTTTATTGGCTAAGATCACTAAGGGAATGCCCCTCAGGATCTCAGAATGTAGGGCCTGTATAAAAAGATGCAATTAATGTATATATCGACCACTAATGTGAAGTATTTGTTGTTTACCCTATGAAGTTCCTTTCGAGCCTCCTCTAATCGTTTTTGGTCCCAGCTGTCTACCACAAACAGCACTCCAGCTGCATCAGGGTAAAAATGTTTCCAGTGAGGTCGCATCGCCCTCTGGCCACCAATATCCCACACAGTAAGCACAAGGCTGCTTCGATCTGCATCCAGGCTCTCCACGTTAAAGCCCACAGTCTGCACTGTCCACACATTCTCGTTGAACTTCAGTTTGTATAACAGACTCGTTTTTCCGGAACCATCCAGTCCAAGCATCAAGACATGTGCCTGCTTCTGAGGCTTGGAGCTTCGAGTTCCCATGTCCCCACTCAGTAAAAGCTTGTGATATATTCCCACAAGCTCAGTTTATCGACGGACAAGGTTTGAGAGCCTGGGCCTCAGCTGACTGGAGTTCACTGAAAAGCTATTTATAATAGAATGACAGTGCAGAGGCAACCACCTGCCCCAGTTCATCACAGAACAGTGCAGAACCACCATCTTTCTTAATGTATGCTTTTGTATAATGTATTCATCGTTGTAATTGATATAATTTGTTCCAATACTTTAAAAAATCCTTTTAAAGCAACAAGGGTAATAGAGCCGTTTCAAAAACAAAAGATCAAATGTCAGGATAAGACAAAAGTAGATTTTTTTTTAAAGCAAATGTTTATTGCATGGCTGTGCTTTTCTCTCGATAAAAACCAGTAGCAACCAATAATAATGCATTTAGAGCAACAATGACTATAAGAACCAAAGAAATAAAAGATTAAGCAAATGCACGGTATATTGCCATCCAAATACTATTAGAATTGCACTTCATAATTGGCTTTGTAGTAATGATTATTAGTCAACATAAACAAAGTGTATTTTATTCTGGACATACATTTTCAATATAACAAATATATAAAAGCAAGTGTATTAACAAAAACAACAAACTGTGCAAGTTTTAGGTGAACAGATTTTCTGAATACCACCAACTCGTAGTGTTAAACTATAAGAGCATGAAATGGCTTTAAAAAACAGGAAATTAAGGCATAAAATGTCTCCATTTGCAATGTTCAGATTTAAAGTGCATATTACAGGTTAGTCTTGACTGTTCACAAAGCACAGCTAACATCACTACATTTAAGAATCATTTTCCAAATTTGAACCTAGTTTTTTAAATTTGAATCCTATAATTTATTTTACTCATTAATGACATCACATTAGGGGTGTGACAAAGCATCCATGTAATAAAATGGACCAATACTCCTTCAATGTGCTCAGAAATTATTATTCTTAGAATTGAATTGAGTATTGATTAGTGTGTAAAATGTCAGTTTGTTAGTGACAAACTTTATGTGTTCTCTTTTTCCCCTAATGTGATGTCATCAGTTCTAGAACTCTTATGTACCTTCAAATTTACTTTTTTTCCCCATTTTTATTCACAAAAAACTAGGCCATTCAACCAAAATAGGTCATGTATCATAAAAAACCTGTCATACGCACTTAAAAATATTGTTTATCAAAACGACTTTTTACATTTACAGTTGTCATGACTTGTCAGTTTTGTATCTGTAATCTCTTTTTATATATACACTTCTACATGAGAGGCATATTCTTCTTTGTCTACAAACATACTATGAACAATGCATTTCAGTTACAGTCAACAAAAAGGCATACAAAGTATTATTGATATCAATGCTATTACCAACCAGAATTTGAACAAAATAACTGTAAACAACTGTTAGAACAAATGTAATCAGTAACTTAAACAGCAGTTAACCTTGATATTTGTGACAAAGAGAAACCATCGAATCAAAATGGTCCACTAAATTAAATAAAGATAATCTCAGTCCAGTTAAACACAATATAAAAATACACTTAAATGTATTGTTAATAACTAATGGACAAAAATATTCTTCATCTCTCACTAAAAATATTTTAAGCAGAAATTTGTTCTCATAAGGATAAAACAATGGGCAAATTACATTTTACAAACATATTTGTAAAGTGATGCCAACACTTCACAGTTTCTGTTTGTCATTCAACTGCTTCTCTTTTCCATCTACTTCTCAGATTTGGATTTAAACTTGACAATCATTACAGTGATGTTGTCAGGGCAGCCCCTGTAGAAGGACTGCAAGACAATGCTCTTGGCACCAAAATGTGGCTCGTCCAGTCGATCTCTGATAAAACGCACAGCTTCCTCGTTGCTGAAGGTGTCCCACAGGCCGTCCGACGCCAGGATCATAAACTCAGGCTGAAGCTTGTCGAGATCAAAGGACATGATGTCGGGATCTGAGACAACAACGTTGAGATTCTTCAAGGGGTAGTCTCCCAGAGAACGAGACATAGCCAGGATACCTTGAACACGCCAAGAGCCATTGAAACTGATAAAACCACCTAAGCAAGTACATAAAAAAAAAAAATCACAACATTAAATATGAAATACATTTGTTTACATGCCTATGATTCTCAGTGCATAATTCTCAAGTGTATGTTTTTGTGTGAAATCAAACTCCAATTGGCTTTGTTTCGAAGCGTATACAAGTTACAGCAGGAAAAAGGAGCAGACTGCATTTGCTTCACATGACCACTAGAGAGCATGCATGAGTCAGCTTGAAGAGCAGTAAAGTACATCATATTTTACAATTTTCATAACAGAACATAAAGTCACAAAGTGACATTCTCATTTCACATGAAAAGTCAGAAACACTTACCAGCCTTCTTTATCCTTTTGCGTTCCTTGAATTGGTAAGGCTTGTGGTCGTGTGACAGAGGGATAGCATTGCCATTTTTATCACACAAAACTCCTCTAGAGTCTCCAACATTGGACACGATTAACTCCTTTTCAGACAACAAGGCCACAAGACAAGTTGTACCTTCAACACAAGAAAACCCATTAATTACAGAATTATTCAGACAGTCAAAATGTGCTGTGTATACATGAACAGAAATATATATAGATATATAAGAAAATATAAGACAAGGGCTTCAACTATAGCAAGATTTTTAGAAGAATCTAACTGTACATAAAATGCCTTTTATTGAACAAAAGATACTATCTTTTAACATTTTTTTAATAACATGTTTGCACATTTCCTGTCTTTTTTATGCCATGTAAATTTCTCCATTGTGAGATCAATAAAGTTCATCTTTTCTTAACACATGACTTGCACTTTTCTTGCAGCAATAATTATTTTGACTGTGATTAAGCTCCTTAGGCTTGTGAGAAACTAACAAAAATAGCTGTGTTCATTTCTCTGCCCCCTCCATTTTTTCCAATTTTCTTATAAGCCCTTACTGACCCTTGTCCCAAAATGGCCACAAGCCACAGTCCTGCCTCACAGCTTCCCTCTAAAGATAATGCCATGGTTTGTAAATGTGGTGTTTGACACCCAAAGTAATTAGAAAGTGAAGTGTCACCGCCTCACCAATAGGTGGCACTCTTGTGTGAGTAATAAGAAATGACTGGTGAGTCCTGCCTGCGTGTTGTTGCTACTTGGTGTTCTGGATGTTTCCTAGAGAATAAATGAAGCCGTTTGAAACCCGTGTCGTTTTTCACCAGAGGAGATCTTTTTGTTTTACCTGTACATAACAGAAAAGATCTTGTATCTTATTGAAACAATAAAAGACTGCTGACAATCACCATTCAAGAGCAAACCCAGACACAAGCAAAACACTTTCAGTATTTCACATTATCTATAACTTTGTACACCCACCTGCTTCATTGTAAGTAGCAGAGAGTTTCTCCAGCATGTCTCTGTCTATGTTTAAGATCTGTTGCTCCAATATTGAAGCATATGAGGGTCCAACACTCTCTCTCTTCTCATCTTTCCCCTTATCTCTGTCCCGCTCTTTGTCACGCTCATAGACCTGCAGCCTCTGGCGAAGAGCCTCAGGCAAATGGGCTTTGGCAAAGTCAGCAGCTGCCTGAGGAGGAAGAAGAGAGAACAAAGAAGACAGCACAGTCACTAATGTGGTTTGGTCTCTTCGACAGCAGCTCAATATATCCAAACGTAAACGTAAATCATTTAGGGCACAAAAACGAGAACAAAACAAAAATGATAAAAGTCAAGAATCAGTGTTTATTAGAAGGCACTAACTTTTTGGCATGTTATATTGAGAATTATACTTTGGGACCTTGCACCTCACTCTTCACTTGGATGAAGAGTGACTGGATCTCGTTCATGAATACATAGTTCCCACAGACCAATGAATGTCACATGACCTCCTCGGAGACGCCATCTTTGATGGCACGCTGCTGTGTTTGTGCATTCCATTAAACAGAAGAATGAGAATAAATGTAGATATTCAAACGCAAATTGGAAAAAAAGGGCAACTTTTGAGCAAATAATTGTATATTAATACAATGGCACCACAGTTTAACGTGCTACGGACATGTTTTACATATTTGATCAAATTATGCAGCAAAAATTAACAAGCAATGCAAACATTTCTCAAAAACTTTAGATTTAATACCAGTTGGAGCTCCATTTAATTATTTTAATTATATTATTAGTATTAGATAGCAATATGGCCTACGTGCAGGACTGTACAAGGACTCTACAAGGACTCCATGTTATGACTATGATGTGACTGTCTCTTTGTGACACGTATGTCTTTCGATGTGTGACGTGACAATGACTATATAAACTGTGTACTGCCTTTATTCTGTCTGAGAGAAAGAAACAGAGTAAACCAGTGGAACTTGAGAGAAACTTAAATAAACTTCCAGAGTTTGGCACACCACGATCCGTCTCTGTCTGTTGAATCCTAACAGATTTGGTGGAGAATGCGCGGCTCGGTTTGTGCCATTCTCTGGATTGTTTTGAGGGAGGTTTGCTATGTTTCTTTTCCTCTGTGTGAGAGATCGGCATGCTGTGTCTGGGAGCGGGGATTCCAGCAGGCTGGAAGAGCTGTTCCTGGATGCTTCTTGTCGCTTCTGTCACTTTTGTTTTTTAAATTGAAGATTCCGACGCGGAAAAGAGTTGGCAGACCTCTCGGACAGTCCGTGCGCACCTGTTTGACAAGAATAAGGTAAGCAGACACCTTTTTAAATGTAAAGTCTGCATAATTGGATATTAGATAAATTTTGGTCTGTTTTTGGGGTCTGTCAAACTCTCTAAATTGTATTTTGAAGAAGTCTCGGGGTTAAAGTCCCTTTGAGCCTCGGGGTTAAAGTCCCTTTGAGAAAGTCTCGGGGTTAAAGTCCCTTTGAGCCTCGGGGTTAAAGTCCCTTTGAGAAAGTCTCGGGGTTAAAGTCCCTTTGAGAAAGTCTCGGGGTTAAAGTCCCTTTGAGAAAGTCTCGGGGTTAAAGTCCCTTTGAGAAAGTCTCGGGGTTAAAGTCCCTTTGAGCCTCGGGGTTAAAGTCCCTTTGAGAAAGTCTCGGGGTTAAAGTCCCTTTGAGAAAAGCCTCGGGGTTAAAGTCCCTTTGAGAAGAAGCTTCAGGGTTAAAGTCCCTTTGAGAGAAACCATGGTGTAAAAATAAAAAATAAATAAAAAGGGAGGAAAAACGAGTGCAGAGACCTTTGTTGCAAAAGTCTTGAAATTGGCCAATTTCAAGTTTAATGAGTGACAAAAGTATAAAGAACAACATAAGTTATATTCGCTTAACAAAGTAATCTTGAAAGTTATTCTTCTGTATCTTTTTGCCTGTGTGTGCACATCTCTATCTGCTGCCGTTGTCAGGGAAACGGCCCCCACCTTCGCTGCTCTGGCTCTGAATCAAAGCTACTGCTTTAGGATTTTTGGCTTTTCATAGTTGTTATTCAGTTAAATTTGCGAAATTTGCCATTGAACATTGTGTTATGACACAGTTAAACGTTTTTAAACACCATTAGGGAATAGAAGTTTTGAATTAGTATGTTTTTGAAACCCAAAGATTAGTACAAAAAGCTTTGCTTTTCTTTTTAAATCTGCTGCTTATTTTGTGAGTCCATTATTGTATCTCTGATATATTTCATAGCTGTTTGTGAGAATTTTTTCATGTATTTTTTATTTTAGTTACAAAAGCCGTTTTTCAAACATTTAAATTAGAATCTGTTAAAAGTGATTAATGATTGTAGACTTCGTCTAAAAAAGAAAGAGGGAATTAGGCTGTAAAAGTATTATATTATTAAGTTAAACTACCCAATTCACATGCAAGTGGTGACTTTTGTTTTTGTTTTGACTACACGCCTGACCTTGTTGCTCCTGCTGATGCCACAGCAGAGGAGACTGGTCTAAAATGTGCTCCAATTCATACTGACTTCATTTGAAAAATGCTGCAATTATTTTAAATTAGTAAAATATATGCTGAGATAAATGCATAGATAATTAATCACACAGTGCAAAAGTACATAATACATATTTTAAAGTTTAAAAAGGTTTTTTTAGATTTGAGTCTTGTTTTTTTATATTAAGAGTTTCTGGTTTTAAAAATGTCATCATTAGTAAGATAATAAGTAATCTTTTATTTACATAGCGCTTGGGAAAACCCAGAGCGCTCCAAAATTGTTTTGACTTCAGAGAGAAAAACAATCTCATTCGCATACTGATATCTACTGTTTTTTAAATTGGCCGTCTCAAGGATTGTTTTTCAGACTCTGCCTCACTGTACGAGAGGTCACTGCTGGACACTGGACACCAAAGCCCACCCAGCCACAGGTCACAGATCAAAGAGCAAAGGGAAATGCCACCTCCTTGCCCCTCCCCCCACTACAGAAGTAAGTGGGAGTGAGACCGGGGCCATGAAAGAGAGGTATCTGGAGACGTGATGGGTGGAGCATCAGGCAGAGACCTGGATGAGAGTTGAAAGTGTGTCCAGTTGGTTTGCATCACCACAGTGTGACCTTTGACACCTACAGGTGGTTCGAGGAGTCTGGAGACACAACCCCAAAATTTACATACACACACACACACACATACACACACATACACTCATAAACTCACACATTCACATTTACATATAGATACATGAAAAAGTAGAACATGAGAAAAAAGCATTTTAAAAGTTTACTCCAATGTAAACACATATTTTTAATTGTCTATCACTTGAATCTTTAGTTGAATCAGTATTTTTTGAGACCAGAAATGTTCATTTGAATTCTATATTGTCATGGACATAATTGACCTCTGTCCTGACACTTTTGATTTGTTGATTTTGTACTGTGTGAAGTAATTACATTGATTAGGATTAGATCTGATAAAAACACAAATTAGAGAAGTAAACTGAATCATTGCGCTTGCTTTTTGTCTGAGGGACATTAGCAACAGCATGAATAGAAATTGTGTTAAAGTAGAATCAAAGTGACTTAACCATAGAGAGTAACTATTGCATAACAAGCTGTGTACAGGAACTGAGACACTGCACCATTGACCAGAAGTGCATCGCAAATGACCTGATGTGCTTCAACTGAAAAGACTGTATCTGGAGATCCTGATGTGCATCTGGAGAGACCAGAACCATGGCTTGGACCCTACTGATGTCCAAGATGACCTGACCTGATGACGACTGAGACTCACCCTCAGGGGACCTGAGGATCTGAGGACCTGAGAGAGAAAACTGGGGAGTGATGTTTATATTTCTGAAATCATACATTGATGAGTGCTAAATGAGAGAGATACTCATGATTCTTTCTTTTGTTTTTGTTTGTCCCTAGCTTCTGGACATCTGATGATCTATTGGACACAGACATTTGCAGAACAAGAACCAGCCAATGAAAACGTCTATTGCCGATGCTATTGCTACAACCAGAACCAGAACCTGTGACCAAATGCAATATACATGTTAAGTATTCAGACATCTGACAGACAAAAACTTTGAAAATGATAAAGTATGAGTATTGTAGCGTTTTAGTAGATGTTAAATAGTAGTAAAAGAGTAGAATTGTCCTTCCTTTGTTGTTCATAAACATTTCCACGTAAGAGTTAAAATAGTACCCTACAATGTTATCCTTTTGATAGATCAGCTATAATATTAGAATCAGAATAATGTTAGAGATATTAAAAGTGACAGAAGTCACAAATTAGAAATATGCCTTGACTCAAGCTGCAACCGAGCTTTGGAGTCAAAAAATAGAGTAAAAATAGGAATAGATAAATGCATCAACCATAGATGCTTTCAAAAATAGAGATTATTTGTACTGTAGCCAGTGCTAATATCAAATGGTAAAGGGACCATTTCACAAACCTTTGCTTCAAAAGTAGATAAAGTTCATATGAGTGTAGCCTAGATTAATGCCTAGATCAATGAGATAGATTAGAACCAACAGAGATTCAAAAGCATTTAAAAGCATTTTGATGTATTTGGGTGTAGCCCAAAAACAGTATAGTAGATATTTAGATATTGAGAAGTTTCCAGCGCAAACACCATTGTAGAATAACTGACCCCAAACCTGCTAAAATAGATTAGCTCTTGTAAGGATAATACTAATTTGATTAATGATGTACATTCATCCCAAACTGCCTGACAATAATATCTTTAGATAATAAAAAGTAATAAATCACTGACCACTATAGAAGTGTAAATGTTGACCATTTGTCTTACTGTGTTCACAGTTTTATTCCTGAGAATGTAGAGTAGACATGGAGCAAAATCCCACTGATAATATGCCACTGATAATGAGAGTGTAAAACCACAGAGAGATTTATTAGATTAAAATGTATGTTTAAGAATATGGCTCAATAGAAGCAAATATGCAAACATATTTGTAAATAGATTAGAATAGTTTTAAACTATAGTGAATAGTAAAAGTAAAGTACACAGTCTAAGATTGAATAGTGAAAATAATACAGTGGAGTGTAGTGTAAACAATTATCATTAGAATAAAAGTATAAAGTAAGAAAAGTGAAATTAGCTTCAAATTTGAGACTCAGCTCGTTTTTGTCTGTGTTTTGACTGAATCTGCTGAGTTCTTGTGTGTCCAATAGTTTTTGTTTGTTTTTATTTT